TTCCTCAAAAAATTGATTAATTGTTACTGTAAGAAAATAAACATACAGGCCTTCCATTTTGTATAACACTGCTTTTATTGTGTTGGTTGGTTATGTTCTGGTGACGTGTAGAACTTGGGAGTGCAGGCTGCTGCCTGAGAGGTGGTTGGAGACAGAGTGTCTCCATGCTGCTTTGTTTTGGTCACTTATGTGTGTGAGGCGAGTGGTGTTACGACTCTTCCTGGGGAGTTTGGCTTGTGTACAAAAAGGAAGGGACAATAACGGGATTTAAAAGTTAAAATGATGATCAGGTTTATTTACAACTACAAAAAAAAACATAAATCTTTCCATCCACAGGTTGGGAATAATAAAACTAATTCTGCCTGTGGGGAATTAAAACATTAGTACAAATAAGTAGAGATGTCCCACTGGGCAAAGATTACAGGGTTCTGGACCAAAATAATCTCCAAAGGACCAAACTCTAAACTGGGTGGTTAAACCAAACTCAAGGTGATATTTTAAACTAAACTGAAAACCCACAACACTCTAAATGTAATAAAAGGGAGATCTACGCCACAAAAAAGATGAGCTCTAAACCAAAACGTAACAGCGTATCCAAACGCAAGAAGCTGTTAGCGAAAATGCTAACAGTAGCTTTACCAACATTAAGTTCACGTTACCAAGTTTAAATAAACCAAAAACACCCAGCAGCAAACCGACCAGCATGGAGGAGAGACTGCTACCACCAAAACAGCTCTCCTAATGTCTGAAAGAAGCTCCTTTATGAAGGGAGAAACGCTCGCGGTGATTTTCTACATCTGCGATAGAGACGGAGCAGCTCATCTGACCCCAGAAGTTGTTGTCCGTTGCCGGGAGACAAAGGCGGGCAAAACAGGAAAGGAATCTAGTAGCGGACAGACATTGTTCCGGGTTTTCTGTATTTGGCGGAGATGTTCGTGAAGGCGGAGAGGAGGGCAAACTAGAGGAAAAACAGGCCGATTCCACCTCTATTTACAAACTCCTGGGGAAGCAACAAGTGGGCGTGGTGCATCGACTACCGGATCTGACATCGACAAATTTTTAGAATCGAGCCGTCGACGTCATCGAGGATTCGCTACAGCCCTAATTTTGACACACTTGTCCAAAAAAGTATTCTATATTAATGATTTGCTTTAACTAGGGGTGCACCGATTGCAGTTTGTGGCCAATCAGCAATCTTAGAAAAAAAAAATACTGAGATTGGGCCAATAGATCAGTGCACCCCGACTGGTGACATTAGTTACATTACAGGAAAGTAGGGCTGCACGATATTGGGAAAACCTACGATATTCGATAACAGTGCTTAATATTGCGATATCGATATTACTCACGATAAATGAACAAACACTAAAGTATGCAGTGTTGATGTGGTCTGGCGTGTGACATCTGCTCTGGGTTCAAAGCAAACAAAAACTAATGCATGAATTCCATTACAACATAACAATTTTATTGAAAAAATATGCAGCTGCACCTGCTACTGTATAAGCAGCAAAACAACAAACTGCATGCATGCAGTTTCTCAGTGACTTTAAAACATCACCTCCACCATAAAACTTTTTCTGATGCTCCAAATACAGAAAAACATCCCTTACCAGGGTTTTTGGAATAAATAAAAAAAATCAGAAAATAAGTTTAAATGTTAAATAATAGTTAACATCACTTAAATGCAACAGCAAATTCTCTCATTGCTTCTGAACATTTTCTCCACTTATGTGGTTATGATATAAGGCTTTTGCTGCTATTGGGAAGTGATCTGTGCTGGGCCAAACTGGGAGAATATTAAGATTTTCTGAGGGAAAGAGAAAAACAATTGTCTACCTTTCAGAAGAGGAACTGGCAAAAAAAAACTACATGGAAAATATGTGAAAACGTTTGGTTTTAACCCCAAATTGAACAAGTTTACCAAGATCTCAAAAAGCAGCTCAGATGATGAAACTGCAACTATGATTCTGATAACAAGCTAACAAATTGAACTAGCTCCTCTAAGATAACCGGCTAGCAGAGCTTCTGACTGACAGTTTATGTGCAGCAGCAAATCAACTATCCTGATTAACAAGGTTATAAAAGCTCATAAATGAAAAATCACTTTGATGTGTGGGGGAACTTTTCCAGGCCCTCTTTAGCAGGGTGGGACTGGGAGGAGAGTGCTGCAGCCTTTTAGCTGGAAGCTAACCGGAGCCTGTGGCTAACACTAGCGACATGAAGGTGGGTTGGTTCACCGGCACGTGTCGGAGTCAGCCCGGTAAAAATGATTAACGACACAGAGCGGAGTCACGTTCACGTTTGAAAGCAGCGCTGAATCCAGAAACATCAGCACAGAGTGCGTTCGTTAATCTGAGCCAGCATGACGAACAAGGGAACAGCGCCGCAAACTCTGTTCGGGTGTTGCTATCCAAAAGGGTCTATGTAGGGGGCGGGCGTATTACGTGAACGGGACCATCTGATTGGCCGCATATGAGAAGGATTACATTTGATTGGTCAAATACTTCCGCGTAAAAAACAGAGCTGGTTTACAAAAAGTTGATGTATGACACGGATGGAAATGTTTGAACCAAACATTTATCGCCGTTTTTGCCGTGTTTAGCGATGGGCCTATCGCACGTCCTGTTATCGCAATGGCGATAATTTTTCGATATATTGTGCAGCCCTACAGGAAAGCAATAAAAGTCCAACTTGTTGACATAGATATAATCTGCCACACTCATCTAAAGATGCTTTAAATGTTTGCAAAGTGAGCACAGTTGTCAGTATGAAAGGACTCCTGCCAATCACGTCCCTGCAAACGCCGGCGTCTCGTCCAACAAGTCCAACGTCTTTTTCTGAGGGTTGGTTTACAACTTTATCTGTCTACTTTACAATTCGGGTCATCGACTCACTATGACTTAATTAGAAAATGCCAGCACAAATAACTGTCTGAGTGGGACAACACGATGCATAATGCTGCCTTTGTTACCTGTTCCTGTTCTTCTGCTGACTAAGTACGCACATTGATGGGAGGTGGGGGGGTTCCATATTTAATCCAACTGCCCAAAGCCATCCTTTGATACTTTTAATGTTGTTTTTCTATAAACGTCTGTAAGCTATTAGATCAAAAGGCTATAAATGAAGTTGTACAGATTTTAATGTAAGAGAAAATTGTTGCAAAGGCACAAAAAAGTCCTAAGCTTTTCTTTTGACACAAAGTAGCATTAGTAATAGAAGAGCTTCTCAAGTGGACCAAGTTATTTTACACGTTGTCCACTTGTCTATAGCAGATGTCAACCCAATAAAATAACTGTACTCTGAGACAATTCCTCTGACAAAAAATAAAGCCTCGACAAGCTGAACTAAGAAGGTCTTCTGCAATGAAACAACAAATGTAACTTCTCCAGGTGATGGCTAGGAAAACAACTTCACTTGGCTGTTTTTGGTGAAAATAAAAACAAACCAAGACAAAAATAAAACACAATGTTTTAGAAGCAACGTTATTGAGAGAAAAACCAAATAAGACACTCTAGTTTGTCTCCTGACTCCTTAAAGTCTTTCACCAGTCTAGAGTCCTTAGTGGTTTCTGTTAAACAAAAATAGACTCACTGCGACGCAGAACTTGTAGCTACATGTAATTTAGAAAAGTGTTACCACTATCCTGGTATCACTGCAGTAAAAATAACAACATATTTTGTTTTGTTGCTTTTGCACCCGTTTTAGTTTAATTTTGTCCTTTCTCTAAGGATGGAAAATTTCAAAATGATGACAGGATGATTGTGAGTTGATTCAAACGAAAAGTGCAATTTGTGTAAAGGAGAGTGTTTGAACAAATAATTAACCATTGTGCACCAGTTGGGTGGGGAATTCAAGAAATGATCATTAACAAACAAAAACAATTTAAAATTATCCCAATAATTTCCAAATCACTGGTATTTAAAGCTTGTTGATCATAATATTTTCAATAACTTCGTTTTTAGGCCCTCCTTCCTTCAGCTTTCCTGCAAAGATGCTGGTTTTTACAACTAATTTCACAATAAATGTTGATAAATGAAGCTAAATGCTCAAAAATAAACCGTAACGCTCCACTTTTGCAGAGGAAACCAGAGGTAATCCCATATTCTTGCAAAGTGGGAAAAATTGCCAACTAATGCAATAGGAACTCGGTCAATGCAAAAAAAAATAGAAATAAATAAGATCGGAGCCGCTGCACAACTTGAATCTCTTCTTAGATGCAACTCGATTAGAATTGATCAAATGTAAAATAAAACTGTTTTTATTATAAATTCATTTTACGTTAGTATCTTTTACTTCCAAACACATTTGGAGAGTTCTGGGGAGATAATGATGGAAAAACATAATGGAGGAAATCTTCGGCATTTCACGATTCTTAGAACTTTCAGCTAAAATCTTCTGTGTTTGAGTAGAAAGCTTGCTTTATGTTAGACCTATGCTGGGAAACACCTGACAATCACATTAATGCTGTATTTCCTATTATTTCAAGTGTGTCGTTATTGCTTTAGAATAAGAATCTTACCTTTTATTGCTTCATTACAAAACATAAGTCAGTGTGTTTATTTAGACTTTTGAACTTACCAAGCATCATACTCGAGGTAAATATTAGGCGTAGGTATTCAGCCATGTCTCCTTGACAAAAAGGACCCCAGAATCTGTCCAAACAGGTTTGACTCTTTTCTGTCAGAGCCTAGAAGCAGGTTGTGAGTTGTTGTTTTTGAGACACCCGGAATTCAAATAAAAATGTTTATGATCCCACTCTCGACTCCGTGCTCATGCCTTTGGATTACCCTGCGGTGAAAGGTGCAGTTTGAAGGAAATGTTCCACCTACAGAGTAGCTATTGCGTAATTATTGTCCCCTGTTCGCAGCAGACCCACGGGGATGCCTGCTCTGCCCGGTTAGCAGCCTTTAAACTGGGTGGGCTCGTTTGATTTCAGACAAAAGCAGCATGTTTCACCCTCTGAGCCCAACAACAGGAGAGCGGATGTTGTTTCTGCTTACCTTAGGCAAGTCTCGGAGTTGGTTGGCATCCAGCAACAGCTCCTCCAAACTCCGTCCGTAGCGGTAAATCTCATCGGGAACATAGAGCAGTGAGCAGTGGCGTTTATCGACCGTCTCAACGTGACGGTTGCACCGCCACAAGGGTATGCAGTGAAACATCACGGGGGGAGTGGGGAATAAATCTGCGATAAACAGACGGCGGGGATGAGGAAGAAGGGGATGCAACAGATAGCCGCAACGGGACCGTCCTGAACTCAGTTCTCCGCTAAAACACGCAAGAGACGAAACTTACAACCAACTAAACACCGAAACTCAGACTCGATACCGAGCGAACGTTCGTCAGGAGAACAACTCTCCGCCGCTGCCCCACTTTGTAGCTCGCAGTTGGCACCTGTGTTTTCTCCCCGTCTCTCGTAGACACCGGCCGCCTCTAAAAAACCTCTTTCTGGCGCAAAAAGCACAGCTTACGTATCCCTGTTGGAGAGGTTGGCATTCTGTGGATGTTTTTGTAATTTTTTTCCGTTTCGTGCCGGAGTTAATTTCCTCTCCAGTCCAGTTTCTGACCCGGAACATTCACTCCCTCATTCCTATCCTACGTCACCGCTCCCTGCTGCTCCTCCCTCCGGTCCCTCCTCTGGATCGTCCCGTCCCGCGCGGGCCATCATCGGAACACACGCGAGACCCCGTCTTATCTGAAAAAAGATCACGTAAACCGGAAAAAAATACATAATTTCAGGCTGACTTACGGTTGGTTCTAGTAAATAATTTTTATTTTTTATTCCCGTCCCCATCACCATTTAAGCCATCGTTTCCTATACGCCAATTTTGAAATCAAAATTACTCATTTGATGTAGGACATCCTGAATAAATATGCGGGTTAAAAAAATAAATCTAAAAATATACCTCTAAATACATTCAACTGACAATCAGAATCAGAAAAATATTTTTTAAACAGCTTAAGTTTTAAAAGAAGTTCTAAGGAAAGACACTGGATTTTCCAGAAAGACTGGACTTTTACCGTGGGACTTCACATCCAGGTGTTCTTCAGAAACAAAACAAAGAAATAGGAGGGTAACTCAATTGTTCACTTGCCCCCTCCCATCAGCTTCACTTATACGCTTTGATTTAATGTCTAATTTTGACTGTACTAAATGCCTTTTCTATTCTACTAGTGTTGGGTGAGTTTGTGAATGTTTAGTCATTACCTGGCTGAAAAGCACATTTCCCTGTAAGGATAATAAAATTAAGTTCAATTGAACGGTTAGCATTTAAACAGTGTAATGTCATTATGCTGTTTAATATTTAATCAGTCCTGCTCACCACCTGAAATAGATTCTTGTTTCATATTCACCAAGTCAATAATTCAGCTTTTTCCATTAATTACTTCATAAAGCATCCTGTAAATCCAGATAGATAAAAATATGGTTCCTCTAGAGGGAGCCACATTCCATCAAATGACATACACGCAGACTTATTTCCATCTAAACAATCTGAAACACAATAAACCAAACCTTTATGCTGATGTCATATTGTCCATTTATTGGTGAGGGGAATTAACAGAAAAATGCAGTTGCCCTTATTTAAGTGAACAGGGACAAATACAAATTGAAGAGAACATAAGCTGAATGTCTGAAGTTACAATTTCTGTGCATCTCGTCTCTAGAGCAACGTCACAGAGTTTATCTGCGTCCCAGCTGTTTCTTAAAGACCTTTAAAGACTTCGCCATCATTGGAGCGATTTCTGTGAAGAAAAAAATATAGCAAAACACGAGTGAGTATGGAGCAAACATCTACAATTAAACTTTTACACTTCATATGGGATGTGTTTGCAGCGTAACACTTAAATGATTAACAAAATTCAGAGAAAAGGTTTGAATTTTTTGCAGATTTACTCATTCACTCAGATCCTACAGGCTCATGGATTCACCTTAAAATTTACCCAGGCCAATTTCCTTTTACATGAGCATGGACTGAGAAGATGATGACAAAGAAAGAAGCCGCAGACAAACAAGTTAAATGCCGTTTAGAGAAAATGAGCAGATTCAGCAACTACAAAGTGAACGTGAAGCTTCCAAACCACACCGTTCCAACTGCGAAGCATGGTGGGGGTAGCATCATGCCGTGGTCCTGATGCACAAGGTGGATAGACTAACAAAAAACACCTAAAGCCTCCAAATCATTTATATGGTTGAAGACTGGACATAGTTGGGTGTTCCAGAAGGAAAATAAATGAACACATCGAAACGGATGGGAAGTCAGCCAACATTGAGCTTCAATGGCTTTGACCTCAACTTAATTAAAACGTGGGAACTATGATTAAAATTCATGTTTGTGTAAAACAAAAAGCATTTAAATGAACTCAACCCAATTCTGCCAAGAAGAGTGATCAACTATAAAACCAGAATCACACCAGCAGCTCGTTAATGGCAAATCGTGTGGTCAAGGAGCAACTCGCCAAGACATTTAACCGAACGTTAGCAGAAACTGATGTGTAATTTTAACCCTGACAGAAATTCACCACACATTTTAAATTTGTGTACTCCATTACTGTTTTTAAGCATTCCACTGTAGAGTAAGGCTTTAAACTAATTCCTAACAGCCCAAAATTGTTAATATTCATACCCATGTTGACTGCACAGCAAATAACTACAAATAGGTTTAATTTACTCCCCACAAAAGTTTAAATATTTCAAACGTGTGTGAGGTAAAAATTAAACAAACATCTTGAGAAACACCAAGCTCACTTGTTTTCTTGCGAGGGTCGTGGGCGTTGCTCCCTGCGGAGCTGGTGCTGCTAGACCTGCTGGGCTCAACACAACTGGACCTCGTTTGATTGTCCTGAGATTTGACGCTGGATAAATAAAAACAATAGTCAATATGTTCAACTCAAAATAATGTTACCCTGCAGCAACAATTAAAGATTATGTTAACCTCTTCTAATTTAATTCAGATGCACCAGATTTAAACATTTTTAATATTCACAAAATCATTTGTTGGTTTCCATTATCAAAGAAAGTTTCATAAGTGGTGCTCTAGTGGACTACTCAGTGCGGAGATGTTTTAATTGCATTCCTATGTATATATTGGAAAAATATTTAGTATGCAGCACAGTTAAAAACTCATTACCTACTTTTACAAACTGTACATGAATCTAGACTTGATTTGAAAACCCAAATGCATAAAACAAAACATGTATGAATGTGCACTGTCATCTTATTTTTATTCTTTGTTCTGAGGACCACATTGTTTTTACAGCTTTATACTGAGCAAGACTCCGATGTTTCTTGGTTTATTATTGAATAAGTTATGTGGTGGTCCAGCTGGCAGCACTGTTGCCTCTTAGTTAGAAGGTTGCAGGTTCAAATCCCAGCTGTGGCCTCTGCACAGAGTTGATGTGTTTTCCCCCATGTGTGCATTAGTTGTTTTACAGGTACGCTGGTTTCCTACCAGACCAAAACATGCATGTCAGGTTATTTGGGGAGAAGGTTATTTGTCCCTGGGTGTTTGTGTGTGACTGTGTGGACCTGTAAGGGACCAGAGACCTGTCCATGGTGTCCACCACCTTTTGCTCAATGATCGCTAGAAAAAGGCACCAGTTCCCTGTACCCATGAGGATTAATTGGTTAAAATAACTTCAGCCTAAAACCAGTTTAACCAGCATATAGCTCAAATTCCTGTTTGCTTCAGCTCACCCCGAGTTCACTTTATTCAGTTATGAAAGAAACAGTTTATGACCTTCAAAATAAAACATCCCTAAAGAAGCATTTGAACAAAAAGAAATGGGCTTTATAAGGATGAATTCAGGAAGCACACGCTCACCTGCTCTTGAGAAGATGTGGCTGCTGAACAGCAGTTCCATGAATTTCCTGCTGAATTCGCACATCTCTTGGTGGCTTAGCAACACTGTGAATAAATGCCATCTTCACCTGCCGTCCTATAAAACAAAAGGACACTGGAATGGTTTTGTTAAGATTATACAATATAAACCTCTACAAAGAGTAGAATGATGGTAAATAATGTTTTTTTTAAGTTTGGTTCACAATTACAATTTACACGAATGCCAAATGACGTTTACCTACCTGGACAAGTGCATCCAGTGTGGGGTGGCATGTTTATTTACAAGAAATGTCATTTTTAAAATTTTGTTCTAAGACTGATACATAAAACATGAACAGTTTGATTCTGAAAAGGACGTGTGTCCTGCAACCATCTACGTAGCAGAAATTTCTCTTGAAAGGGATTTTTTTAAGCTATGCCTCCAGTGCACCTTCAATAAGAGCAACGAAAATCTTTAAATATTCAAGAGCAGCACATATCGATAATGTCACAACTGTACCTTTAAGAAACGAGACAGGTGTTTTCTGTACCACGCACATACCCTTTGGTTTCATAGACTGTGCTGAGACGATGGATTTCGTCAGTGTTCTGAGCTTCCTCTCCCTCTCCTCAGACAGCCTGACATACATCTCTTTCCATGACTCATATTCCTGAAGTCTGCAGTGTTTAAAATCCCTCTGGCAGTGTTTTCCCCACAAGTCGTCAGTCACTCCCACGTAGATCTGTGAATAGGGGGAAATGTACACTCAAAATCATTTTCCAGAAGTTTTCCAAACCTCATCCAAATTCTACAAATATTAGGTTAATACAGAAAGCATTTCCGGAAAAAGAAAAACATCCAGTCAGATCTTCCAGGTCTGTGATGTATGACAAAATAATCAACAGGCTAGTGCATTTATTTCAAGTTTTTATTTTTTTAAATGGAAATTAGTTTTACTTTTAGAATTTAGTTTCCCTCAACAGCTAACTGAACTGGTCCCACAACACAGATGCTCTGTATAAGAAGGGCCAAAGCCGCCTCTACCTCCTGAGGAGGCCGAGGTCCTTGGGAGTTCATTCCCAGCTGCTAAAAGCCTTTAATCACTGTTGTTGGATCTGTTTTTCACTCTGCTGTAGTCTGTTGGGGTGCAGGCAGCTCTGACCGAGACAGGAAGAGACTGAACAAGCTGGTTAAAGCTAGCTTGGTTCTGGGCTTCCAACTGGACTCTGAGACGAGTGACATGAGGATGCTGGGAAAGATGAGATCCATCCTAAAAAGCCCTCCCACCCACTGCATTCCACTGTGGAGACCATGGACAGCTCCTTCAGAGGCAGACAGACATCAGATGTAAAACGGAACGCAGACGTAGATCTTTCATCTTTTCTGCAGTATAAGTGTATAACTCCTCAGTTTAGTTGTACTGGCATCATCCTGGTACACAATAACACTAGTAATACTCAGTATGTGTTCAATACCTGTGCAATACCAGATTTACATAGTATGTGTGCTGCATAGTTCTGGAATCCGAGAATCCAAGACAAGAGGGTCCTGGCAAAACATATCCACGCTGAACCATGAGTCACACCCCCTGCAGGACACCCGGTCTGCTATGGAGATCAGCTTTAGTGACGGTGATCTACCCTCTGTGTGACGGAAAGATACCACAGGTCTTTCCTTCCTGGTGCTGTTAGACTCCATAATGGACACTGCTAATATGAAACCTATACATCCGTAACATACCACTGCAACTGTCATCACCTTTCAGGATGTGCAGTATTAACTTCTATTGTTATTATGTGCAATATCCTAACTTACAATCCTACTCTTGTGTCATATGTTGTCTCCTACTGCTACTATTCTACTGTATGTGAGCTTTTGCAATAATGCAATTTACCCATTGAGGTAAAAATGAAGGGTTTCTTATCTTTGCTTATCATCAGTGTGTGAATGGGTGAATGACTGCTGTGAAGCGACTTGGGTGGTTGTAGATCCCTAACAAGGTGCTATGCAAATGCAGACCATTTCTAAACTGGCCTTTTTTAAATTAAGATGGAATAATGTTTCAGTAGTTTGAAGAACTTAAATCTTATTCTCGTCTTAAAATATATTTTGGCTTGAATTGTTCCAGCTCAAAAGCGATACCTTGTGGGCCTCGTAAGTTGTTTATCCCAGCACAAGTTAAGTCGTAAATTATAATTAGAGATTTGGGAAGTTATTTAAAGCATAAAGCATAAAAAAATAAAGGTTTGGGATATTTCACCTACTGCATGTAGTGCAATAAAATACCACCATCACATTGATGTGGAAATGGAAACATGTGGAATTACATTATATGCTAAATATTCTTTTTTAACAGGTTGGGATGGGTTTAAAACTGCAGTTTATTTTACATTCTTAAAGCTTGGGTAAGCAGCGTGATGTTATCAAGGAGAGAAGATTTTGAAATTTGAACTACTACAACCCCCACCCTTGTCCCCCCTACCCTTCTGAAATAAGCTGACGCCATGCTTGTACTACACACATAAAATAGCCTAGTAGCTCTGACGGACAAGTAATGTTACCGATATCTTCCTGGTCAGTCACACCTGATTCTAATTGCTGAATTATCTTTTCAGCCTTCATCTGGTTCTGCAGGAGTTGCTAATCACTTGATTTTAAAGATCAAGTTCAGTCTTTTGCAGTAGTCTCTGGTAGAATTGACTTGAGCCCTTCTCTGAGGAAAAAAGCTCTGGTGTGCCTGTTTCGGGAAGTAGAAGTGAGCAGGACGAGAAAGTGGCAGAAGATGGCAGGATTTGGTTTAGTATTTCCTGATGATCAGACATCTCTCCTCTGATTGGCTAACAGCAACTCAACTCTACCAGTGACCATTAACATGAATACGTAGATGCCCCATTGGGTGCTGGAGAGCTTAACAGTGTTAACCATATTGGACGGGGGTTCCTCACTCTTTAAAGCCAACTGGCATCCGTGGGCAGCTATGCCCGTCTTTTGTGCGGCCTACAGTTGCAACAACCGGCGCGCCACAGAAAACAGATCCCGTGTGATTACTATTGACTTTTCTAGCCTACATGTTGAGATTTTATATTCTAATTTATTTTGTTTAATCCTATTTATAATTTATTCATGCCATACTATATGCCTGACTTTGTGAAAAAGCAATATAAAGTCAGTTTTTTTTAGCTGGGCAAGCACATTCTTCAGTAGAAATAAATGCACTGGCAGCAAATGGAGACCTATCGAAGATGGTGGCCCCCTGCTATGCCAGCTCCAATAGGCAGCGCCAGTCCATGGGGTGTCTACGTATGACGTCTGTGCTACTGACTGTTTGCTCTGCAAAGCTGATGTTTTATCTCCACAAATGACACAAGCTTGAGGGAGTTCTGCCATGTTATAGTTCAATAGCAACAGTTCTGCTAACTGTTGCTAATGTTAACAGTTAGCTTCAGAGACATGCTTAACGTTACGTGACCGCCATGGAAGCTGCGGTCATGTGATGCAAGTCTGTTCCATTTAACGGTTTTCTTTGGCCAAGGAAGGACAGTGTCCTTGTAAGCAAGGCACCTAGAAATATCGGCTTGCGAGGTCAGGAGCCTTGACATTGAGAAACACAATGGGACTTAGATCGGTCAGAGTTTTCTTAACCGAGCATTTTCCCTGTCTATATACTATTGCAGGCTAGAAAACTATTTTCACGGTCAGCTTGGATGAGAAACTCAGAGTGACTGATCTTTTTTTTTTTTAATTTAAATTCTCAGTTAACTTGATCTTTATCCAAATTTGCAGTTTTTAAGCTAGGAAACTTCTAAAATCGATTGGAAACCTGCACTCGTGATCAGGCTAACATAACAGTCCAATGTTGCACAAGGTTGAACGCTACGATATTTGCTCCAAAACACAAAGATGAATCCCTTTAGGGATCATCAATTTTTGAAAAGGCAAAACAGTCCTATTGTGCTCGACCTTAACCTGAACCAAGTGTGGTCTACAGTGTTTTAGATATTCTGTGTTATTTTGTTCTTGTATTTCTTTAGAGTCAGACAAGATGTGTTGCTTTTAGCAAACTCCTTAGTGTCTGACAAGTTTGAAGGAATTTCTTAACTCTACAGTTCTGGCAGTGATCCAACCTAGGTGTAATTAATCAGTTTTGAAAATGAACTAATTCAATGATGTTTTCCACATAGGGCCAGAATGGTTTGGCTAGGTAATTTAATAGTTTGTCACAGCACTGTATCTAGTAAATTAACCACTAAGTGAAAATAATCTGTTGTAGGTGTCAATCTTACTGGGTTGCATTCCTCTATGCGCAGCAGCTGTTCCGGCGTGCACCTCTCCAGCACCGGCTCAAGGAGATCAAATGGGACTCCACCAGTTTCGTGCAGCACTGAAAAGAGATCCCTGAACCTAAATATAAAATCCACCAAATCGACAAAGTCTCAAGGGCATTACTCACGGTTAATATTGTTCTGGAGCGTGCGGATACACTGCTGAAACAAGCTCATCATAGTAGGGAGGAAAAGGGTTTTGGTACCAGAGTACACTTGCATCTTCCTGTTGAGCCGCTGGCCAGTGAAGATTGCGGAGTCCTCTGAGACGTCACAGAAATCAGGCTCTTTCTCAGCTTTAAAACCAGAGAAACTAGATCAGTGTCAAAACAACGAGAGAAAACATCTACATTTGTTAGCATACCCCTTTTCTCTATGTAGTCAACACTTGAAGGCTTTTCTAATTCAGGCAGAGCAGGTAAAGGGATGTCCATCAGGTGTATTAGAGCATCTGGTGCCATCTAAAATACAGAAATTATTTTCAATAACCATGTATGTCAATCTAAAAGCAAATATTTTCAGATGGTTGTTGGCGTACCTGTTTTGGGACAGGATCGGGCGATGTTACTGGTTTTGTGACAGGATCTTTAGTCGTCTGCTCTTTTGCTGAGATTTTATACGTCTTTTGAGCTTTTTTCACACCAGTTTGCTCTTTTCTTTTTAAAATATCCTCATCATAATTCAAGTAAGATTCGAAAGACATAGACGGCTCTTCCGGATCACTGGGACTCTCCATTTTGGCCTTTTTGTGTTTGGAATATTTTTTGTTTTCAGAGTCTGGTTTGGATTTTATTGCATCCTGTTTTCCTCTATCTGATTTTTTCCTCTTTCTTTTATGGACATCTGATCTCTTTGATACATCTGAAGACCAATTATCTTTCACCTCTTTTATTTTTTTGGAAGGTTTGTCTCTGGATGAAAAAGACTTTCGGCTTTCTGGCGTCGATTCCTTTGACTTTGAGTCCGATTCTCTTTCCAACTTGAACCTTCCAGCCTCAGAAGTTCTTCTCAGCCTCTCATTTGAATCAGATCTGAATTTAGGATTTTGGCAGTTGTTTTTGCTCCCCAACAAATTATCGCAGCTTTTTTTTTTCTTTTTGGACACACCAGAGTCATCAGCTTGAAATTTAGTGTCACTTGTCAAAATGTTCTTCGGAAGATTTCTGTGGTTTTCTTGCTGATTTTTTAAATTTTCACTATTCTTTTTTCTTTTTTTAATCATCTCTTCAAGTTGTCTTTTTTCTGTTTCAGCTTTTTTCTTCTGTGTTTTAGATGGGGCTTCATCGGAGGTGTCCAGATCTGTGCCGTTGGGTGTTGAGGAGTTACTGTGCAAATCTTTAACTGGCGAACATCCATGGTCGGGACAGCTTAGGTCATCTACTTTCACCAGATTACTCTCAGAGAAAGCTCCATCCTCTCCATGCCTGCTTTAAAAGACAACATAAGACTGAAACGTGAAATACAAATATTACGCAAAATTACATGTTTAAAAGAAAAACAAAATACTTCACCTAGACGATTGTTTAGGGACCAGCGTTTTCCAACCTTTAACTAGCGACTTGGCCACTTCTCCAGCCTGTTTGTGTCTCCGAAAGGAATTAACCGTTTTGCCAATTCCCGTTTCCTAATTTGAAAAATCTAGTTAGTCAATTAAATTGTAACTTGCATTTTGCAGAAATAAAATATATATTTTCAACTCACAGCTAGAATGTCTAATGTGATATCCAGATCCTTCAGTTTCTGCAAAATCTTTAGCACCTGGAAAGAGGGCACATTATTGACAATGATATTGAGATTAATTTTATTTTATGGTTTCCATTCATGCAACTCGTCAGTTTGAAGATCGCTAAATGGCATAATTCACAGAGATACTATAGAAATGAAGGGTACGTTCCAGAAAAAGTGCACAGGCCAAATATGGTATTCCTGGTTTAGATCCCCACAGGTGCTGAGTGGGCATTTAGAGTAGAAGCTATATGGGGCCTCCACACACCCACTGATGATAGTGCTTTTACCACAAATTGCTTTAACTGAGTTTCCTGTGTAGATGTTTTTTATATTTAAAATAAACAAATTTGTTTTATTTTCTGCATTAAAAACCTGTCAGTGAACGGTCTAGCTCTGCACATGTCTACTTGCAGAGTTGCAGAAGCTGATCGCAACCCCCCCCCCCCCCCCCCCCCCCCCCCCACACACACACACACACACACACACTGATGGACAGCAGCCATCAGTTCGGCAACTGCATTTCCAATTTTAGCTGTAGGCAGCCCCTCTTGCGTATCAAAGCTCCACTCAAAAACGTTTAAGGAACTCGACCATTTAAGATCAGATGCACAAAACGGGGAAACACCCATCCTCAGTGAATGTCAGTCAAAAATCAGTTTAATGGCAGGAAGTGGCTGAGAGAAGGCTGGGGTTTGTTTAAGCGAGATAAACAAGAGGCAGAACCAACAAAAGGTTAAAAAAAATGTAAATAACAAATATTAACCGTTTTCCGCCTTTACCCCAGCTTATTCATGTCAGAGTGCATAAATAAGAATGTGTACCGTAGTAGGCTCTGTTGTGTCTGACAGCTGAAGTTTGAAACGCAGGATTTTCTTCACCACATCGGATTTTCTGGCCATCACGGAGGTTCACCTGCAACCGCTTGCGCACACCTGGCAGCGCACGCGCGCGTTAATTACCATTAGGCGGTGATGGGCGGGGCAGTTGATGGTGACGATAAAACGATGTAAGCTTGCATTCAAACAGAGAACAAAGGCTTCCGTGAACCAGGAAATGTTTCCATATTTATCAGAAAGAAAATTCGGAAGGCGAAAAACATCATTTATGTGGAAAAATAGTCCAAAAAAGGAATATTTAAAAGTTCTGTTTGTGGGGACTCTTCTTTGTCCTTATTTGAATTGGCACTGCTATAAAGAAGTCAGTGAAATAAATAAACGATTAATAACGCATCCACAAAATAAAAAATAAAATATGTAATGTATGTGTGTATTTTTTCTTGTCTTTTAATTCTCACACTATTTTGATGAGGGGAAAAAATCTTGATAATTTCAAGCAAGGACGTAATTTTCACTTTAGAAGTGGGGGGGACACGGGGGGGGGGGGGTATCTTTACAATATGTTCTAATGGGAAACCTGCTTCAACACAAACGGTTGCTTTCGGCTTGGTCCTAGAGCTCAACCAGTGTCAATTTAATATAGCGTAATATTGTTTTTGGATGGTAAAAAGTGCAGGGGTCAAAACTTGACTTTGGAAAAGTGGGGGGGACATGTCCCCCCTGTCCCCCCCCAAAATAAATTACGTCCATGATTTCAAGATAATAGTGAATCAACACTGGCCGTAGCCTCTTCACCTAAATACATCAACATTTATTATCCCATAAATGAAATTTTTAATGTTACAATGCTCTTATAGCAAAAGGAATATAGGAGAAGAAGACACAAAGTAGCCCAACATAAGCAATCAAAATTTGTAAGTACGGATTTAAAAAATCACATATATGCATAAAACTGTACAGGGATATGTACACAAGTGTGATGTGTGTGTGAATGAGCCTGGACTAGAGATTGAAGGGGATGTCTGATCCCTTCTTTCCCATGAATTGCACCATACTTGATTGGCACTCGCTCCTCCAGAGGAGGAGTTAACGTCATGTCTCTTTCTGCAAGCTGCCTGCTGCTCTCTCTCTCTCCTGCTCCAGTAACTGGAGGCACGAGTTCCTTCTTCATCAGCCTCAAATTCGTTTGTCAGGTAAGTGCAACTTTTCAATGCTGTAGGGACTAATTCCAATGCAGCCTGGATCATGTGTTGACATTTTTTAGATGATAATGTTCACTTTTCCTGCTTGAATATGACAAATAAACTGTAGAGTTTGGACCAAACTGAGCTTCTGTGGACAACTTGGAATCCAGACGACGTTGTGTTTTTTAGGTTAGTGATGATGCAATGCCAAACTTTTAAAGACGACATTGACTACTAATCATTTTTGATGAAACCTTGTTTTGAATTGAGAAGACTGTGAAGTTGTTCTGTTTAAACTCAGACAGTGATAGGACACAAGGCCTGCTGCTCATGCCTTAAAGTCTATAAAAGGAACGTCATGGGAGAGCCACCCAGTGTAGCTATTCCTGTACAAGCTGCTGATAAACTGTGACAGATGCAAGGGGGGGCGTGTTGACGTACTCACACCTTTCAAAATCACAAAACTATGTCTAAAATAATCTCAGATTTCTACAAAAACACTAATGAAATGTAACTCAATGTGAGATATTAGAAAAAGTCAAAGTAACTTCCATGTAAATGCCAGGATGCACTACTTGCTAACGTTGATTGGGATACATAGAAACATGCTACACTCATCACACATCTTCTTCTTTATCTCCTTGGATGAATCTTTTCTGACTATAAATGTCTTTTCTTGCTAATTCTGACATGCATGTGTATATATGTATATTTCCAGAAGGTCTGGGCTGTGTACCACTGCTACAGCCATGGCACCTAAAAAGAACAAGACAACCAAAAAGAGTAAAGGAGACATAAATGATATAATGGTTGAAAACAGCCCCATTAACAAGATCAATGGATTAAACACTCTGATAGAAGCAGGGAATGGGTTCAGCTGCATCTCCACGGAAGTCACCGACTCCGTGTATGCCCCAAATCTCTTGGAGGGTTTGGGCAGCATGAGGCAGGATAGGTTCCTCTGTGACTTGACGGTCACCACCAAATCAACATCATTTGATGTCCACAAAGTTGTCATGGCCTCTTGCAGTGAGTACATTCGAAATATCTTGAAGAAGGACTCAAGTCTCCAAAAGATCGACCTGAATGACCTCTCACCAGTTGGCCTTGCAACTGCTATCACATATGCCTACTCGGGAAAGCTCACCTTGTCCCTCTACAGCATCGGGAGCACAATAGCTGCAGCTATGCTGCTTCAGATTGGCACATTAGTGAAAATGTGCAGCGATTTCCTCATGCAGGAGCTCAGCGTGGAGAACTGCATGTACGTGGTCAACATCGCCAATGCATATGACCTTAAAGAAACCAAGGAGGCAGCTCAGAAGTTCATGCGAGAAAACTTCATAGAGTTTTCAGAGATGGAGCAGTTCCTGAAGCTGACTTATGAGCAGATCAATGAGTTTCTCTCAGATGATGCATTGCAGCTTCCCTCTGAGATCACAGCTTTCCAAATCGCCATGAAATGGTTAGACTTTGATGAGAAGAGGTTGAAATATTCTTCGGATCTTTTGACAAACATCCGCTTTGGCACTATCTCTCCGCAAGACCTTGTGAATCATGTACAGAGTGTACCGAGGATGATGCAAGATCCTGAGTGCCACCGTCTGCTTGTTGATGCCATGAATTACCATCTGCTGCCATATCAACAGAACATCTTGCAGTCACGCAGAACAAAGGTACGTGGTGGCCTCAAGGTGATCCTTACAGTCGGCGGACGCCCTGCCTTGACAGAAAAATCCCTCAGCAAAGATGTCCTCTACAGAGATGAAGACAAAGTTTGGAATAAGTTGACAGAAATGCCAGCAAAGAGCTTTAATCAGTGTGTGGCTGTATTGGATGGATTTCTGTATGTGGCAGGTGGTGAGGACCAGAACGATGCAAGGAACCAGGCAAAACATGCGGTTAGCAACTTCTGCAGGTATGAGCTAATTTACTGTATTTCTGCTTTGTGTGTATAAGTTGGTGCTAAACTAAAACATGACTAAACAGTTTCTTCTGTTTAAAATTTTTAGGTATGATTCACGCTTCAACACGTGGATTCACTTGAACAACATGATCCAAAGGCGCACCCACTTCAGCCTTAACATTTTCAACGGTCTCTTGTTTGCGATCGGAGGGCGAAACGCGGATGGTGTTCAAGCCTCTATGGAGTGCTATGTGCCTTCCTCCAACCAGTGGCAGATGAAAGCTCCAATGGAAGTGCCACGCTGCTGCCATGCCAGTTCGGTCATCGACGGCAAGATCCTGGTATCGGGAGGTTACATCAACAACGCTTACTCCAGAGCTGTTTGTTCTTACGACCCCGCCACCGACTCCTGGCAGGATAAGAGTAGTTTGAGCACACCTCGAGGCTGGCACTGCGCTGCCACTGTTGGAGACCGGGCTTATGTCACTGGAGGAAGCCAGCTTGGAGGGCGGGGAGAGAGGGTGGACGTCCATGTTGTTGAATCTTACAACCCGCACAACGGTCAGTGGAGCTACTGTGCACCTCTTCACACAGGGGTCAGCACAGCTGGCATTTCTGTTTTGAACAACAAGATCTATCTCCTTGGAGGTTGGAACGAGGGTGAGAAGAAGTACAAGAAATGCATTCAGGTTTACAACCCTGACCTCAATGAATGGACCCAGGATGATGAGCTGCCAGAAGCTACGGTTGGCATCTCATGCTGCGTTGTCACTCTACCTACCAGGAAAACACGAGAGTCCAGAGCCAGTTCAGTTTCATCGGCACCAGTCAGTATATAAAACATTACAATCATCATCTAGTTTTATCTGCCCACAATCTTGGTTTAGACCCTTCTAAATGGAATTCATCTTTCTGTACTTAGGGGATCATGGCTGACAAAGTGATAGTTCCCTCTTTACTTTTTGAAAGCTGGCTACAAGCCAAAATAAATCAAATAAAAAGTGTAAAAATGTGTTTTAAGATATTTTTCTTTGATTTTTATCATAGTTTGCATCACTTAACACCAGCTATTGTCTTCAAAAAAAGCGAGACAGGAGCTAATACATCGAATTTTCTTTCAGGGTCCAAGCTGGAATTTTTTTTTTTTTGCAATGATGTTATGATTTTCAGACTAGATAACAAATTCACTTGAACAAAAGAAGGTTTAAAACTTTTTTCTGAACATACCAATGGCCCATTTGTGATGATTTAGGGGGATGTGACTTCCACATGCAGGATGAAGGTAGGGTTGGAAGGTGTTGGTGGCACCTACCAGGAGTAGGTGGTTATGATTAGTGTTTAAAAACGCCAAGACAGCTGCGTGCAACTCAGATGCAGTACTTGTGTTATAACGTCTTTTGCCACAGTCACTGTGAGTGTGATTCAGATTCTGTATTTTTAAAAGAAGGTTAAGATTGAATGGGTTTAATTGTGACGTTAGTAAATTATTTTATTTTTAAAAAATGATAATTCAACACTGAAATACCAATCGGAGCCTGAGCTTTTCTGTAAGATCCCTGACTGCTCATGTCTTTTCATTTGTTGTTTGTTTTAAAATTAAATACAAAAAAATTATCTTTATTGATTTCTGTCTTTTGTTCAAGTTTTTTTCTTGTCTTATTTGAAAGTTTATGGTGTTATTTTGATCTCTTGAATGACCTACATAAATTTTTTTCTTTAAAGGATCAAATGACCGAAGTATTTAATCAAGAATATTGTAGACATAATTCACGTTAATCTGGATTTTTACAGTTAATCTGATCTCTTGATTTCAAATGAAACAACAAATATTACCCAGGTATAATTTTTGACAGTAGACATTTAAAATATGCACAAAGTAAAAATTTTCATGACTTGCCTCTCAGATTTGACCAGAGCAAGTATTTTTTTAATTTTAGGCTCACCAGAACGCTGAGTCATGTCTTCTAAAGTGCATCATAAAGATATGTCCTTTGAAAACCTGTGAAACTTTCATCATATGTTTATGATGTATATTAATGACTGTTTCAGGTGTTGTTTTGGTTTTGTGCACGCATCTGCTAGTGTTGAAGGTGTTTTAGAGAACAATAGGTACGCATGACCACTTCCTTCATAGCACCCTCAATAAAAAGACTAGCTCCTTCATAGCACCTGCAGAAAAATACATTTCTGGAGCCGCCTCTGCGTAGCTAATATTATATTATATTATATTATATTATATTATATTATATTATATTATATTATATTATATTATATTATATTATATTATATTATATTAATTTTAGGTACAAGGGGCCAACTTTTGCTGAGTCACGTAGGGATGTACTCGGCTCCGCCTGGATGAATCACGTGCTTAAAAACAGGAGGGCGGTTTTACGTACAACACAGCGTAACAGAGTACAGCGTCAGTCTGGTTAGGGAGCAACGACAAAGTGCTGGTTCACCTCGTTGTCAGTCCACCAGGCTCAGCTCGTGTCTCCGAGCCGAGGCTACCGGACTCTGGTAACACTTGTTCAGTTTAACATCAGCTGTTCGGTGCTGTTAGCGAGCTAACGAGGCATTAGCAGGTGATGAGCTGGGGCCTGTCTCTTCTGAATGCACAGCTAAGGTTACCAAACGGGCACACTGCGTGAACCGCACCGGGAGTTTCGTTATATTTCCTGCGACCTCTTCCGTGCCACCTAACAGAACGAAACCGTTCCGGTGTTTCGAGAACCGAGACTTTATTTCAGTTCCCTGCGAGTACAAACTAGCTCGGTAGCTAACCCTCGTTTAGCCGGCCGTGAGTCGTCCCTTCCTCCGGGCTGTCTGTGTGCGATGGGGCTGCTGTCACAAGGATCTCCGCTGACCTGGGAGGAAACCAGGAAATGTGCAGACCACATCAGAAAGCACGGCATCATTCAGTTCCTCAACATCTACCACAAGGTCAAAGAACGTCAGAAAGACGTGCTAAAATGGGGAGATGAGGTAAGTGAAGGAAAACAAAAGTCATGCAGCTTTGGGCTGAACCAGTATAGTCAGTGGGTTTGATCTGCCAGTCATGCGTGTCGTGGTGAAGAGCTGTTATTGATGCAGCCTTAGCTGAACCTGCCGCAACAAATCTGATGCCTTTTCCCATGGAAAAATCTGTTTAAATGGCTTGACCTGTCTTCTTTAGAAGCTGCAAGTTCGTTAAATAAATACATCTTTATGATTCATTTTGGATTTAAAACGCTAATCTGAAGCAAGTTCTAACAATTTCCACACACGTTGGAAAAGTATTCCCTCCTACATATGGAGAGGCGTGGATGTGTAGCAGTTTTTATGTATTTCTTTATTTAAGAATAAAAAACACATTTTCCTGATAGTGGCTCACCAAAACTTCAGTGTGCTACAGCTCGAACACGAGGTCTTCAATTTCAATCGATGTGGAATGCTGTTGTTATAGATTAATCCCAGTTTCAGACAGGGGGATTACACAGAAGCAGAGTCAAAGTCAAGGAAACATTACTGATGAATTGGAAATGATGTGATGGCGTCCCACTCTGGTCTCCGTAAAACCTCTGCTTCGTGCCTGTCGTCTATAGAAAGCTTTAAATTTGTATGTCACGTCTATGATGTTTTTGCCTGTCTTCGCTGTAGGTTGAGTACATGTTGGTGGAACTGGATGACAAAGATAAAAAGGTGCGACTGGTGCTGAATGGAAATGCTGTTTTGGAAACTCTTCAAGAGCAGGGTGAAAATATAAACCCCAAGTAAGTTTGATGTCTTTTTTTGCTTCTCGTTTTATCCAAAGAGTTTGGTAACGAGGCTGCACTTCTACCAGATAATCATGTAACTTAAAGGTGTTGAACTCTCGTTTAATCGATGTATTATAGTGGTCTCTAGTAGGAACGAATGCCCTGTAATTCACTGGGGGGAACATAAGCACATGTATCAGCTCGGAAAGTAACTTCAGACAGCAGGATTTGGAATCTTATTTCCTGATATTTGGACATCTTGCCTCGGATTGGATAACAACAACGTGACTCTATCACTGACTCTAACGTTAATGTTTTACCTCCACAAATAACACAAGGCTGAGAGTTCTGCTGTGTGGTAGAGTTGCTAATGCTAACACTCAGCTTCTGCTAGTCCAGACGTTCTCTGTTTCCAGGACGCTAAACCAGCAACATCCTACCCCATTAGGAGTCTAGATGGGTGAATCTGTGAATATTAAGTGACAGTGTGACATAGATCTGTCAGGCTTTTCAAATCCTAATATTTCATCATTTATTTTCTATCAGAAGCTAATGCAGGACGTGGGTGTAGAATACTGTTTTCATGTTCAGCCACCGAGTGTCCAATTAAAACCCAGGAAAGCCGTGTGTGCCTTTTGTGATTGTGCATGCACGTAATTTACACCTGTGTTGAGTGATGAGTTACCTGATCTGACACATGACCCAGTTGGTTTACCAATGCTTGCTTATATTGCCGTCTGACGGATGGATCGTGGATAGATGGGTGTGTCTCAGCGGAGTTTAATTATTATTGTAAAAAGAAAGAGTTGAGAACAAACTCCAGTAATCTGCATAACATTGAAAAATAGTTACTGCTTTCCTGAACAACCACTGTTGGGAGAAATGGTGCCCACATCCAACAGGACTGATGAGCTGATGGTTTAAGGTAGAGCCCACTTCATTGAAAGAAAGCTGTTCAAGCAAGCTATGTTTTAGGCAAAAAAAAATAAATCTCCAAGGAACATCTTCCCCTTTTCTTGAGGTTACTCAAAGAGTCACAGAATCGCATGTTCACAGAAAATGTTATAATACCAGACAAACGGCCATAAAAACATAACGCTACCTTGTCAACCCATTGTTTGCACCTTTTCTGCTGTAATTCCTAGGGATGTAAGAAAATATTGATCTGGCAAAATATCGCAATATTTTTTACTGCAAATTATATTAATATTCAAAAGCCGTGTATCGATTTTGGGGGGGGGGGGGGGGGGGGGGGGAGAATTTACATGCAAGTATTTGCGTATTTTCTTTTCTTTTGGTGTTTTTCAAAGGCCACCTGCTTGTTGGCAGCAGTGTGCAGTAGGGTTGTCACGGTGTGAAAATTGAACCTCACGGTTATTGTGACCAAAATTATCACGGTTTTCAGTATTATCGCGGTATTTTTTAAAACGCGTTACATTTTCAGACAAATAAACCCTGTATATCAGGGAAATATTGTCCTCAGTTTGTGTCTAAATTTAGCCTAAAATGTGTTATTTTGTAATTATGTTGTTTATTTGTTTACATTTTTCATCTTTAGTCTTTAAAATACCAATACTTGCCCATAACTTATTTTTTGTCTGTTTGATGTCATCATTTAAAAAATAGTAGACAAGATTATACTCAGTACTCAAGTAGCCTTTTAATCAGATACTTTTTTACCCTTACTTGAGTAATAACCCCTATATCAGGAAAATATTGTCCTTGGTTTGTGTCCTTCCAGTGAGCTTTGCAGATGTGGGAAAATGTCATCAGGCAGTAATCATTGTTAAATTCATAATTATTCTCAGAGAGAGACCAACTCTTATCTGCCCCTGGGAGCCCCGTAATGCATAGCGTCATTTCAACATGGGGGTGTCCGCGACACGGTTTATATGCAGGTAGCGGCGCTGCGGCTGCTTTATATAGCGACTCGTTGCATTCTCCCTCAACCCAAATCCTCGGATCACGCATTTTAGCTAAAACGCTAACGTTAGCTTGCCTTGCGTTGACTGTAGAGTTGTGGGTGATGGTCACGCAAATGTGTCATGAGAATTGAAGCATTGCTGCCTTTCACAGACACTTTTTCTGCACTGGCTGCAAACAGGATAGCTGTCTTCTAACTGTCCCTCGGCATTCTTCAAATATCCAAAAACTGCCCATACTTCCCACTTTGTCTTCTTTGAGGAATAATAAATGTCCTGAGCGCTGCCGTCTCCTCCTTTGGCCATTATTTCAGCTTTCGCTTCAAGAAAGTTTTGGTCGTAAACAACAAAGTGCGCATGTGCCGCCAGCAACTTCAGCAGATGATACGGTGGCTGGTAAGGGTCACCATGCCTACACCGCAGCCACGGTAACCCACCGAGATAATTATTTTTTTTTTAAATAGACTGTTATTATTATTGTCAACGTTTTTACCGGGGTTTACCGCTACACCGGTTACCTTGACAACCCTAGTGTGCAGTGGGTTTTGTTTCCACCATTGAAATGTAAACCCCTCTATCATGGTTCAGAAACCTCATGTTAAACATGTTGCATATCAGTTTGGACTGTTTGAATTTTCCTACAATAAATTCTGTCTTTAAAAAATCGCTAATATCGTCCGTGATAGCGGGGATGGGGTGGTTGCACTCGTTCCGCTGCTGTTTCTCACCAGTATCAGCTGATGGAGGGCTCTAGTTTCATTGCGCCGTTCGTGTCAGCGGACACGGTAGGGTCGGGGCGGGGCATGACGCTTAGCCTGGCGGGTGGGCAAACAAAGCCTGGCAGGCCGCCAGGCTTATAAAGGGCTGGGGAAACCCTGGTGATATCATGATACAGAGGAAACAATACAATGTATGTATCGTATTGCCAGAATTTCACCAATACACATCCCTAGTAATTCCTAATGCATGTACGTAACCATATAACTATTTAGTATGCTAGATAATTCAGTGTGGTGTTTTTCATGGTGAAAAACAAGGCACATTTTTGCTTTTATCAGTTTATTTTTAACTTCAAAGTCACAGCAGCTCAGTGCAGCCGACAATCTGGAAAAACCTGACAAACAACTAGTCAAAACATCCCGAACCTATCACACTCTCTCCACCGTGTTGGCTTCGGATACACATGTGTACGCAAGTATGTTGCTCTGCCAGCTGACAAAACACCTGCTGCGCTCACAGACGACAGATCCGTCACCTGTTTTCCAACAAGAACCGAACCAGACTCAAAACAGAACCTGTAAATTAACTCCTTAAGTTAATTCGCCCTATTCCAAGTCTTGCCAGCCCGGTTCTGGCTTTACTTCCTTTTGAGCTGCTTCAAACTAAGAATGTGCACATGGAGGGTAATGCTCAGAGACGATCAGAGGGCAATTTGATGGATGTGTCATGGTTCAGTTATTGTGAATGATGATTGGATGAGGTTTTTCTAGGATTGTACTTTTCAGACACGATTAAAGTAATCCATTTTTTTGACAAAACATTTAATTTATTGGTAGCCATCAGTATGCTAAGACCTTTTCAAACAATACAGCAAAATATGTTCCAAATATAACCTCTCCTACTTTATTTTCTAAACAAAAGCACATTGCCTTAAATCACCTCCGGTTATTATATTTTTACCACCTTGCAGTGTGGTGGGCATTTATTAATTTTTCTGTGAAATGGATGGCCATTATTTATGAAAGGACTATTCCCTGCAAAACATCTCCAAACCTCAGTAGCCCCTCTTTAAAGGTAATCAACCATCCAACCGCTGTGAATGTTTTCATTCAGGCTGGAGGGTGTTGTGTTAGCCCACTGGTCATGACGTCAGTGTAAAATCTTTGCTGCTAACTTCACCCAGAGGTAAATACCAGTGGCAGTAACGATAGCAGATCCCGTGCGTTCCTCATTACTGCCCCTCTGTTGCACACATCAGTGGGCCGCCAGGTTTTTGCCGCCACCTCATGAAGAAGAAAAAAGCTGTTTTATCTAATGACTAAGGTCACTGTGATAATGTCACTAGGGCTGACGCAGAAAAAGTCGAATGTTTCCACAACATGATTCATGTTATTACAGTCACCCCACACTTTGGAGACCAGAGTACAGCAAATACATGATCGAGGGAACTCCAGGCCAGCCGTACGGAGGGACGATGTCGGAGTTCAACACGGTAGAGGGCAACATGAGGAAGAGGCGCCTGGAGGCATCGTCTGTCCTCAGTCAGAACCAAACCCTCTGCACAATCACCTCCTTTCCAAGGTGCCGGTGTTCAAACAGCATTTCAGCTTTTTTTATTTCTTTTACAGACTTTTTAGTTAGCTGAAATATAAAATATGATGTGCGTAGTCTCATGTTTGAAGTCCTTTGTTTAGATTAGGTTGTCCAGGTTTTACCAAGCCAGAGTACCGACCCACTCCGGTTGAAAAGGGAGTTTCTAAGTCGCTGTTTTTTCCAGATGAAGCTATTAACGGACATCCAAGATTCAGGTGGGCTTTGTTAGAGTTTTAGAAAACATAAAATTCTCATTTATACCGTTTGTTTTTGGGAGTTTTCTGAGGTTAACTGCCCCCCCCCCCCCGTCCCCCCCCCCCCAGCACTCTGACAAGAAACATTCGCCATCGAAGGGGAGAGAAAGTTGTAATAAATGTGCCCAGTAAGTTTTTATTTCAAAAATAATGAAAATGCAGAATCTGATTTAATTTTAAAATCACATTAGCTAAAACATTCCTGATGAGTTTAATGTTTCGTCATATGATTCGTTTTCTGGACCTTGTGAGCTTTACGACACACAAAAGGGTCTTTCTAAAGCGATTTTGTTGTATTCTCCTGTTTCAGTCTTCAAAGACCAGCGCACCCCGGCTCCGTTTGTGGAGGAGTTTCCTGAGGACGACGGTGAAGCGGCGCGGGCAGCTCTGCCTGACCACATCTACATGGACTGCATGGGCTTTGGCATGGGCAACTGCTGCCTGCAGGTAGAGCAGGATTTGACCCAGCTGCCAAATCTGTTTATTTTGTTCATGGATGTGGATTATATAATAATTTATAACTTATTTGTGTAACTGCAGCCCTACCGTCATAATAAGTGATTTATAAATGCACTTCAGCCTCATTTGTGCTGCTTTTGCAGGTGACATTCCAGGCTTGCAGCATTGATGAGGCAAGGTATCTTTATGACCAACTAGCAACATTCTGCCCCATCGTGGTGAGTGGCTGTATGGATTGTTTCCTGATCTATTTTTCATCACACCAACTGCTACACAAGCAAGTGATCAGTCCCTTACTATGAAGATAAACCTTTTTTTATGTATTGCTTGCGCTAGATCATGTTTCACTCATTGCAGATGGCGTTGAGTGCGGCCTCTCCGTTCTACAGAGGCTATGTGTCAGACATTGATTGTCGCTGGGGGGTTATTTCTGCCTCGGTGGATGACAGGACTCCAGAGGAACGTGGGCTAAAGGTGAGCTGAAGATGCCAAAGTTCAATTAAGACTGGAATGTTCCTATAGATGATGCATTTTAGATTTCTTATTCTGTTAATTGCATTTAGAAAATGATTGATGTATACTCATTATGATTAAAGATGGTCATTGATGCAAACTTAATTCAGTGTTTGAGAATAGTCCTTTAATAGTCGTACCTCTCAGATTTTGATATGAAGTCCAGTAAATCATGAATAAATCCAGTTTCTCACATTGTACGGCTCACCACATAATACCATATCTAACACGTTTTCACTGCAAAGCTCCACCTGGTTTGACGTCCCAGTTTGAGGTGATTTAAATAACATAAAGTAAAGATAGGATAGTATTTCTTAAAAAAAAGCTGCAACTATTTGAAAGTATACAATTCAAAGCTCCAACCCGCCTTCAGGCGTACCTCACTAAGCCCCACCTCCAGAATGCTTATGCAACATTTCCAGGAACAAACAGTGACTCACATCACTGCTGAGCTTCAAACAGCATGTTTATGATGTCTTATTTCCTGATATTTAGGCATCTCTCCTCAGATCGGATAATAGATATGCGACGCTACTACTGACTTGCAGCCAAGGACGGATTAGCCATATGGGCAACTGGGCAATTGCCCAGGGGCCCACGAACTCTAAAGGGCCCAGGCCCAGGGCAGCAAGAGCATGAGCAAAATACTGTATCTGTAATCTCCCGCTTTATATTAAACTAGGGTGACCATACGTCGTCTTTTCCCCGGACATGTCCACTTTTCACTCTCTGTCCGAGGGGGTTTTTGTAGCCTATTGATGAAAATGTCCGGTTTTTCATCCAGGAAGGAGCAGGGATCGAATTATGGGGGAGCTGGATATCCTACACATCCAGGGGAGCCGGATAAAAAGTTTTCTACCTATATTACATCATTTATGGACTCTTCTGAGCAGAGGGCGGCAGAGCGATGATCGTTGGTGTGCAGTGCTCCAGGCTGCTGCGTCCAGCGCACGGTCCATTCTCAAAATGGCGCAACCAAAAAAAACTATAATTAACACACGATCGTTCATGTCCGCACATGTTCTCTACTTTCTGTCTTATTTGTGCCTGAAGTGCTCTGCTACTGCGGAGCTCATCACCTGTGCTGCGGCGATTTCACCTCACTGACGCAGCATCGAAATGTGCTCTCCGCTTTGCGGTCAGGAGATCCCTTTGATCTGCTCAAAAGTAACTGATGAGGTGAAAAAGTAAGAATCCAGGCAGCAGTTTTTCTGGAGAGTTTAGAGGAGGTGCAGGAAGATGAGAGACAGGACAGGAAATAGTTAAATAAAAACAAGGAAACAAAACTAAGTGTTGAAAAGTAAAATGTAGGTAGATTTATCTCCACTACACGTTTTTACCTGTATAAAACAATAAGTTCTACACGTCATATTTATGCATTTGATACAATTCAGATCACCTTCAAAACTGTCACACACCCAGGGCCATTTCAAGACATTTTGGGGGCCAAGGCAAAATGACCCCCCCCCCCCCTGCAGACTGACCAATGAAGAGAGGACCAAAGGTTGCCCTGAGCGGGTTACGTGATGTCAGGCGTTCAAGTATTGAGTATATTTACTGCATATTACAGTAAAATATTCTGTATGTGACCATTTTATGGTGATCCTTGGGCCATGATGATGGGACCCTTGAATATTGTTGCCCAGGGTACAACGAAGTGTTAATCTGGCCCTGCTTGCAGCGTGAATGTTTTATCTCCACAAATAACATAAGCCTCTGGGTCATTCTGCTGAGTGGTGGAGTTGCTAATGCTAATGGCTAGCTTCTACTAGCTGACATGTTCTCTGCTGTTTCCTGGAGACTACACCAACAGCCTTCTCCGTCATGAGCCAAGATGGTTGAGTCCATGAATGCTAAGCGACAGCCTGATGTAGATCTGTCAGGATTTCCAAATCCTAGAGTTTCTCTCCGAAGCTAATGCAGGAGATGGGTGTAGGAGACTATTTTCATGTTCAGCCTGCATGAAAAACTGAGTGATGGATTGTAATCAGAAATAATCATTACAAAAGTGTTTTCAGTGTCCCACAGCCTTAAGCAACTTGGCAACATTAGCAACTCCACCACACAGCAGAACTCCTCCCTGGTTGTGTTGATAAAACATCAATGTTGCAGAGCAAAAAGTCTGTGGTAGATTCCTGTTGAAACCATACAATCCGAGGAGAGATTTCCAAATATCAGGAAATAAGACTCCCAACTGTACCTTTTAATCTTGTTTTTCAGCCTTTGAAAAACAACAAATACAGGATTTTCAAGTCCAGATATGACTCGATTGACAGCTATCTGTCCTGCTGTGGTGAGAAGTACAACGACATTAACTTGATAATAGACGAGGAAATCAACAAGCAGCTTCTCGATGCAGGTACGATTTGTTTAAATCCACCTGGGCATGCTCCTACAGCTGTGAAATATGAAAATGTGTTGGGTTTGGTTTTTCCAGGGATTGACAAACTGCTGGCTCAGCACATAGCTCACCTCTTCATACGAGACCCGCTCTCTGTGTTTGAGGAGAAAATCCACTTAGACGACGAAAACGAGTCTGATCACTTTGAGGTTTGGATTAACGGAATCCATAGATGACAAATAATTGTTAATGTGAAGATTACATTTAATCCGGTCATTGGACTTAATGTTTTTAATCAAACTTCTTGTAGAACCTTCAGTCGACAAATTGGCAGTCGATGCGGTTTAAACCCCCACCTCCGAACTCTGACATCGGCTGGAGGGTTGAATTTCGCCCCATGGAGGTATTTACTACAAGTTTTTAATCTGAATGTAGATTAAGCTACTTGTAGAGACGGATGTTTTGGTTTTGGCGCACAGGTGCAGTTAACAGACTTTGAGAATGCTGCATATGTGGTCTTTGTCGTCCTGCTCACCAGAGTCATCCTGTCCTACAAACTGGACTTCTTAATCCCCTTGTCAAAGGTAACAATAGAAAATGGATACTTCTACCATTTTAACATTCAACCCCGGCGATGGATAATGAATTTTTTTCCACTGATGTGGAATAAAAATATTTTTATAGGTTGATGAAAACATGAAGGTGGCACAGAAAAGAAACGCTGTCCTGGAGGGAATGTTTTACTTCAGAAAAGACATCTTTAAAGGTACATGAAACAGGAAGTAGAACTGCATGCAAATCCAGCTGGCCGCTGTTTCATCATTTCTGTTTTGAACAGGCTGCAACCCGGTCTTTGATGGTGCTGCTTCTGCTCAGAACGGCTTGGAAACCGACTGTGGAAACGAGGAGTACATGCTGATGAGCATTGACACAATCATCAATGGAAAGGTGGTTTTTATTAGTTAGTTTAGCTTAATAATCAAGTTCTGATTCTCATTATTATGTACTGACATCTAGTGGTTGAATTGCAGTTTGCAGTCATTTAAAAGATTCTTTCACTGAGAAACGGTGCAATACTTGTTCTTTTTGAAACACAATCGGTCACTCAGTCTTTTACCCTGTTTCCTGCATTAGCAGCAGACAGGATGTGAGTGAGAAAGTAGAGGAAACATTCGGGTCAGAAAAAATCAGTTTCTTTGACTTATGCCGGTCCTCGGGAAGGAGGGAGCAGAGCACAAATCCGCTAGTCAAAACTAACCATTTCCAACTGTTTTTTTGCAAGGTCAAACATTTTAACAATCGCTACAAACATTCCAGTCTTTAAGGAGGAAATACTAGTTTACATGCAAATGTTACCATTCTGGAATGTTCTTTGGTAAATGATCAGGAAGCGGTTCTTCTACTTAGTCTTTCTTCTACCCTCTGAAACAGGAGCACTAGAGACGCACACACACACACACACACACACACACGTTTGATTTAATGATGAATCGCTCCTGTACACAGTAATAAAGGCTGGGGAGACATTTCAGCTGTTAGAGTGAGGCGTTAAAAAGACGGAACGTGCAGCGAGGAAATAAGTTTTGCTCTTGGTTCTACTAAATATCAAAGATGATATGATGGATGAAGTACAAATGGAAGGGTATGAACTTTATTTTGTAAATAGAAAAAATAAAAGAGGTGGTGGGGTTGCCCTGTACATTAAATCAGATCTAAAATGTAAACTAGTTAAGGAAATGACAATGATGGAAGATAATGTTATGGAAATTGTAACTGTAGAAATCAGCAATGAAGCTGCTAAAAATACTTTAATTAGTTGTTTATATAGAGCACCAGGATCATGTATTGGGATATTTAATGAAAAAATTATTGAATTGGTTGATCACATTAAATACAAAACATTTTTTCTATTTGGGGACTTTAATATTAATTTAGAACATGAGGCTGGACAGATAACTAAGGATTTTGCAGATTCACTGTACAGTGTAGGTTTATTTCCCTTGATAAACAAGCCAACTAGAATTACATCTCTGAGTTCAACAATCATTGATAATATATTCACTAACAATAAGGATGATGTCCGGAAAACTGGGATATTAATGACGGATATTAGTGACCACCTACCTGTTTTCGCAGTCTTCAAATACAAACATTCCATAAAACAAAACATCACCATAAACTACAGAAGAGATAAATCAGTTAAAGCCATGGAGGCATTAACCAAAGATCTTAATAAACAAAATTGGAAGGAGGTATACGTCAGTGATGTCAATGCTGCATACACATCCTTCATGAAAATACTGTTGAAGTCATATGATAACTGCAAATTAATCAAATCTACAGGTAAAAGGGAAAATCAGCCTTGGATGACTAAGGGATTAAAGAATGTTTGTGCAAAAAAGAATAATTTAAATAGAGGAGTTTTTTTTAAATTGCAAACAAGGGAAGCAGAAGATGGATACCGTAATTTCCGGACTATAGAGCACACCTCAGTATAAGCCGCACCAACAAAAAAGGTTTTCTACACACACACGCTGCACTCGGGTACAAGTCGCGGCGTAGCAGCCACATGCAGGTCTCCGGCGCACAGCGCATGTATGGCCATAGCATAAGATAATTAGACAGAAAGATGCTAAACGGAGGTTTTTCGTTGTTGTTTTAATTCAACAAAACACATTTTAAACACGGGTGAACGTGCCTGCAGGTTTAGAAAAGAAAACGGCACTGATAGCATTCATATTTCTGGATGGTTATAAAATAAAAACAGAACTGACACATTATACCGGTAATTTGCATGTTTAGAAGAAAAGAACAGCGCTGACACAGCATTAACAAGCCCTGGATGATTAGAAAATAAAAACTGCACACAAAACATGCCTGGTTAGTAAATAAAACACACTTGCCTACCAGAAGAAGTCATTCGCTCTCATCTTCCTCTTGCGCACTAAAGCCATTAAAGTCCTTTTCTTCAGTGTCGGAGTTGAACAGCCTCAGAAGAGCTTCGTCACATACCTTTTCTGTGGCAATGTCAGTGTCGCTGTCCGTGTTGCTGTCATCATCCCCGGGTGAAGCTGGCTTGAATGAGTTCTTCCCGCTGTCGTCTCCAGCGCCGAACCAAGGATTCATTCATGCCAAGCTTACATGCGGCAGCACTGTTTCCCTCCTTTACTGCCAGATGGATGGCCTTCAACTTAAATGTGGCATCATATGAACTCCTAGTTATCATGATGAGGGGGTATGGATTTGAAAAAATGTCTTCGTCGTGCTGGCTGCTTACATGTGCTAAATTAAAATGAGCACTTCCTTCGATTTCCACTTTTGACTTCCACCAGTTTCACTTTCTGCTAAAGTGTCCCCCTGGCAGGTGAAGGAAAATCTTCAGTAAAGCCGCACCTCATTATAAGCCGCATGGTTCAAAGTGTGGGAAAAAAGTAGCGGCTTATAGTCCGGAAAATACGGTATAAAAATATAAAAATGAATTGGTAACAATAATTTGGAAGCAAAAAAAAGATTATTATGGTAATCTATTGAATCAGAATAAAAATAATGCAAAAGCTATTTGGGGAATACTAAACAGTGTGACTAATAGAGAAAAAACAAAATCCAGTATTCCAAATCACTTTGTCAAGGACAAAAAAATATTTATAATGATAAAGAAATCACTGAGTTTAATGTTTTTTTTGTAAATGTAGGTAGGAGTTTGATGGAAAACAAACCAATAATAGAAGATAAATTGACCACAATGATTAGTACTGTCAATAGTATTGTCCTTGACAAAGTAGATAAAGAAGAAATACGAAACATTGTAAAAAAAAAAAAACTGTGGAAACAAACGATCAACCGATTATCAGGATCTGGACATGATAAAACCATCATAGAATCTGTCATTGAACCATTCACTTACATTTGTAATCTATCACTTTCTACTGGAAATTTTCCTGACGCATTGAAAACAGCGAAAGTCATTCCTTTGTATAAGACTGGTGATAAACATAGTTTCAATAATTACAGGCCGGTGTCACTGCTTCCACAGTTTTCTAAAATATTGGAAAAAGTATTTGTATCAAGGTTGGATAAATTCATCGAAAAAAAATAATATTTTAAACAATGAACAATATGGGTTTAGAATTAAACATTCCACAGCAATGGCAATAATGGAATTAACGGATAAAATATCAACAGCAATTGACAATAAAATGACTTTTAGTGTTTTCATTGATTTGAAAAAAGCTTTTGACGTCATTGATCACTCAAGGTTACTTCGAAAATTAAGTCAGTATGGAAAAAGAGGTGTGGCTTATCAATGGGTTAAAACTTATTTAGAAAAAAAGGAAACAGTTTGCTCCGATAAAGGACCATACATCAAAACTATGTGAAATTAATTGTGGCGTGCCTTAAGGGTCTGTCCTCGGACCTAAACTGTTCATTTTGTTTATTAACGACTTGGTAAATATATCTAAGACACGGTAACATTCTATTTGCAGATGATACACTGTTTTACTCAGGATCAAATATTGAGGAGGTGGCTAAAGTGATAAATGATGAACTGATTAAAATTAAAAACTGGTTTGATTATAAATAGATTGACACTGAATCTTAATAAAACAAATTTTATACTGTTTAATGATAAAAAGAACAGTGATGTGTCATTGGAAATAGATGGGATTAAAATTCAAAGAGTAAAAGAAACTACATTTCTTGGAGTTCTTATTGATAAAGAGTTGACATGGAAATCCCATATTAGTTACGTAAAAGGTAAAATTGCCAAATCCTTAGGGGTATTACATAGTCAAGGTTTTAGTGACTAATTCTGGTTTGTTTGTATTGTACAATTCACTGATCGTTCCATACTTGACTTATTGTGTAGAAATCTGGGGAGTAACATACAAAAACTATACACAACCCTTATTTATTTTACAGAAAAGAGCTCTGAGAATCATCAATTATAGTGGCTGTAGAGATCCATCGAAACCATTGTTTATAAATATAAATTACTGAAATTTCATGATTTAAAAGACTGGAAAATCTTACAAACCATGTATAAAGCCAATTTAGGTACTCTGCCAACAAACATTCAGGGGATATTTGAAAAGGGAACTAGTAATGACATGCTGAACGAAACTGATGTGTTTACAAAACCTAGATTTAGAACTAAACTAAAATTAAGGAATGGAATATATTTGTGAATGGTGTTAAATTATGGAATAACCTTAAAAGGGAAATTTAAAAAACTGTCATTTAATATATTCAAAAAATGTACCAAATTGAGTGTACTAAATAGTTATGAAAAAGTAAATTAAATCAATGATCATGATAGCACTGGAATTTAGAACAGGAAAAAGTTTAAAATGAATCTGTATGTGTGTCTGACAAATGGAAATTGTATATAAATTGATTATTTCTTCTGGAAAAGGGGGCAGAAATTATAAGGTTTTTCTTCATTCTGCTCCTTTTCGTTCAAATTTTAATTGTTTGTTATGTATTTATTATTGTTTATATGTTATGTTTTTATTTTGAATGAAAGAAAAAAAGAGGAAAAAATAGACACTAGGTGGTGCTAAAAGCAAATCAAAACTGCCAAGTGTGCAGTTGTAATTGTTTAATTTCTCCCTCAACTTCCTAATCACCAGGAAGGAGTATTTCAGGGGCTAATCCCAATTCTGAACTGCTACCTGGAAAACATGGAAGTAGACGTCGACACCAGATGCACTATTTTGAATTATCTAAAACTCATCAAGAAACGTGCTTCAGGTAAGCTTCTACGTCAGTTTAAATGTCTTTTAGTGTTTAAAGGATCATGGATTCCACCTATTGTTGATCTAAATTAGGTGAGATGATGACCATGGCCAAATGGATGAGGGAGTTTGTCGCGAAGCACCCAGAATACAAACAGGACAGCGTCATCACCGACAAGATCAACTACGACCTGTTTGAAAAGTGCGACAGGATCGCAAAAGGCGAGGAGCAGTGCCCCGAGCTTTTTGGACACCCGGTTAATCGGGTAAAGTGATAAATGCTGCACCGTTTATTTCCAAACACGCATGTTGAGCCACTTTTCCGCCGGTCGTGAGAGCGTCACGAACGGCCATGGCGTTATAGTGGACGGGTTTCTTTCCACCAGCAGCAAAGTGTGATATTTTGGCGTCCAAGAAGCAAAGAGATAACTTTTACACTTCTTAAACACGTCAGCATCTGCATTTTAGATCGAGCCAGACAGGATGTTGAATACAAAAGCAACATCTTTAAAGGTACTTGAAACATCTGAACTTTCAAAATAAAAGTAATGCTCAAATAAACGTACTTCATTTCCGGTAAAAATCCCTCTTAACCAATGTAAACGAAACAAAATAAGCCACCGACCTTTTTGGATGCATGTAGCCGTCTTTTTGCTTATAAATTCCAAAATCACACATCTGGCAATTCTCCCGTGATCATGTGACCTTACGAGATTGGCTGTGTGGGACGCTTTTGCTTCCGTTTTTTGCGTCAGAATCGCTTCCGGTTGGAAGGGAGCCCCCCGGTAAAACGCCTTCGTGTCGTTACACACCACTTTCAAGTCAGGTGGAAAAGAGGCTTAAGACAACGACCAAATGAAAGAAGTCCAATCGTAAGAGAGCTTAGCAGCATGTCTGTGTGTATTGTGAAGAAATACACTTGCATCAAATACATGTATATACACTGTATGAGATTTTTATGATTACAGAATTATTTTAATAGGCTGAAAAGAGGGTGTGTAATACAAAAATCAGATGTGTATTTTTGTCTGAAAATTAAACGTGTGTGTGAACCTGTAAATGTAGCAGTTGTACAGTAGGCTGATTTTAATCTTTTATTCTGTAAGTGTTCTATTAACAATAATTTCACTTTCTTTTGCTAAGAAGAACTTTAAAACTGAAGAAATTCCTTTTGTTTTTGTCATTAAGACATGTTTGCTTTGCTGCTGATTTAGTAGTGGGACCTGATCTTGTTGCATTCAGTTGGAAATTGTCAACCAATGTTTGCCATGTGAAAATAAACCTGTACACCAGTCGTTCCTTTGGCTTGATGAGGAAAAATCCAAGATTATTCCTAAATGCATCTACCTGCAGTGCTGTTAGGGATTTCTCAAAACATTAAAAAATGTATTCAGACATCTGATAATTCATAATGTAAGAAAAAATATTTAATCTAAATTCACTTGTAAAAGTCATCCACTAGATGGCGGTAAAGAGTTACAGACTCATGCGACTTGAAGCCGCTGTGACATGGACGCCTCAATCTGAGCTAATGATTAGTCGCTACAACACGAAGATCTACTATAAAAACTGTTAAAGGGGTAAAAATTATACATTTTATAAATTCATATTGCACTTTAAGAAAATTGATCATGCAGCTGCTGTATTGATTCAAACCTCTCACAGGTGCACTAAACATGACTCAGTATAAAAGTCAGCATCGTTCTGACTTGTGGTCAGAGGTTAGATCTGTAGAGCTGTTATTGTTATTTGAAGTTCCAGCAGCGCTGATGTTAGGTGATGGTGGGTGGGGCTTGATCATGCCACTGAATCTGACCAATCAGAGGAAGAAGCAAAAATGGAAAGGAAGGAGAGAGGCCTCTTTTAACAAACCATCTCCAAATATGCAGAAGAAACCTGCCCTGAGGAAATATGCAATAATTTATTTTAATGGCAAGAGAACCAATTTAGATCTTGCTCTAATTACTAACTCAGTTGTTAATGTGTGTCAACATAACACATAAATGGTGACAAAGATTTCTGTATAAAATATTTAGTTGTTTTTTTTTTTTTTTTTTTACAAAAATAATCTCACTGCACTTCTTACTCTACATGTTTGCTGATGTTTGGCTCATTGATTGTTTTATTGCCAAGCCGATGGAGAATGAAAAGTACACTTATCAGATTTTTTCAACACTCTGCAGTATCCCCTTATGATGCATTAAGTTAAAATATCAAAATAACCCATGACCTTCGTCCCAGAAATCCACCAGTGAAGCAGGAGAAACATTCACACAGGGAATAAATGTCATCAGGATTCATTTTTGTCATGAATCTTCACTTTATGACTTGTTATGTTTTTTACAATGGTAAAAAAAATATGATTACATAAAGCTGTATATGAAGCACCATAGTGACCCTGTTGGAACAATCAACCGTTTTAACGCTATCTCGGTAGTACTCAGACTCTAGTTTAATAGCTTTATCAGTTCAGCAAGGCACCATGCTGACACTGATTTGTAAACACAAAGTACAACTGAGGCTGACAAGTCATCACCAGCCACATCAGCTGAGTGTTGTGATAAATAGCTAAATGTTTCCTGGAGACACAAACTGTTCTTGAACATATCTGAAAATATCTATCTATCCATCTATCCATCGTCTATCTATCCATCTATCCATCGTCTATCTATCTATCTATCTATCTATCTATCTATCTATCTATCTATCTATCTATCTATCTATCTATCTATCTATCATCAATCACAGCAAATGGCACTCATCATGGCAGGCCCTGATCAACAGAGGCTAAGATCTACCACACCAGACAAGACCCAAGGTGTAGGCTATGCAAAGAGGCCCCTGAGATAATCCACCATTTAACTGCAGGGTGTAAGATGCTGGCAGGGAAAATGTACATGGAACGCCACAGCCAAGTAGCTGGCTCTGTGTAGAGAAACTTCTGTGTACAGTATGGACTGGAAGCCCCAAGGTCAAAGTGGGACTTCCAGATTCAGAGTGATAAAATGGTGATGGCGAACCAACCGTACATTTTGGGTGGCCGACAAACAACAGAGGACAGCCGTTGTGGTGGATGTGGCAACACCGTGATGCAACAGCAGGAAAAAGCAACACGAGAAACTAGGGAAGTGCCAGGGCCTCAAAGAAGAACTCAAAAAAGCCTGGAGAGTGAAGACATCGGTGGTGCTTGTGGTCATCAGGACAGTAACCCCCATAATCAGCTGAAATGACTAATAATACTTTTGAAGAAACTATTTTTGAAGTATCGATGTGTATAAAAGACATCTTATTCATTCACTTGACACCAGGAGTCAGTTTTCATTATTTGTATGTATTCATTTATTATAGTAACGCTATAATTCAAACATTACAAATGTAAATTAAATTTATTATCAAGTACGAGCCAAAAAGTGTCAATATAAACTTTTGTCCTAAGTGGATAAACCGCACTAAATAGATCTTCGATAGAGTTAGTGGTATAGTTTCACGTTTCCAAGAAAACAATATATGTCTCAGTTATTAGTGTTAAATGCATCGATGTGCTCTGCAGTTGACTTCAAACTGTTGAATTTTGAATTTCTATAGAACTAATGTGGAGTGGTGGGCGGAGCCTGATCAGGTCAGAAGAGCTGACCAATCAGAGCAGAGTGGGCTATCTGGGAGGGGTCAGTTTAACTTTACTACTTAATGGTTTACCATTTTCTTATTAGGAGAGGGAAACTTGTTATTTAAACTGATAGGCTGCTGATGACATTTTTGGTCCCTGTAAGTTATGGCTTTGCAAATAGTAAAATTAATGAAAAAAAAAATTATATATATATATATATATATATATATATATATATATATATATATAATTCAGTTCACTCCAGGATTGATAATAGAATCTCACTGGCTGCCAGGTTAAAACTGAGTCAGCTGCATTCATTAATTATCTAAATAAAAATAGATTTATAGGATGAGATATTTCAAACTACAACACACTAATGCACATTTTTTATCATTCTTGTCCTAACTATTTGGTTTTGGAGCTTATTTTTAACTAATAAAAACACGATCTTTTGTGAATGTTCTTTTTTTTTATTTCCCGTTCACGTTCAACTCAAATCAGATGCAAAAGTCTGAGTGAGCAACATTTCTGCCTCATTAATCATGCGGTCCCCTTTGATGCCATATCTCTACCGTAACTGCGGGGTAGACCCACCGTGCGCTGATGTCATCCCTCTGATTGCATGTGTCATTGCGACACAGCAGGTCACCTCCTGGCTATAACCCCCCCGCGAGGGCAGCAGGCCAGTCTGCGCGTTCCTCCCTCTTCCCCAGCGAGTCACAAGCTACAACAGTGTGCTCAGAGACCGGCCAGACTCCCCTCTGCACTTCCTTCTCAGCGCCGGAGGATCTGGTAAGGAGTTTTCTTTTATTCGGGTTTTATCCATGACGCTACGGAAACATTACCAACGGGACGCGCGAAGTTTGTTCTTCTGTTATGTTCATCCCAATGTGTTGAATGGCTTTGATGGGAATCTGATTGTTACATAACGGTGTAGTCGCCATCAGCGCTCTTCCAGTTTCACCGGAGGCTGCTGTTTCCACTGTCCGGTAAAGAAAAAGCAAAAAAAAAAAAAAAAAAAAAAAAGTACCGCTCATGTATACAACCCTGGAGCGCACACGGACTCTGTTTTTGTACTAGTTTTAATCACATTTATAAAAACAAAGCTTTAGGCTCAGGCAAACTTAGTTTTTATGTTACTTTGCGTGTTGTGATGATGATCTCGCAGAGTCCTTTCAAATGGAAATGTATGCAGCATTGGAAACATTTGGATTTATTTTCTTTTTTGGGGGGGTTTGGAAAAAGCAAATGAACACAGTGGGGGTTCTAGGATTTTTCTGTGTATGGGGCTATCAAGGGGCATTTACAGGGGGGCATTATCCCAACATCCTTACACAGTATCTCTGGTTTTGGAAAGATAAATACATGTGGTGAGCTCAGTCACGGAGGAGACAGAGGTTTCTTTGGGAGCACCCGTTTAATCTACACTCCTCAGTGTGGCCACAGCAACAACAACAAAAGGGCGCGCTCTCACCGGAAAAACAGTCGCTGAGAGAGCGCATCACCCGTCACCATAGCAACATGACAACAAACACATAACTGTAATAACAGAACAAACCCCGAACAGCCCTGGCCCGCTACACAGCCCCCACCTAAGGGGTCAGTCGTTCCCGACAACCCCATTACCCCACACAAAGTCCTGCAAACGTCCAGGTGCCTTCTTCTGGCGCACCGGCCGGTCTCGACAGGCGGGGGGAAAGTCACTCGGGTCAGAACATGGGGTGCTGCCAGCATCCCCTGCCCTGGTCTCAGCCTGAGCGAGCGGTCGATACAGGGAGAGTCTGTCCTGGTGCAACACCACCAGGCGCCCCGGGCCCGGCATGCGAACACGGTACACCACTTCTGTTGGCCGCTCCACGACCTCCGCCGGCCCTTGCCAGTGACTGCAGAGTTTGGGGGACAGTCCTCTCTTGCGAACCGGGCAGTACACCCAAACCTTGTCGCCAGGTGCGACCCCCCCCCCCCCCCCCCCCCCCCCCCAGCACTTAGTGTCGTACGCTCTTTTCTGTTGCACTCCGGCGCTGGCCTGGGCCTGGCGGGTGTAGTCATGAACCACCTGCAGCTGCTCCCTCAGCCTCCTGTAGTAGTCAATCTCCGGCTCGGGGGGGGTGGGGTGGGGGGGGGGGGGGTGGGGGGGACACCCAAACACCAGATCCACGGGTGTCCGGAGCTCCCGTCCAAACATCAAAGCGGCAGGTGTGCACTGGCTGGACTCCTGAACCGCAGTCCAATACGACCAAAGGACCAGGGGCAGATGTCGGTCCCAATCTCGCTGGTGGCAGCCGGTGAGAATGGCGAGCTGGGTGGCCAGCGTGCGGTTAAAGCGCTCGACCAAGCCATCACTTTGCAGGTGGAGTGGTGTGGTTCTCGTCTTCTCCGGCCCCAGCCGCCGACAGATCTCTCCTTGAAGACCTTCGATTCGAAGTTACCCCCCTGGTCGCTGTGGAGCTCGGCTGGGACCCCAAACCGGGTGAACATCTACTCCACCAGCTTCTCCGCCGTCGTCGATGCACTCTGGTCCGGCACAGCGTAGGCCTCCGGCCACTTTGTGAAATAATCCATGGCCACCAACACGTACCGGTTCCCTGACTCCGTAACAGGGAAAGGCCCTGGGACGTCCACTCCCACTCGCTCCATCGGGGGCCCCACCAGGTACTGTTGAAGAGGGGCAGTGGAGCATTGAGTTGGGCCTTTCTGTGCCGTGCAGGTGTCACAACAGTGCACATGAAGCTCCACATCCCGTCGACAGCCAGGCCAGTAGAACCGTCCTCTGGCCGGCCCCCACCGAGCCGTGGACGAGCTCGAGCACCTGCGACCGAGGCACCAACAGCTGCAGGAGATCTCTGCCCTGCGCGGGGGCCTGCCATCTCCGGTACAGGAGGCCGTCGTGGGTCTCCAGGTCGTTGTACTGGGAGTAGTAGGCCTTCACTTCGGGCTCCTGTCCCGACACCCCCATCCAGTCGGAGCGTTGCGCCGCCTCCAGCCAGGCCCCCACCTGCACCAACATCGCATCAGACTCCTGCTCCCTCTTCAGCTGCTTCGGGGCCAATGGGAGCCACCCCCCTCCGCTGGCTGTGGCCTGAGCAGCAGCCACCCCCAGCGCCTCCTGGACCCGCTCCTCCTGTCGCAGACAGTAGCGGCACTCGACGGCCATGCAGGGCCTTCTGGAGAGGGCATCAGCGTTGCCATGCTGTCGACCTGCCCGATGCTGGATCTCAAAGTCGTAACCCTGAAGGACCTCCAGCCAGCGGGCCACCTGACCCTCTGAGTGTTTGAAGTTCAGGAGCCAAGTCAGAGATGCATGGTTATTGCGCTGGAGGAACCGGCAGCCGTGCAGATATGGCCGGAAGTGCCGCACTGCTAGCACCACGGCCAGCAGCTCCCGCCGGGTCACACAATAGTTCCTCTGGGCTCGCCCCAGCGCTCGGCTGAAGTATGCCACCACTCGTTCTCCAGCATCGTCCTGCTGAGAAAGGGCCGCCCCGACTCCTACATTGCTAGTGTCAGTGTCCACAATGAAGGGTTGCCGGGCGTCAGGGTAGGCCAGGACTGGGGCTCTGGTGAGGGCCTCCTTCAGCTGTGCGAAAGCCACAGCGCAGGCATCACTCCAGCCAAACGGCTGGCCCTTGTCGGTTAAGCGGTGGAGGGGGTTGGCTGTCGTCGCGAACCCCTTAATGAACCGACGGTAGTAGGAGGCTAGGCCCAGGAAGCTCCACAGTTCTTTGACGTTCGAGGGGGTCGGCCAATCCCGGACCGCCGCCACCTTAGCGGGATCGGTGACGATACCCTGCGCGCTGATCACATGGCCTAAGAACGTAGTCTCTCTCGTCAACAGCCGGCACTTCGCAGGGTTGAGCCGCAGCCCGGCTCGACGGATGGCACTGAAGACCTCGCTCAGGTGGGACAGTGCACTGTCGAAGTCGCCACCGTGTACCAACAGGTCATCCAGGTACACAACACAGCGGCTACGAGGGACGATCACGAGCACCCTCTCCATCAGCCTCTCAAACGTCGCTGGCGCATTGCAGAGCCCAAAGGGCATGACCCTGAACTGCCACAGCCCCTGTCCGATGGTGAATGTAGTCTTAGGCCTTGCTTTGGGGGCTAGCTCCACCTGCCAGTAACCACTGCACAGGTCGAGGGAGCTGAACCGGCTGGAGCCGCAGACGTGATCCAGGGCCTCGTCGATCCGCTGAAGCGGGTACGAGTCCTTCTTGGTGACTGCATTGAGACGGCAAAAGTCCATGCAGAACCTCGGGCTGCCATCCTTCTTCCCCACCAGGACCACGGGTGCCGCCCATGGGCTGTTGGACTGCTCGATCACCCCAGCCGCAGCCATCTCACGGATCTTTTCCTCCGCCACCTGCCGTTTTGAGAGGGGCAACCGGTGTGGACGTAGATGGATGGTTTGGGCAGAGCCGGTGTCGATAGTGTGCTGGACCAGCCCTGTCTGTCTGCAGTCTTTGTCACTGGCGGCAAAGATGTCCACATTCTCATCCAGGAGGCACCTCAACCGCTGACGCTGATCACCGTTGAGACCTACGCTGCTGCGCTGCCACAGGTCACCAACAGCCTCGGTTGTCTCGGTCGAGGGAGATTTGTTGGGCTGAGGGGCCGGGGTTAAGGTGACTAGAGATGACCCGGAACCACTGGCACCTGAAATCTGCTGAGCGGCAGCTGCCTGACGTCTGTCTCTGGTCCCCTCCGCTCCCTGCTTTTGCCCACACTGGAGGGCCAGAGTCTCTGTGCGAAGAATGATAGCCCGCTTTGCGGTGTCGACGCAGGCCCCCCAGCGGGTTAGCAGATCAAGGCCGATGATGCACTGGTCTTGAATGTCAGCCAGCCAGAAGTCATAAATCAGCTCCAGATCCCTCACTCGGATCTGCAACGGTTTCTTCCCCCGCATATCAGTTCTCTCTCCCGTCACTGTCATCAGCTGGGTGTCGGTAGGCGTCCAACCCTCCACCAACAACCCGGACGTTCCAGGGAGCACGTCAGGTCGTATCAGGGAGATGGTAGACCCCGTGTCCACCAGGGCCCGGCATGGCTGGCCCTCAATGCAGCAGCTCAGGTAGAGTCCCTTGAGGTGCCCAACCCAGCCCACCACCGTGCATCGTCCTTCGAGGGGGACAGGAAGCTGGGGCGGTGGTCCCCTCACTACACCACTCCCACCCCGTTTCCCGGAGTCTCCATAGTTCTGACCGTCGGGGCAGGTGCCGGGCAGTCACGCGCCACGTGGCCAGGCTCATCGCACCGGTAACAGCGGTCAGTGGGACGACGAGGACGCCTCCGAGGCACCGAGGGCCACAGCTGACATATCTCTGCGACCGCCCCCTCCCCGTCGCAGTCTGCGGCTCTGATTTGAGGGTAGCTTGGGGGGGCACCTGCTGGTGTGGTGGTGAGGCGAGCACCAGCTCGGCCCTTTCAGCCTGAAGGAGCGCCTCACTGAGAGTCTGAGGCATGGCCAGGCGGACGTGTTGGCGCAGTCGCTCTGGGAAAAGTCCTCGCAGGAAAGCATGCAGGCTAAGCTCCTCCCGGGCTGCTGCTGGGAACTCTGGGTAGCCACGACGAGCATACAGCAACACATCCGCTGCAAAGGTGCCCAGGCTCTCCCCCGGCCTACGGCTCCGGTTGGTCAGCTGCTCCCTGCTCTGATCAGTGGAGTGCCGCTGCCCAAATCGCCTCTCAAGTGCTGTGGTGAGGGCCTGGAGCTCATGCTGCTCTGACGCGGCTAGGTCGAGGAGTACCTGCAGTGCATCTCCTCCCAATGCTAGCGCTAGGTGTGTAGCAGCCTTGCCGTCGCTTCAGCCATTATGTCTCGCGGCTAGCCGTACTTGTGAGAGGTAGGGCTCTAGCGGGGTTAGCCCGTTATACTTCGGTACTTTAGCTGGCGTTGCAGGCATCACTGCTCGCTGTCGGGGGCCCGGTGTGTCGGCTGACGGAGGCAGCCCATCAAGCATTGCCCTAGCTTCGGTCGCGGCGGGCCGCCGCCTCGGTGCGCTCGCGCCATCGGGACCCATCGGGGAGCTTACATGGCCGCTCACATCCGCTCTCTTCAATCGCCAGCTTTCCAGGCGGGTAATGTTCTCCTCGATAGCTTGCTCCAGCCTCCGAATGTCTCTCTCCATTATGGCGAGGGTGAGTATCCCACTTCTGATACCAATGTAGTGAGCTCAGTCACGGAGACAGAGGTTTCTTTGGGAGCACCCGTTTTATCTTACACTCCTCAGCGCGGCCACAGCAACAACAACAAAGTTTTTTGTTGTTTGTGGAGATAACAGCAATGTTGCAAAGTAAATGGAGTCAGAGTTGTGTTTCTGTTAGCCAATCAGAGGTGATATTGGCCAAATATAGGAAGTAAGACTTGAAATGATGCCGCCTGAAGCTCTCCTCTGATCTGGCATTCTTCTAGATCATGAAAAAAGGTGCACCAGGGCTTTCATACCCAGAGTTTGGGAAACAAGGCATTCATTCCTACTAGTGACCACTGCAAATGTATCGATTAAACAAATGTTCAACACTTTTAAACATGTTGTTCATGCTGGAAAACCATTTAAGAGAGGGATAAAAATCCTTCACAATGTAAAAGATGAATTACTAATTATCGCTGTTGCTTGACTGCAGAGGTTTAGAGTTACAACCAGGAGACAATTTTCTTATAGGGCAAGAAGGTGAAATATTTATGGGGAAAATACATAGTGCTGTATAATAGTAGTAGTAGTTGTTAGGAGATAAAACATTTCTTAACCCTAAATGCTTATAATTAGAATTAAAATGGTGACACAAGCCAATGAACTGGATTAAGTGGACTTGTGTTGATATTTATACCATATATGGTCCTGCTGTTCTGTGCCAGTGAACTTTTCATTATGGCAAGAATTTCTACTTCCTGGATGTTAAATTTTCCTGTAAATTAAAAGCCCTCCACTTTTAACAAACACATGTTGATAAACGTAAACCTTTCAACTGTTGTTTGGTTTCGCATCTTCAGGCACCTTCATGTTTTAACAAACGTTCAGATGATGCAATAATGCTTTCTGATAATTGAGCCCCTGTGAGTGTGTGTCATGCTCTGGGTATGTCATTTTGAGGAAAAACTGCATGCACGCCTACATGTTGCTGATTATTCTGAAAATCCCCGTAGATCATGATGTTCTGAATGAGAAAGGCTAGTCCTGGCCTGGGGTCCAGATTAATGTGTCAGATTTAGTGAGGACATGTATAGCTGTGGGTGATATTTTGGAACAAAAGCAGCAGCAGTTCAACATAGACTTTTACAGAAGAGGATCATGGCCAATGAAACAGAAAAAGGAAAAGAATTCTGACTTTAATCACAGAATTCTGAGAAAAATACTGAATTCTGAGATTAAAGTAACAATTCTGAGATTTAAGGAATTATTCAGAGAATTAAGTAACAATTCTGAAATTAACTCATTAACTGTCATTGACGACAAAAGTCGTCATTTTAAATCCAACCGTTCACCTTGCATTTCTTTTACTGTATGGGCGTCGGAACGAGCCCCCACACTGTGAGAACAAACATCCCAGCTCTAAAGCCGATCTTCATACACGTACGTCACACGTCACGTGATCAGAAAGCAGAAAATCCACGTGTTAGATTGTTTTGGGCCGCTGCTGTAAAAAAAAGTGAGGCGTGAACAGGAAACACTTCTGCTGATCACAATTCGACAACAGATTATGAAAGGATGGATAACGCTCGAAAGGCGCAGATTCTTCCTGATGTAAGAGGTGAGCCTCCTCTTTGTTTTGGTAGTTTTGGCGTTGACATCATCATTGAGCTCAACGTTCTGTGACTCTTAAAACAAAAAGTAAAAACGCTGAAAAATGCTGGCAGTGAAGGGCTTTACTGATCAGGAAACGGCTGGTAGTGAATGAGTTAAAGTCATATTTCTGAGATTTAAGGCATTATTCTTAGAATAAAGTAATAATTCTGAGATTAAAATCAGAATTCTGAAAATAATGTAATGATTCGGAGATCAGAGTCAGAATTCTGAGAATAAAGTAATAATTCTGAGATTAAAGACAGAATTCTGAGATGAGAGTCAGAATTCTGAGAATGAAGTAATAATTCTGAGATTAAAATCAGAATTCTGAAAATAAAGTAATGATTCGGAGATCAGAGTCAGAATTCTGAGAATAAAGTTGATTGTAAGATTAAAGTCAGAGTTCTGAGAATAAAGTAGTATTTCTAAGATTAAAGACTGTATCCTGAGTTTAAAATCAGAATTCTGAGATTAGAGTCAGAATTCTGAAAATGAAGTAACGATTCTGAGATTAGAGACAAAATTCTGAGTTTAAAGTCGGAATTCCGATTTTAAAGTCAGAATTCCAAGAATAAATTAATAAATCAAAGTAATAATTCTGAGATTAGAGTCAGAATTCTGAAAATAAAGTAATGATTGTGAGATTAAAGTCAGAATTCTGAGAATAAAGTAATAATTCTAAGATTAAAGACAGAATCCTGAGACTGAAGTCAGAAATCTGAGATTAGAGTCAGAATTCTGAAAATAAAGTAATGATTGTGAGATTAAAGTCAGAATTCTGAGAATAAAGTAATAATTCTAAGATTAAAGACAGAATCCTGAGACTGAAGTCAGAAATCTGAGATTAGAGTCAGAATTCTGAAAATAAAGTAATGATTGTGAGATTCAAGTCAGAATTCTGAGATTAAAATCAAAGTTCTGAGAATAAATGAATAAATCAAAGTAATAACTCTGAAATTAAAATCAGAATTCTAAGAATAAAGTCAGATATATCATTTCAGGGGCCCTTATCCTATTCCATAGCCTTTGAAAGAGTTTCTGCATGAAGGGAAAAAGAAGCACCATCTGTTCTGGCTCAGTATTGTGAGAGTTTTTTCAGATAGAACTAATCATCCTTTAACATTTATGCTTCCATAAATAATATTCAAAGTTCTGCCTCATTTCAGAAATAAATGAGCAGGAAATATGAATGACCAGAACTTCCTGATGGAAAAGTGGAGAACACGTTTCCCAGCAATTGTTTTGTAACTTCTCTCCTTATGGTGGTTTCTAGGGTCTGTGGGTTTTGTCTGCAATACATCATGACTTCCTGTTTTATTTTGTACTCATTTTTACGTTTTTGCACATTATTGTAACACCACACCTCCCCCCTTTGACTCTTTTTTCTTTCTGCTTATCCTTTTCCTGCTTTTGCAACACTTTGTGTGATTCATCATTAAAGAGTGGTTTCACCTTTGTTTGTTCAAACTGATTGAATCTTAGCACCACTCTTAAGGTCTAAAAGTTCTGTTGCAGACATGTCAGGGCAGCGGGAGTGTTCTGTGTCTTTGGTCTGAATTCTCAGAACTGTGTTAGCAGCTTAAATAGCCAATAATGAATATTACACAAGTAATGCTTTGGTTCATGCATATTTTTGTACCTTTTCTTGCAAAATCAGAAGCTAGAAAGAGCTGGTAGCACTCACTGTACCATACCAGCTGTGTTAAATGTCGGTCCAAAGGTGTTTGATTGATTAGGAGCTCAACTGCAGGATAGGTTATCCACCTTTTAAATTGTTGCCCGGGATGTTTGACTCTAAACATTGGACATTTTTATTGTTATTGAGGCACAAACTGATGTAAAGTTGATGCATACAAATATCTGTTTTAAATTTGGTTTCATCAAGCCCATTTCCGTAAGTTTCTGGGAAAAAAAAACATCCATATGTAGGACCCACAGATTATCTCAGGTTTAGCTGATGACAAATAGAGGCACGCATTGGGGATAGTGGTCCCCTGATGTTTCCAGCTGCAGACGCAGGTGTGGAGGCAGTAAGCCACGCAGCTCTCAGTGAGCTACTTAATTGCTTTAGATGTATTTGTGAAAATACATGACTGGAAATAAAGAATGCAGACTCAGTGTAATCTCTGTGAACTCATGGGCTAGAGCTGATACAGCAGGCTCTTGCAGATTAAAGGAAAGGCATGCAGGATCGTGCACATACTTGTGGGGTGATAAAGAAATAGTCTGCACACTTGGCAGTTTTGTTATTATAAACAATACGGGACAGGAGAAAAGATGGTTTTGCACAATTATTGTGATCATTTTTGTAAGTTTAATATGAATAATTTGAGTTCTTAAGGTGTTAAATTAAAAATAATCAACTTGAGTAAAAAGGGTCACTCTGTACTTTAGAAATGGCTGCACTATTATTTATGTCACCCCGGTTGTTAGTTCACCGTGGGTGCATGCACTCTGAAAGAAAACGTTTAATTAACTTAACCAAGCTACGTCAGCTTGTTCGACTTAACCTAGTTGCTTTAATTTAAGGAGTAATATATGTTGTTATATGCTGTTATATTGAAAGTAAACGTATATTACTTTGTAATCAGTTTCACTTGGTTAAGATGATTCTACATTTCTTTTTTTTGTGTGTAGCTCTGTAAATCACTTTTAGTTCGCACTAAAAGGTAAACATTGTCCTGAAGTTAGCTTGTCAGCTGAAGGTGTGTTTGGTTTTAAACTGAGCTCGTTAACGATTGCTTCTGTTGACAAAGGCGTAAACGTGGCCAGGATCTCCGAGGTCGTCACAACAACTTGGAAATGATCATTTTCTAACTCGAACCAAAAATGACGCTTTGAAATAGGGCAAATACCAGATTTGTTTTAACCTGAGCATCACCGTGTGTTTCATTCTCCCCTCTCTGTCCTGCTTATAGGTGAAAAATGGATGCCATCAATCATAAACTGAACCATTATTTTGAAACATGGATGGGTCCCAGAGGTGAGGCATTATGAAACACTTTGTTCTGGTTTGTGCAGATTCAGGTGCCATTTCACCCGTCGACCATTCGTCCTCCCATTCACCTCTGTCTTTGTATTTCAGATAAGCGTGTGGAGGGCATGCTCCTGCTCGACACTTACCCACCAACGCTGGCACTGACGGCCATGTACCTCCTGATCGTGTGGCTGGGACCCAAGTACATGCAACACAGGCAGCCTTATTCCTGCAGAGGCCTCATGGTGATCTACAATCTGGGCATTACCATCTTGTCCTTCTACATGTGTTACGAGGTAAACAGACTGCAGAGAGATGGGCTGAGATGAGCCAAAACAGAGTGTAAAAAGTCACAATGAAGAGGAAAAAATCCATCTTTCTGCACCACCATTGCCTTTTTATTAAAACACAGCTTTGTTAGAAAATATTAAACCAGTGAGAATGGTTAAAAACAGGAACACAGATCATGCAATGGAAAAACAATCTCTGATTCACATGAATCAGTTTTAGGCAGAATCTTTGTCTTTCTGTGTTTTCAGGATAACGTTCAAGAGACATCTTAGCAGTGGTGCCCCAAGGGGTGGCCATGGCCACCTTACTGTCCACACCCAGGGAAGACCAGTGTTCTTTAATAAGTCACATTAATGTTGTTTTTTAATGAAAATGAATAAAAGAGCATTTATTGCATCACTACATGCTAAACATTCCCAGAGTTACCACAAGAATCAATTTGGTGCGCCACCCCAAATTTTTCACTGGCCCCATGGCCACCCCTATGAAACTTTTCTTGGGGCGCTTCTGCATTTTAGAGAGGAGTTGATTTTCTTAACTGATGTGGACAGAAAGCAATGTTTACTGGTGCCAATGTTTTGATCAGGAATAAGATGATAACTAATAAATGTTGACATGCTCATTATTTTAGCTGTTAAATCTCTCATACACCATCGTGAAAATGTTTTTAAAAAGGCAAGGTCTCAGTTTGAAGTTCATTTATTTCAGTAAAAATAATTTATGAGTGACCAAGAGGGACTGTTGTTTATTAACCACAATTGAAGCCGGAGTAGTGTGTCCTTGCACCCGGGACAAGCTTTTGGTCTTCCTGTCTAGGTTGCATAAGGTCAGCTTGATTCATTCAAGCCGGCAATCTACCGCCACCCCGGCCGTGAGGTAAACTTTTGCCCCTCTGAAATCGATGTCACCTGATGCGATCCAAAGTACAGTCAGAGCAGTTCTCTCTGTCAAGCTGCCAGAAGACATTCAGTCAGTAGTCGCACAGTAATTCATTTGATCTCTATACACTCTATAATAAATATGCTTATGAAATAGATGGAAGGCTTATTAAGTTACAGAGAGAGGCTAATGTCTGCGTGCACATGATAAATACTTCATGTTAAAATCCATCCTCATTCTGTTGCTGAGGCATAAGTGTGTCTCAAACCTCGGCTGATCCAGAGCAAAGGTAGCAGATACGGTTCATGTTAAAAGCAAGACTACAGTTAAAAGACAACACGCCAAAATCCGTGGTCCAAATTGTACTCGTTTTTGGAATGTTTGGCCAATAAACATTACTTAGATACATTTCTACCTCATTGCTGTAAAAAAAGAGCAGAAATCATCAAACTTCATTACGAAAAAGTGGAGGGAACCCCCCTGCAAAAGTAATTACACTTGTGATCAAATCTAATGGATCTACCCATTCAGAATGTGCAAATATAACAGTTTTTAAATGTGTTGTATTATATCACAAGTATTTTTTCATCGAAAGCTTCTGCCAGACGATTTGTGAAGCCTGGTGTGACAGTTTGAATTTACTAACAAGAGCTGCATTCTATTTATTTTTCTTTGTAAGGATTTCAGCACAACAAGCAGCATACACAGCTGCAGAACTGGAATACAACCCTCATCAATGCACTTCTTTTCACTGATTCGGTTTCATAACAAACCACTGGACACTTTTTTGGTCTATTTAATAATTAAAATTTTAGTATTATGGTAATTTTTTGTTTATGTTTATTTAAGGACCATGTACAATATTAAGCATAAATATTGACATTTTTCAATGACCTACAATTCAATATTACAGTCAAATATATGTGTGAAGTGGATGTCATTCGTGATATTTCACATCCTTGAGTCGTTCAGAACTAACAGCAAGCTAACAGCAAGCACTTCCTGTGATGCGGGAAACAAATTACCATAATAAATGTAGTAAGTGTTCCCTACTGTAAAACACCCAAGGAGCTAACACCAAATATGATAATGTATTATTTATCTTATCAACTTACTGTGGATGACTCGTCTTCGTTTATCCTCTAGAATCTTCTGGTGCTGCTATGTAACCGGCAACAGCCATGAACCTGGACGGGAGTGAGAGAGTAATGTTTTTGCGTAGAAAATGGACTTCAGTAACCGCATTCAACCACAGGATGTTATTCTTAAAAAATAAACCTTTCAAGAGGGCATCCAAATGTTTTGGCATATTTCTAATAAAAAAAGGATCCCAAGGTTACATTCCCTGGTACTTTTTGTTACTTTTACAATATGGTTACTCCATTATTCAGTTTTTTTTACATTGAATAAGTAATTAGTACTAATTACTTAATTTGAAAAGCAAAGAACTGTTTTTTTTACCCCGTCTTGGCCTGTGAATCACCATTTCTGAGGATTAGGAGGTTCTGCTGTTTAAATTACAATGTGGCCAAGACCCAATTGGCAACAGTAGTGTGACCTTTCACCTTTATCTATCAGCTGAAGGACTTTAATCAGTGTGTGTTAAGATGGAGCATTGTAACCTGACACAGCAGATACAGAATCATCTATTAGCATTTTTTTACTACAGAGAGGAAAAAAATGAGGACAGTTGGCTCTTTGTTGTTTGTGTTTAGCCTTCATATGGTTATTGATTCAGTAAAAAAAAAAATATCTCGATGGTTTTGTCTGCAGATGATCAGTAATGTGTGGCCCAGTGGATACAACTTCTTCTGCCAGGACACGCACAGCTCACCAGAGTTGGATAAGAAGGTAAGTCAATTCCTTATTTTTGTTTATTTGTGAATATTTCCCTTTTTTGGATCAAATTTGACTCAAAAACCCAAATGTACACATTTTATTCCAATTCTAAGTGAACACAACTTTGAGTAGGGAGGCTAAAGTTATTGTGATAACAAAAGATATATTTTTAATTTATTAGTTTTTTATCCTTTTTTTCCCTCCTAGATTATTGGCGTCCTGTGGTGGTACTACTTTTCCAAGCTTCTGGAGTTCATGGACACCTTTTTCTTCATCCTACGAAAAAATAATCACCAGATCACCTTCCTCCACGTCTACCACCACGCTAGCATGCTGAATATCTGGTGGTTTGTTATGAACTGGATTCCCTGTGGCCACTGTGAGTGTTTTTTTTTTATCTTTCAACTTCACACTCTGGTGCCTCAGATCTTTCCAGCATATACTTTTTACTGTTTGGGCTAAATAATTCAAGCATTTCTACGGAAAAGACCCAGACCTGAAAATAGCCCATTTCTTCCAGAGCCCAGAATGTTACACACACTGAACACTTGTTATCCTGAGAGTGACTTCCTGTTGGGTTGGAGTTTTAACCTTTGCCTGCCTGCTCAACCAGTTGGTAGAGCATTTCTAAAGTCCCTACAACATATTAAAGCATTAAATGAACTTAAAGTGTCTACAGCACGATTGGACAAGCCCTTATTGCCTTATTGCATCAAAAAAAAAAGTGGAATGTTTTCATTGTTTATTTCTTGGTGAGGGAGTTAATGGGTTTTAAAGCCCTCTGATTTCCTCTGTTCTATGTTCTTCAGCATACTTCGGTGCCTCCTTAAACAGTTTTGTCCACGTTGTGATGTATTCCTACTACGGCCTCTCTGCCATCCCGGCCCTCCGGCCTTACCTCTGGTGGAAGAAGTACATCACGCAGCTGCAGCTGGTAGGTTCACGTCCTTAACTTTACTTTGCTTGCATCATCTCAGTGGCAAAAGTACAGTGATGTCACTTACGTTATCCATTTAGAGCTAATCTAAAAACAGTACATGAGCTCAGAGTGATTAAAGACATACGGAAGTGTTAAAACTGTTGATTTGTTGGATTTTTTTCATGCATTTTTGAATGTAGGATCCATCAGGGCCTTTTCTCACATAAACACAGCAGGTCCTACTAAAACAGAGCCACTATCCTGCATGTTTTACATGCTTCTCTACTCCAGCACGCCTTATTTGAAAAAAAAAAAAAAGAGATACTAACAGGCTTCTGCAGAACCTGAAGACATGCAGAGGCTCCTCTCCAGCTCCTCCAAATCCAAGACCATGGACAAGCAGCTGAGATGAGTTTTCTCCACAGGGTGGCTGGGCTCTCCCAAAGCCGTTTGTACAAAACAATGCCATCAGTTTGCCGCAAAGCTGTGGCGGCATCAGGGACCCTTAGGTTGTTTATAAGTGGTCAGACCGTGGCAGTAATGTGGTGCAATCGTGTCCTATGTATAAAAGATTAGGCGATGGTGGCATAAAGGCGGTATGGGGCGGTCTCTGCGCTGCAGCAGACTTCCGTTTATCTTGAACTTAACTTGCTTTTTCTTGTGATTGAAATTGTGATCATTGTGTTTTTTTTAAACAATCCGCTCCTAAAGATGTCTGAAGTGTAATTTGAGCTTCAGCTTCAACAGAGAGACGCTCATGGAGCACTGGGGTTCACCAGTTTGCCGTCTCAGCTGATTTTGTTCAAAAAGCAGAACTTGTTGCCCGTGTTTACCTTAATTTTCAATATATTTGCCGGCCCAAGCTCACCATTAACTCCCCACGTCATCATAACACCTCCCTCTGTTGCGCTATGGTGCAATAGCCGTTTATAAGAAAGACCATTACTGCAACATTACTACCAAGCGAGGCGGAAGGAATGCAGCGAAATTCGCGCAACGCCATGCCGGCATGGCGCTTTTATAAGACACTCCATTGTGGTAATATTTCGCCGATTTGCCAGCACGGTGTGTCTTGTATGTACAAAGGGCTGAGATAGGGTAAGAAGCTCGGTCACCAGGGAGGGGCTCAGAGTAGATCAGCTGCTCCTCCACATCGAGAGGAGCCAGTTGAGGTGGCTTGGGCATCTGGTTAGGATGCTGCCTGGACGTCTCCCTGGGGAGGTTTTCTGAGCATGTCCAACCACGAGGTGACCCAAAGGAAGACCCAGGACACGCTGGAGGAACTATGGGGAGCCTAAGTCACGCCCATCTACTTCCGGACCGTGGAAGAACAAAAAAAAAGAAGAAGCGGGGCTAAAAACGTTATTTTCTTACTCCGCTTGTTATGTGCCACGGATTTCACACATGATGTCCGTGAATTTTAAAGATGCATTTTTATACCAAGAAAGCGCTTATATTCGAATGGGGGGAAATGTTATTTTAGTTTTTGTGTGAAAATAAGTCCAGGACTACAAATGCAGCATGAAGTGACGTCATCAAAACAGACACAGATAAAAAGAGAGGAAAATTGGTTTTTAGTCGAGCAAACTTGAAATCCTTCCTTCAGGAGAAAAGAACCACCTTAAATCTGACCATTTGGTAAGTAGCAGGGACGCTAGGGAGAGGAGATTCGGTCGTGAAGTCATATATGCGACATGCTGATGTCTGATTTGTAGTCATGCTAATTATGTATTTTTACAAGCTAATAAATCTCAACGTACGCGATGGGCATGGTCAACACACATCATTACTTTTCACATAAAATGAAGTACAACATATGTGTGATCCAGGGCGTAAAGCAAAGCGGATTAGAAAATGGCTCTTTGAGCCCCGTTCACTTGCATTCATTATTTTGTTCTTCTGGGGACCCATGAGCTGACTGGAAAGGGAGGAGACTTAGGCTCCCCGGGTCTCTAGGCTGACCGGGGAACGCCTCGGGATTCCGTCGGAGCAGCTGGCCCAAGTGGCTGGGGAGATGGAAGTCTGGGCCTTCCTGCTTAGGCTGCTGCCCCTGCGACCCAACTCCAATGACATATTAAAGAAGCTTTCCCCTCGCTTTAAGTTCTCCTCGATGCGCACAAGCTGACTTCATTCTGCTGGGTTTTGGTTCTAGTTTCTTCTCCAGAGAAATATTACCAAATGTCCTTTTTGAAGTCAAAAGCAACTTTCTCTTGATGCATCTGATCTCAGAGTAAGAAAATAGACCTTAGATGCGCTGCAGCCTCAGTTCGCAGCTTCCTTCTCCTGGAGAAGCTTTACTTATGCAACGCTGCACGTGTAACAGCTACTGAAAACAATATTTAGTCCTGTAATGCAGCAAAGTGGAAGTATATGCAAGTAGGAACAAGGGACTGTACTCACAGAGATGCATTTTGTCCATTTTTATATATTAAAGCGACAGCACATCAGTTTTTAGTCTGTTCTCTCTGTGCATCAGCTGTTGAATCCTCGTGCACGTTTCCCCACAGATCCAGTTCTGTTTAACCATGTGTCAGACGGCTCTGGCAGCTATTTGGCCGTGTGGCTTCCCCATAAGATGGCTGTACTTCCAAATCAGTTACATGTTCTCCTTCACTGTTCTTTTCTCAAACTTCTACATTCAGGTAAGATATTTTTTACTCCACCTGTTTAAATAATCACAGGAATTAAATCACCTCTCGCAGACGTAATTTTATCCCGTTGTTGATTCATTTCGGTGATTTTTCTGCATGTTGTCCTTTGTGAAATGCTGTGCTCTGATTTCAACCCCGTTCAGATTTTAAATCCGTATTTTCCTTCTTTTCTTTTGCTGTTTTTTCCACTCAAGACTTACAAAAAGCAAAGCAGTTCTCGAAGGAAGGAACGTCAGCTCGGATCGTCGGCGTCGACAAACGGGCACGCAAATGGGACGCCGTCGATGGAGCACACAGCGGCCAGGAAGCTGAGGGTGGATTGATATTTGAGGACCGTTTTCTCTTCAAACACTCTAAAAAAGAAATGTTGAATTTAGTTTACCAATTTGTGTCAACTACTTCCAATAGTGAATGTAAAGAGAAATATACGTTTACTTCTAACATAACCAGGTAGAACAATATATATTATGCTTTACATTTAAGCTACTGGGTTTCGTGGAACCAGCTGACAAAACTTGGTTAAATTAATTCAGCATTCCCTTTTTTACAGTGTAGAGCATCACCTGATGCCTAGAGTATCTTTTTACATTAGGAACAAACTATAGGATTTAATTCAGATGAAACAAGCCATACCAACAACATACCCAGAGACGTTTCATGTTTTTCTTTCATTACGCATGAAACCAGATTATTATAAATACAAAATAGGAGCCCTGTAGTGATAACGCCTTTTAATAATTCCTTTGTTGCTATGAGCAACATATATTTAATGATGCTTTGCACAACAAAGGTCTAAAGACGGAGTTTGCAGATACATGTTCTTTTACACACGATTGCAAATAGGACAATTCAAAGCATGCACGGTGCTTATGACTCTCTAGGGAACAAACTGGTCTTATTTTATATCTCACAACTGCCTGATGCGTTTGCATATTCCAACATCTTACTCTCAGCGATGGTGTAGATAATTTCCTCGAGCCAAGGTGGAGCAGCAGCAGTTTACTTTTCCAGATGTACATGCAGAGCAAGGTTCAGCTTGAATGTGTATGTAGTATTTATTTTCAGTAGCCGCAGCGTGAGAGATCAGATCTGCTTATAAAAGAAACTGTTTGCCATCGGTATTTATTTTTTCCAAACTCCTCAGTAATTGTATTGAGTAGATGCTGTTTTTCTGCAGCTCTTTGGATGCAATACCGTGCATCTTTACAAGATCTGCAATATAGCTGCTTATTGGTAAATATATTAATGTGATAAAAATAATAACATAGTACAAACAGTTTACTGCTAAATATCCAAATGCATTACATTCTGGTAACATTTTGTAGGAAGAGATTATTTTTTATTTATGGTGTTTTGAAAAAGTTTACTTCTATATGACGATAACTTAATAACTAAAAAATTTTTAAAACGAAAGTTCCTGAAAGGTGTTGGACAGGTGTTTAAACAATACATTTGCAGCGGTCTCTAGTAGTAATGAATTCCCTGCAAGTCGTACTGGGGGGGGGGGGGGGGGGGGGGTTGCTGAAAGCAGCAACATGACTGTGAAATGGATGTATTATTTCTACAAATAACTCAAGCCTGGAGGAGCTTCTGCCACGTGGTGAAGTTGCCAATGCTAACGGTTAGCTTATGTTAGGCGAGACATTCAATGTTGTTACCTGGATGCTAAAAGAACAAGAGTCTTCCCCGTCCCAACCGCTTGACGTAGATCTGTCAGGCTTTTCAAATCCTAGACTTACACTGTCTATCTTCTATCAGAAGCCAATGCAGGACATAGGTGTAGAGACTTAATTTCATGTTCAGCCTGCATGAAAAAATCAGAGTGACCGATTATAATCAGAAAACAATCATTAACAAAGTTTTTTTTTAGTGTTCCACACATTTAATGTAACATCTGATCAGTTTCCCATATCCCCCTACTGGTTGAAAGCAGAATTATAATTATTGTAAACAACCCTGCCGCAGTCTCAAATGAATGTAGGCCATCCCGATGTTTTGCTCTGGTTTTAGCTCTTTGCTTCATCTCCAAAGATATTACTTTGTTAGTCCGCCATGATGATTCTTTTTCTTTTTATTGATGGTCAGCGAACTGGATAAAACTGCTAGCCTTTATATTAGCTTCCAGGCTACAGAGTGCCTGTCCCATGTGAAGCTGCTCAAGCTCAACAACCACTGAAACGGATTTAAAAAGCAATCGCTTAAAGTGTTTAAACCTTTTAGTATTGTTTTAGGCACAGTCCTTTTTTTCCAGCACGTGTTGTCCTCTTGGGGGGCTTTTTTACAGCAGATATCTTAAAGCGTAAAACAATGAGAGGTTAACGAACCAATTAAAGCAGCTACGTTCCTGGATTGTCATTAACACACCTGTGTGTTTCCTGTAACAACGGATCTGTTTACCTGTTAAAAAGTGTCACATTTAAACCCAGCTGTACTTCAGGCTCTTGTGCCACCTTTTTATTGAGCAGAGGTTAGACATTTGCATCAAAACATTCATTTTTATTTTTATTTTATTGCCTTCCTATGTGACCACATTCCTCTTGAGATTAGCTGACTGACTAATAAGAAATTTTCATGGAAATGTAAAAATAATTTTTCAGCCATGCGAGGAAATCTGTCCCGTCTCACACTCTGATGTTTTTGGTAAACAGTGTTTTTATATGCACCGATTTGTTTGTGTGTATGCACAACAACACACCTAGAGTGCTCCAAACTCCATTTTCCAGTTTATTCATGACACATTTTCACAAACACTTCATAAAAGCCATTAATAGTTCCTTGTTATTTAAATAAAAATATGCCTCAATTAGTTATCATTTAACTGACGTTAAAAGCACATTTTTGTAAGGGTAAAACTTTGTTTTTTGCTATTTTTCAAACTAAAATGTAGGCATTACTAGCAAAACTTTGGGTTAGACCTTAAATTAAGGGTCCCTTTATAACATTACAGTTAGTGCATTATTAAGCATTAATAAACAAATATCCCTTTATTAACACTACCTAAATCACTTAATTTCTTTTTTTTTAATCTCAAATTAGCAATGATCTTTCATTTGCTTTATGGTATTTTATAATTTAATGACTATTTTTCTGATTTTAATATATTTCTTTCTTGATTTTATGACTTTATGATTAGTTTTGTTTTGATCCATGTGAAGCACTTTGCGATTTTCTGTCTGTGATGAGTACTTTATGAATAAAATGTACTTACCTTTATTATTAACTATTAAGTGTCCTTAAGGATGGGACAAAGGTGTCTGCTTATTAATGCATTACATAATATGGTTAAGCAGTCGTTAATACTTTATTTAAATGTTTATTAATGCTTTATAATGCACTAACATTAATAAAGGGACTCTTATTGTAAAGTGTCACTAAAAACTGTAACCTGCTTTTTATGTTGGCTAATTTTACGACTTGTGAGGAAATCTGAATAGGATTGTTTTGATACATGACCGTAGGAATGATGAATCTTAATTTTATGACTATATTCCATCTAAAATAATAGAAATGAAACTGGTAAGAACAGCATCTGGGAGGAAATGAAGATCTAGAACATGATTTTTTTTCTGATTTATTGTGAATTAGAAGTTAGCTTAAAGCTTCTGACATCTTAGCTAAAACTCTGTTTTTAGTAAATCTGCTTCATGTTGCTTCTACTTCCTGTGACCTCCGCTGTTGTCATTGTGGACATCTGATGTGTAAAAGTGTTTGACTCCACAGAACTGCAGACTCCGTGAAATCAGACGCAAACCTCAGTTCAAATGGAGAAAATCAAAGAGCTCATTCCTCATCCTAAAAGTAAACCAAACATGTTTTTGATTTTATTTCATAGAAACCTGCGTGTATGTTTAATAGAAGAATTTTCTGTTAAAATGTTTATTGATAAAGGCCAAGGATGCATTAATGAATGTCACGTTCATCATTTATTTATAATTTATTTTTTAGAGATAATGCTTTTTGACCTGTGCTTTATTCACTGTAACACATTAAAAACGAGCAAAAGTTGTGAATCTTGTTTGTAGGCATATTTTTTTATTTGGAAATCAATTACGTGAATAAAAATACAATAAATATTTGAAACAGCTGTAACAAAACAAGTAAAATCTGATGTTTTAAGCTGTTTTAAATGTGTGGTTCACTTGTTTGGTCAATACATTTGCAGTGGTCTCTAGTAGGAATGAATGCCTTGTAGCCAGGTCATTGGGGAAAACAAAGCTCCAGTGCACCTGTTTCAGGAAGTAGAAGTGAGTCACATGATCAGAGCTGAGCTTTAGACAGAACCATCTGATTGGATAACAGCAACTTTGTTTGCTCTGCAATGTTGATGTTTAATCGCCACAAATCACACAAGCCTGAAGGAGTTCTGCTGTGTGTGGTGGAGTTGCTGATGCTAACAGTTAGCTTCTACTAGCCGAGACGTTCTCTGCCGTTTCCCGGGCACTAAACCAACAACAGCTTTCACGTTAAGCCTGCATTAAAAATTCAGAAATAGTCATTAAAAATGATTTTCAAGTGAACCACATCTTTAAGGGTTAAGAGACCCAGAAGTCCTGTAGACATGTTTTGATTCACATGCTTCAAACAATTTGATTAATGTTTGCTGTTAGCAAATACTCCAAATTTTGATATATTTTATCTTCTTTAGCTTACTATGAAAATACATTTTAACATAGAATATGGTTAAAATCCAAACTTTGCTAAAATTGTAAGAGGATTTATGAAATTCCTAAAAATAACAGGAACTTAAGTTTCTATAAGATGACAGTGACAAAATATTTCCTGTTTGTTGTTTTACTTCCTGGATTTTTTGTTTAGCGTGGTATCTGACCCTCACTTCTGATTTTAATATGCGAGTGACTAACAGGCTTCTGCAGACCTGAAGAGGTGATTCAACCATTGAACCAGGTGTGTTGGAGCAGGAAGCAACCAAAACACAGTGGGTAGGAACCCTCAAGGGCCCAGGTGGTACATCCCTGGTGTAGAGATGAATGACTCGCTGTGTCAGCAGTTTTAAAATTGAATAAGAAACGAGACCGACTTAAGTCCTATAACCTTTGGATTTGTTTTGTTTTAATAAAAGCGAAAAGAAGCTCTTCTGGTTGTTTTGAGATCTATTTCCTCTGTTTGGTTTCCTGGGAAACTTTCACTTCCCAAAATCCAAACAAGAGCAGGACTTCTTCAACCCTATGAGTCCAAAACCTGAGGGAGTCTGATGTGAAAACAAAAATAAATGCTAACTGAAACTTTTTTTTCTACAACCATTCTGCAAAATCCTCAGAAAACCTGCTCAAATCAACATAATTTTTATCCGACCCAGCTCATCTTTTTCATAATTTCTTTCCATAAATCCTATCGACTATGCTCGCTATTGGTTCCCAGAAAATGTAATATGTGGATTATATCCCTGAGTGCACCGAGAGACAAATGCTGCAGAAATCAGATCTGGGACGTCTGTTCCCTGTGGTTGCAGAACAGGGAATTTATGCTCGAGTCATCATCTCACAAATAAATCTCCTTAACATTTTTGCTCATCTTTGTTTATTCGAGGACAAAAGTGCACAGCCAAAAACAAAGACAGTGTGAACATTCATTGCTTGGAGCAGGTGGGGAAAGGTTGCTAATTAATTTAGCTCTCAGCTAATAATGCAAATTTCTGATTATCAGAAAATAAGAAGCATCCTAACAGGCAAACTTGAAATGTAACATGCTTGCATTTAGGAGGCGGGACTCAAAAAGCAACACCCTAATCCTGCTGCAGCACAAAGTAAACAGAAGGGGGTGAATGCATTTTATTTAAACGGTGAACCAGCGTCGTTTGCAGACGTGGCGGGATCATGCGGCGGTCTCGCTGCTGCTCACAGAGGTTGCTCAGAGGAAGCAGTGTAACTCTTCACACGTGCAAAGGAGAAGGGCGTGTACATCTTGTCAAGGTCGAACGCCGTAATCACCGTTTCTCCAGTTAGTCTGAAAACAATGACTATTATTAACTACTGGAAAAAATACACTTTTTTCTAATCTTTTTGACACTGTTGAGTCTTACTTGTAAGTAATGTGGCAGGAGTGGTGAATCCACACAAGCTTATTGAAGCTCTGATGTCCCCTGGAGGTCAGATGAAGTCCCACATGGAAGATGTGTTCAGCCTCTGGAGCTGGGTTCCGCCTGCAGAACCGATTCCTTTGAATCTCTGCAGTTTTCTGCCAACAAGACGTACAGTTTACACCAGAATCTGACATCTGAATCCTACACATCCTGGCAGGCATTTCCTCACCTCCTCCTTTTTCTTGCAGACAACAGCAAAAACTTTGGTTTGATTATCCGTCTCTTGCAGCAGGCGGAAATGACCGAGCAGCACAGAATCCATCCTGTCAAATAAAAGAAAATCAGCAAATGTCATAATTACAATGCTGTTCTTTACTCTGTAGCATCTGTTTACTAGGAGTTTGCAGAGGTGCACCTGGTGTTTCTGGTACGCAAGCGGGAGACGACAGACAACGGGTCCTCGGGGGTGGTGAGCATCAGGACTTGGCCATCAGGGAAGAACCGGAGATACCTGAGAGCACAGTGTTGAGTGCACCAGTAAAATTTATTTTAAAGTTTATTTATTTAACGCATGATGCCTTTTTTCATTCATCACCTGTGCAAAAATATCTGGACCAATAAAAGTATCGTGAAGGAACCTTTTTACTAAAGTCCTGCAAAAAATATGTTTTTTATCCAGCATCTTCTCCAGAGTATTTTGCAATAACATTTGTGAATACATGAAAAGGGCACTGAAATAAATAAATAACATCAAAATGCAACATGGAAGTTGAAACCAGAACAAGTTTTAGGTCCCGCCCCCTCCATGTAAACAGGACATTCTTAACTGCGGGGCCTAAATAATCACCTGAAGAACTCGACCTGATGGCACGCCCTATAAAACCCGTCCAGAGACTTCTCTCCTTGACGAACATACGAGGTCTTGCTGATATAAACACCTGTCAAAACATATCAATAGAAAATAAAATGACTTCATTGAGTGTTGCAAAAATAAAAGGTCCTTAAATTCAACTTTTTAAATGCAACATTATTTTATTGCAGACTGTGGAACCATTTGTTTATTTCCACGTGTTTTAGTTATCGTAAAACCTTGTAATGTCAAAAATAAATAAATATCCAGACACTGAAATGTTGAGATATTTAGTGTTATGATACTGAACACTAAATATCGCAAAATTTCAGTGTCTGGATATTTATTTATTTTTGACATTACAAGGTTTTACGATAACTCTTCACAAGCAAACCAGTGTTGATACTGAATTGAGCTCCTCCTTGAACCGTCACCTTATCGTGGTGGAGGAGTTTGAGTGCCCTAATGATCCTAGGAGCTATGTTGTCTGGGGCACTTTGTGCCCCTGGTAGGGTCCCCATGACAAATTGGTCTTAGGTGAAGGGTGAGACAAAGAACGGTTCACTGGATCTTTTATGGAGGTAAAGTCAAAGAGTCGGAGTACCCGGCCCAGAGGGTTACCGGGGTCCCACACTGGAGCCAGGCCTGGGGTTGGGGTCCGTGAGTGAGCGCCTGGTGGCCGGGCTTTCGCCCATGGGGCCCGGCCGGGCCCAGCCCGAACCGGATACATGGGCTCATCCAACTGTGGACCCACCACCCGCAGGAGGAACATGAAGGGTCCGGTGCAATGTGGATCGGGTGGCAGACCAAGGAGGGAGCCTTGGCGGTCCGATCCCCGGACAAGAAAACTGGTTTTTGGGACATGGAACGTCACCTCGCTGGCGGGGAAGGAGCAGGAGCTTGTGGCAGAGGTTGAGCGGTACCGGCTAGATATAGTTGGACTCACCTCGACACATAGCATTGGCTCTGGAACCCAAGTCCTTGAGAGGGGTTGGTCACTCTCCTTTGCTGGAGTTGCTCTGGGTGAGAGGCGGAGGGCTGGGGTTGGCTTTTTGTTAGCCCCAAGACTCTCTGCCTGTGTGTTGGGGTTTACCCCGGGGGACGAGAGGGTAGCTTCCCTGCGCCTTCGGGTCGGGGAACGGGTCCTGACTGTTGTTTGTGCTTATGGGCCAAGTATCAGTTCAGAGTACCCACCCTTTTTTGGAGTCCCTGGGACGAGTGCTAGATAGTGCTCCATCAGGGGACTCCATTGTCCTGCTGGGGGACTTCAATGCTCACGTGGGTAATGACAGCTTGACCTGGAGGGGTGTGATTGGGAGGAACGGCCCGCCTGATCTGAACTCGAGTGGTGTTTCGTTATTGGACTTCTGTGCAAGCCGCAGTTTGGCCATAACGAACACCATGTTCGAACATAAGGTTGCCCACCGGTACACTTGGTACCAGGGCAGCCTAGGTCGCAGATAAGACTTTGTAGTCGTATCATCTGACCTGCGGCCATATGTTTTGGACACCCGATTGAAGAGAGGAGCGGAGCTGTCAACTGATCACCACCTGGTGGTGAGTTGGATCAGATGGCAGGTGAAGATGCTGCGTAGACCTGGCAGACCCAAACGCATAGTGAGGATCTGCTGGGAACGCCTGGCAGAAAAACCTGTTAAGACGGTCTTCAACTACCACCTTTGGCAGAGCTTTGACCGCGTCCCGAGAGCAGTGGGGGACATTGACTCTGAGTGGGCCTTGTTCCACTCTGCGATTGTTGAGGCGGCTGCTGCTAGCTGTGGTCGTAAGGTGGCCGGTGCCAGTCGTGGTGGCAACCCCCGTACCCGCTGGTGGACACCAGAGGTTCGGGGCGCTGTTAGGCTGAAGAAGGAGGCCTACAGGGCGTGGTTGGTCTGTGGGTCTCCGGAGGCAGCAGACAGGTACCGGATAGCCAAGCGGGGTACAGCAGTGGCAGTTGCCGAGGCAAAATCTCGGACGTGGGAGGAGTTTGGTGAGGCCATGGAGAAAGACTATCGATCGGCTCCAAAGAGGTTCTGGCAAACTGTTCAGCGCCTCAGGAGAGGAAGGTAGCAAATCGCTCACACTGTTTACAGTGGGGATGGGGAGCTGCTGACGTCAACTGGGGCTATAGTCGGACGGTGGAAGGAATACTTCGAGGAGCTCCTCAATCCCACCTATGCGCATTCCGAGGAGGAACCAGAGCCGGGAGACCTGGGGATGGACTGTCCAATCTCAGGGGCAGAAGTTGCTGAGGTAGTCAAACAACTACACAGCGGCGGAGCCCCGGGGGCAGATGAGGTTCGTCCTGGGTATCTCAAGGCTATGGATGTTGTAGGGCTGTCATGGTTGACACATCTATGCAACATTGAGTGGTCATCGGGGGCAGTTCCTGTGGAGTGGCAGACCGGGGTGGTGGTCCCCATCTTTAAGAAGGGTGACCTGAGGGTGTGTTCCAACTATAGGGGATCACACTCCTCAGCCTCCCTGGAAAGGTCTACTCCAAGGTACTGGAGAGGAGGGTCCGATCTAGGGCTGGGCGATATGGCAAAAATAGAATATCACGATTTTTCCAATATTTTATCACGATTTCGATTTTATCAGGATTTTTTCTCCATGAATAGCATAACTTCAATTGCGTATTAAAGAAGAGAAACATTGAATAAATAAACATTTATTCATATTAGGGATAATCAGCACAGTGCTAACACACTTATATTTTAAACTCACACCAGAGACGATAAAAGCCCTGAGAGAAACAATTACAAAAATCAGTTTTTCTCGTTTTTCAAGTAACTTAACATAAATTAAAATCGTAAACATATTTAAAGTGCAAACATGTCAATTGCAAACGTATTGTGCAAACATTAACTTGTTCAAAATACTATGTAGCTCCCAGTTGCTCATGTAGTGGATAGTTAAGCTCAAATACGGCTCTGATGTGCGGCTGGACCAGAGATCGCTTGTGGTAGCAAAAAAACTGTGCATTCTGAATATTTTCTGCAACAAGTCTCTAAATAAAGTAAAATTTTCCAGTGCAGATTGGAGACAACCCATAGAAGCACTGATTTGATCTCATTTCAGAGAAAAATAGAACAGGTTAGATGCACCTAATAAACAAAATTACTAACAAACTCAGGAATCTTTCTTTGCTTCACTGTTCTGGTGCTGAGAATATCACTAATGCGGATCAAAGGAGATACACAGATGAATGCACCTCTTATTATTTGGAGACTACATTTACTGCAGCTGGCAGAGGCAGAGATTGTTTCTATTGATACACAGAGTTACAGAATCATTTTAAATGTTAATAGGGGAAGACTGCAGGAGGGAGCGGTAAATTACAGGGGGTCCCCAACAAAAACAAGAAACTACGAGTCTGATGAAACCTGCTGGTTTTCCACCAGGCAGTCACGGGGCAGCTCCAGCGACCCAGTGACCGAGCTCAGTCCGGTACCGACACCGGCTCGGCAGAGGGTGAACGAGCCGAGGCGGCGTCGTGCTCTGCTTAAGAAGCGGTGTTATTTTCCTGCTTCAGAAGAAGCGTCCAACGTGTTTTTATGCTTTCTCCGAGACATGTCACGTCACTAAGTTGTTAGCGCCGCGCGCTAAGGAAACCCTGCGTTCCTCTTCGGAACGTGTCGCTCAGCCGCGGCGAAGCCATGTTTGTTCACACACAAATGAAAACAAGCGGGGCACTAATATATTACTATGACTCACTCTGATTGGTTAAGGGTCAAACAAAGGCGTGTCATTCACCTGAGGTAAGTTCCCTTTTCATTCAGAGGCAGAAATTCAACAGCAGAGCTGTGAATCGTGATAAAACGGTCTCTCAAAAATGACAGACCGTCAGATGTGTAGATCGTAAAACGGTCTAAAATCGTCATATCGCCCAGCCCTAGTCCGATCGATAGTTGAATCTCAGATTGAGGAGGAGCAATGCGGTTTTCGTCCTGGCCGTGGAACTGTGGACCAGCTCTATACCCTTGCAAGGGTGATGGAGGGGGCATGGGAGTTTGCCCAAACCAATCCACATGTGTTTTGTGGATTTGGAGAAGGCTTATGACCGTATCCCCAGGGGCACCCTGTGGGGGACGCTCCAGGAGTATGGGGTGGGTGGCTTTCTGTTAAGGACCATTCAGTCCCTTTACCAGAGGAGCGTGAGTTTGGTCCACATAGCCGGTAGTAAGTTGGACCTGTTCCCGGTGAGGGTTGGACTCCGCCAGGGCTGCAATTTGTCACCGGTTCTGTTCATTACCTTTATGGACAGAATTTCTAGGCGCAGCTGTGGTGTGGAGTGTGTCGAGTTTGGTGGCAGGAGAATCTCGTCTCTGCTTTTTGCGGATGATGTGGTCCTCCTAGCTTCATCCAGCTCTGACCTTCAGCTCTTGCTGGGTAGGTTCGCGGCCGAGTGTGAAGCAGCTGGGATGAGGATCAGCACCTCCAAATCTGAGACCATGGTTCTCGACCGGAAAAGGGTGGCTTGCCAACTCTGGGTCGGGGGAGAGGTCCTACCTCAAGTGGAAGAGTTTAAGTATCTCAGGGTCTTGTTCACGAGTGAGGGTAGGAGGGATCGGGAGATCGACAGGGGGATTGGTTCGGCGTCTGCAGTGATGCGGACGCTGAGCCGATCTGTCGTGGTGAAGAGGGAGCTGAGCCAGAAAGCCAGGCTCTCGATTTACCGGTCGATCTACGTCCCAATCCTCACCTATGGTCATGAGCTTTGGGTAATGACCGAAAGAACGAGATCGCGGATACAAGCGGCCGAAATGAGTTTCCTCCGTAGGGTGGCCGGGCTCAGCCTTAGAGATAGGGTGAGGAGCTCGGACATTCGGGAGGGACTCGGAGTAGAACCGCTGCTCCTCCGGATCGAAAGGAGCCAGTTGAGGTGGTTTGGGCATCTGGTCAGGATGCCTCCTGGACGCCTCCCTGGGGAGGTGTTTCGGGCATGTCCTGCCGGCAGGAGGCCCCCGGGTCGACCCAGGACACGTTGGAGAGGTTACATCTCCAATCTGGTCCGGGAACGCCTTGGGGTCCTGCCGGAGGAGCTGGTGGTGAAGGCCGGGGAGAGGACTGTCTGGAGCTCCCTAGTTGGGATCCTGCCCCCACGACCCGGACCCGGACCCGGATAAGCGGAGGAAGACGACGACGACGATACTGAATTGAAGCCATGCATTGATTTATTTGTACTGACTTTATTTACTGTATTTCTTGTGTGTTGTGATTCAAACTCCGACCGCTAGGAGGCACCACATTTTACCGCCGTCATTCTGTTGGAATGATATATCATGATGAAACTAGATATGTTTTAGAAGTGTCCAGGCTGAGTTTACAATAAAGTTCAGTCTTACAAATATCATCTAGCTTCTAGTATCGCGGTATATCATGTTGCATGTACAGTCCAGCTTTTATTCACAAGCAAACCATTTTTGACTAATTGTCTTTTAGCGTACTGGATTCTTAAGCCCAAAAGGATCGATACAAATAAAAACATGATTTTATTTCATATTTGGGACCAGTGATGAGTCTCAAGTTTAACAGGGCACATAGCAGTGCAACATCAAAGAAAAAAGAATAGTAATTAAGCATTACCATCAAAACGAACATGCGGCCTGTGCAGAAACATCTCCCTCCAGGAGTTGAAGGGAACAGGTTTGGTGCAGTTGCATCCCCATATTCTCGTGCAAGCCGAGCGCCAAATCTCAGGATCCCTGAGGAAAATTACAAGTTTGATCTCCGTATTTGCTGAGCAGGAACAACCGGAGATCTCCCACAGCACGTGGCTCTGTCACGTCACCACTAACCTCGCACAGATGTAAAATCCTCGACACACCAGCGACAGCTGCTCCAGGGTACGCATGTCCAGATCACTCGACACAACCCATCGAAATATGTACATCAGGATTTCACGTGGCAAGGCTGCAGCCAAACATAAGAGTTTAAATCACGATATTGTATTTGTCGATTACTTCAGCTGCTTATTTTTACCTGAAATGTGCGTCTGAGTCATTTCAAGCTCAGGAGTACAGATCTTTGGAAAGGAGCTCTCCAGAGTGAATTGCTGCTCGAAGTAGGCGAGCAGATCCTCGATCTCCCCATCAGCATCGCTGTCTTCGCTACTACATAAGACAAAAAATTAAAGTGACTATGTGTAGTTTTTACTTTCAATCTCTGGAAATATCCATCAAAACTTTGTTAAAAATTAATAAAATGATGCCCAGTTGTTGAAAAATCCAGGCAGCTTCATAACAGATAACCATAAAAACCAGGTCTAAAACACATAGGGCGCGAATCTAAGGCTCTGTGGGACGCCATGTTTTATGTGAGGAAGCTCGGGGTCCTGCTCCTGCTAATGACCTCATACTAGATGATTGGCTGGACGTACAACTTATGGAAGTTATGGCATCCTGTTGCTACAAGTAACGTAAGCATGTTGACACAAAAGATTTTGATTGGTCTGGACAAATTTGTAATTTGTAGTCCTTGTGGTTGTAGTCCTGCTCTTAAAAACAATAACAATTTTAATTAAAAAAGACATTTCGGGGAAAATATGTTTATATTGCCAAAGAAAATGTAAAATAAAAGCAAACATATCAATTGATAAATGGAGACCGAGCAGCTCTGATTTAGATGAAATGGGACAAAATTTAAAATAACTAACAGATAACAAGTATACAACAATTTTAATGAATGAATAGATTTATTTATATTAGAACTAACAAAATAAACAGAAGAACTCCACATTTATAAAAATGGAAAGCGCTGCTAATTATGTAAATACATTAAAAAATGTTCACATATAAGAACTGTAATGACCATTTTTGGTTCTTTTTAAAACACAGGAAAGGTTTCTCTTTACCTTGCTAACGTTTCGTTTGCCGACTGCAAAACATCCTCAGAGCTGACGCTGATGGTGGCGTCACTTCCTACTCCGTTTATCCGCGGGCAGCAGAGGACGTTGTCGCCCTCTGTTGCCCGCTCTCCCCTCTCCGATGATGCAGTCCCATGCACGATCCAATGAGTAAACTCCATTGTCTCTGTTCATGGTCCCACATCCACGTCTCCTTATCTCTATAGCTTCCTTTATCCATCTTTTGTATTTCTGTTGTTCGGTGTTTATGATCCTTGTGTTGTCCCAGTCCATTATGTGGTTTTCTCTTGTGCAGTGATCTGTTACGGCTGACTTCTTTATTGTGCTTTCTGCTTCTTTTCCTGCTCTTGTGTGTTTTCGACTTGTTTCTTTCTCACACTCCTTTCTGTGTTCTATTGTTCGTGTGTTGAGTTGGCGTTCGGTTTCTCCTATGTATGTTTTATTGCAGTTTGCATGGGATTTCATAAACGACTCCACATTTATGTCCTGCTGGTATCTTGTCTTTTGGGTGTACTAGTCTGTTTCTAACTGTTGTGTATGGTTTTGTTGGTGTGTTTATATTGTGTTTTTTCATTGTTGCTCTTATTTTTTCTGTTATGCCTTTGATGTATGGTAAGGTTTTCACTGGATTTGGTTCGTCTTTCTGGGTTTCTGGTTCTTTTCTTTCTGATGTTGTTGTTTTCCTTTGTTTATTGCCCATGTCGGGTATCCGCAGGTCTTTAAAGCGCGTTGTATGTGTTTGTCCTCTTGTTTACGGTCTCTTCTGCTACCATGTTTGCTCGGTGATATAATGTTCTGATTACTGACATTTTGTGTATGGTGGGGTGTTCTGATGTCCATATTAGATATTGGTCTGTGTGTGTTGGTTTTCTATGTGTATTTATGTTTAGGGTCCCGTCGGTCTGCCTGCTTGTTTTCATGTCCATAAATGCTATACTGCCTTCTGTTTCTGACTCATATGAACTTTATGTTGCCTGTGTCGTCAATGTTATTCAAGTGTTGTGTTAGTGTTTCCGTTTGTCCTTTGGGTATGATTTCCAGTATGTCGTCTACGTAGCGTTTCCAGAGATTTATTTTGCAGTTTGGGGGGGCAGTGGCTATGGCTTTTTGTTCTAGGTCTTCCATGAAATACTCGCACAGGGTAGCTGATAACGGGTTACCCATGGCGAAACCTTCCAGTTGTTTGTATATTGTGTCATCATACAGTATGTGAAGTAAGTGGAGTTAGCTACCAGTCCTATCAGTTGTGCTATTTCATCTGCTGTGAGGATTGTTCTTTTGTGTAAAGTTTTGTCCTGTCTGATTCTGTTAACTACTGTGTCTATGGTTTTTGGGGTTGGTGTTTTTGTGAACAGGGACGTGACGTCATGTGAGAAGAGTATGTCGTTGTCTTCTATTGTAGTCTTTTTTAATTCTTTTGCAAGTTCTATGCTATTTTTGCAGTGTTGATCTGTGTTACCTAATAACGGGCTGATGATTTTGTTGATTTCTTTTGCCATGTTGTATGTTGGTGTACCTATGCTGTCTACTATTGGTCTAAGTGGGGTGTTTTTTTGTGTATTTTTGGAGTTCCACATATTCTTGGTATTATGTTTGCTGTCTACCGAATCCAAACATCTACCGAAGCCAAATTCCTTGTAAATGTAATTTTACTTGGCCAATAAATCTGAAATCTGCTGTAGGAATCCAGTGTTTGTACATTTTTTTCTGTTATTTTGCCTTTTTCTTGTAGTGGCTTCAGTAATTTTTTCATGTTTTTCTTAATGCTTTCTGTTGGATCTTTTTTAAGTATTTATCAATTTATCGATCAATTTCCCTCTGGGATTAATATAGTATTTTTGAATTGAATTGAATTGTAGGTATTTTTGTCCTAATATCTGTTTCATCTGTTGTTTATATTTTTCATTGTCCATAACTATTGTGTTGTTCGGTGGTTCAAACACAGAACAACAGAAATACAAAAGAAGGATAAAGGAAGCTATAGAGATAAAGAGACGTGGATGCAGGACTATTAACAGAGACGATAGCGTCTATACATTGGATCGTGCATGGGACTGCATCATCGGAGGGGAGATCGGGCAGCAGAGGGCGACAACATCCTCTGCTGCCCGCGGATAAACGGAGTAGGAAGTGACGCCACCATCAGCGTCAGCTGAGCTCTGAGGATGTTTTGCAGTCGGCAAATGAAATGTACGTCAGCAAGCTAAAGAGAAATCTTTCCTGTGTTTTAAAAAGAACCAAAAATGGAATTAGAAACTAAACACAGTAAGAACACACCAAAGATGTTTAAAGAACTGTAATGATATGAGTCTGATGTTGGTTTTATGTAGTTTCACATTCTTTAAAAAACTAAGAAAATTTGGTGTTTTATTAACAAATTAAGAGTTATAAAAGAAACATTTAGGTTGTAAGAAACATGCATTTAATAACAAAACTGTTAAACTCTGTCCAAAACCTACGTAAAAGAAGAGGATGAAAAAAGAGACGCAATATGTTTTGGCCGAGAGGTATTGCCATAATATGACGCCATCAGCAGGCGCAAGACCCCTGAGCAGATCTGGTACCCACACCACCAGAGAACTACGATCAACATTGCATTCTCTTGATGGAGTTAACTTAAGGACCATCAAAGTCGGAGGAGTCACGCCGAGGTCGCATGCTCTCTACTCTACAAGTAACATTTGCCGTAATATTTTCTTTAAGCTAGCGACAGTCACAGCGATGTGGTGTAAATCTACCCTGAGATGTATGAACTGCACCCTAGCACCACACACTGCCACTTTGACGAATAATGAATTAACCAGTATTAGGGTTGGTCAATAAACAGAAAATGTATCGTTACCAAAATTTCTGATTCTTATCGAGATAATTTTTCCCATGCCAATAAATTTGATAATAAAAAATTAAAAGATGTGTGTAGGTTGGAAACATTTATGACCCTTTGAGAGGCTGTACCACCTTGAGTCACATAATGTGACTCAACGTAACACACGCAACAGCCCCATCTAGTGGGCAACTTGAGTTTCTGCGCATACCTGCAGTTCTCGTCCATTTATCGTTATCGAGGTGAAATCCTCAATATATTGTGATATTGATTTTAGGCCATATCGCCCAGTCCTAATCAGTATAATAAAAGGTAACTTACAAGTTGTCCTCAGCCTTGTTTGCATCAGTAGGACGGCTGTAGTTGATTTTAAACTCAATGTCAGGATCGAGCTGCATCGCCAAGCGGTAGAACTTGATGGCTTCAAGTTGAAACGTGAAAATAAATTATACATAATTTATTTTAAAAATCCAGATCTTCATTTATGTTTAAAATTTTTGAGAAAACTTTTAAAAACTCAGACCTTCTGAGTTATTTTTTCACATGATCACTTCCTAAATGCTGCTTATGTACCTTCATAGACAGCCCCCGTCTGCTCCTTCTGCACAGCTCTCAAGAACAGCTTTGTGGCCTGATGAAACAAACATCAAACCAACTTTTTTTTCTGCACAAAATAGCATATACTTTAAAAAAAGTGAAGAATTTACTTTTTCTTCTCTAACTATTTCTTGTGTCCACTTCAGATCTTGAGCTCGCAGGTGTCGGCCGCTCGACCCAGAACTCGGTTTGAGTTCAGACATCCACTGAGCTCTGAAGGCGCTGAGCTCCAGCTGCAATAACAACACAACAGTTGATAATACTAAACTTTTATTCCTTTTATGACTGCTGCATCCATAAACTGTTCAGACTACTTCCATCAGGAAGGAGGTTCTGCAGCATCTGGTCCAGAACCAGCAGACTGAGAGACAGCTTTTTCCATCAGGCCATCTGAACACTTCGCAGACACCTCACCCTCACTACTGAAACTCCAACATTACACACTCCATACTGTACATTAATGCCACTGTTTTGCACAAACCAACCGCTGTATATTTTATATCTCTTATTTTATTGTTTACTTTATTCATTTGTAAAATATGTATGTACGCATTATACACACACTCACACGCACACATGTAGAAAAATAAAATACTTAGCACACACATTTAGTTATGTATATACCTTACATACTATATATATTATTACTTAGATTAGCCATTTTTATATTTTGCTTGTTTTTACATTATTGTATTTTGCACAACTGTTGCTGTGAAACTCTCACACAAGAATTTCACTCGCATGTACTGTACCAGTGTACCTGCACATGTGACGTGACAATAAAAGTGATTTGATTTGCAGGGTTTACATCTATTAGCAACAACATCCACTTATCAATCAAAAAGAAGAAAACACATTTTCTATGTATTTCATTAGAGGTAGACTGGTGTCGGCCGATGCACTGAGCCAATATTTACGACACAACAGTGCACAAAATTATGACTTAACAGTTGGTTACATGCAGAGTTAAAAAAAGATTTTGGATTCAGACTCAGGAATTTTGTGCATCAGATGATATGATTGGGGACATTTTATCACAAATGAGGTAGAAAACGTTGACATCGGCCGTGAAAATCGGCCCAAACATTGGCCATCGGCTGATCATGACAGCTTCATATCGGCATTGGCAATAGAAAAAAAAACACATCAGTTGACCTCTAGTTTTAATTAATAATTTCATATTTTAGTAGTAATATTGATATTGTTAATAATAGTAATAACCATAATTATAGTTAATTTCTTGAATATTGTCACAATCATACAGGAGCCGGACATTCCTGACTATTATAATATCCATAAAATCTGCACTGACGCATTCTTTTAAGCATGTTGATATATCTGGGCACCAGAAGCATTAAGAACGGCTATTCGGCTAGGATTCTTATTTTTTGTAATTATTTTTTTATATTTTCAGATGTTTCCTTACGTGTCTGGTGTTTTCTGTTGTTCCATGACAATTCCCAGTAATGAAACTGTTGTTATGGTAAAAGCTTCTGAAGAGGAAAGTGATGATTCTGATGATGATGCATAAGATGGGAGCTTTAAGATCAGGACTTTTGAGACCTACTGTAGGTCATTGGAGCGCTCCTGCACCTTTGATTTCAGTGTCCCGCGTTAGTAAACCAAAGTAACTTCCTACAGTTTGAACTGTAATCTGATTACGTGTAGTCATTGGTAATAAAAGTGGTTTGAGGTCACTGTTGTATATTTATTGTTTTTACAATATTCTTATCCATCATGTTTCAAGTACAGTGAAAAGAATTGCAAATGTCAGAGGTCACAACAGTACCCACGAGTGGACATTTTCCCGTGTGGTTCAAAAGTGTCCTGCCTGAGACGCTCCCACATCTGCCAATCCGGCAGATGAAGGTCAAAGTTTCCCACAAACATAGAGATCCTATAAGTGAATGTACAACAGCTTTTATGTCCATGAGTGTAGCAGCAACTGTGTTTTCAGACCATTGACGAGTTCTCACCTGGATATTTGGCTCATCTGAACTCTCATCTTCATCCTCTAAAATACCTCCAGTACCTGTGTTGTCTTCAGCCTGTGTGAAGAAACAAGACAGCAGCACTGGGTACTGTAGTCTGGTTCAGGGAGATGGAAAAGTCAGGATGAAACTATGCATTCATTGAAGCGGCAGTCCTGTCGACAACAAGCCCTGTCATCCTCTGCACTTTGGACTTGAACGCTCCATGAAAAACACCTGTAGCTTTTCATGGCTGCGCGGGTTTAACAGTAAAAATGTTAGAAACGACATTCGCTTAGTGTCTAACATATGTGAGTTGTGATATGCGGTATAACAAATTACCTACCTACCTACTTCTGGATAAGACAGGTTTATTAATAGTGTGTGATTTCAACTAGCTAACTGTTGCAATCCACTGGCTATATTATGCTAACATGTCTAGTATAAACGAAACATTTCATGATTAGTTAATTCAACTTGGAGCTAACCTCTGGTTACACATTCATTATTTAGTATCTGTAACTCTGGTTACAACCCAACCAACTAGCTAACTACCTAACCAGTGCTGACTAGTGAACGTTCAGGTTGCCTTTAAAGGAAGCTAATTAATGTTAGCTACGTTAGCTAGCGAGCTAACTTGTTTATCTCTGATTAGCGGGTAAAACACGGCGACCTACCATGACACTTTTAACAGTCGCTTTTCTTTTGTCTTCGCAGGTGATCAACGGTACCGTTTACAGGTCACGGTCGGAGAAACGGACCACACAGCGGACATATTTACGAGCTCGCAGGAACGCAGCCATTTCGCAGAGCAGCCTGGAGCCTCGGTGCTACAGGAAGTGTGGTGAGCTGGACGGAGCTCCGGGAGAGAGTTGCACTGAAACGTAAACAAACCAGAAAAACATTTTGTTCACATGTTCAATCATCCTCTACTCATATTTTATACATAGTTGCTTTGTAAATTTGCTAAATGAACCGAAGTAAACATGCAGATAACTAATTAAATGTTTTGTGAATTCTGTGCATGTTTTTTTCCTCCAACAAAGCAGGAGCTATTCTAAACCTAAATATTACAGAAACAGCAAACAACTTTTAAATGAGCGATCACATTGGAATATTTGAATATATTCAGCCAGCATCAAAATAAACATTGGTACCCCTGTGTCTTCAGTGCTGTCCTGTTCCCAAAAAAGAAAGAAAATGGTCTTTTATATAGCACCTCTCAAGATAAAAAGCATGAGGCGCTTCTCAAGAACATAAAATAAGTATAAAAACACATTTAAAAAAATATTAAAAATTAGAAAAATAAAAACTGTGATTAAAATTGTAAGGAAATGGAAAGAGGGAACTCAATGGATCCCAGGAAAGGCAGAGTTGGTAGATAGAGCAGAATAAGGAGAGGCTGATGATGAAGATCACGCAAAAGCCAGCCTGAACAAGTGAGTTTTCAACTGCTTTTTTTTGTTCTTCCCTGACTGTTCTGCATCCCAATTGGACAACATCATCCTGAAGTTGCTGAAGACACTGCTGTGATAGATCTCATCAGTGGTGAGGATGAGGCAGCCTACAGGAGGGTGGAAAGGCTAGTGTCATTGACGGACATCAACCTCATTGTGAACACAGACAAGACCAAGGAGATCATAGTGGGACACGAGGAAAGAGAGGAGATCATATTGACTGTTTTTCCAGGACCTTGATGTGGAGAGAGTAATCAGCTTTAAGTCCCAGGGGGTCCACATCAGTGAAAAGCCACCTGGAACATCACACATGTGATGAAGAAGGTTCAACAGTGGCTGTGCTTCATGTGGAGGCTGAGAAAACTTTAGGTGGTAAAGACTGCTTTTAAGATTACCAGGACTCCACAACAGATCATTTACCATGGAATAGTTGCCACCTTTATCTTCAGAGACCTCATCCACCAGCAACATGAACTAACCCTAACCCTAAGATTAAAGTCCCATAGTCGTCACACACACTGGTGTGGTAAAAATTGTCCTCCACATTTGACCCATCCACATGGAGAGCGGTGAGCTGCCTCTAGGCCAGCTCAGTGGCCTAGTGGTAGAGTAACCAACATCTTCAGGTACCAAAGTAGGAAATGCAGGATGATAAGACAACAAAACTTTATTCCCCAAAGCCTGTAGACTCTAGCCTGGCAAGCCAGACTAAATAAATGTATTATTTAAACTTTGCAAAGCAAGAATTTGGTGTAGTTCACTAGGCCAATTGAACTGATAACCATGGAGCTTTACCCCGGTGCATGCACTGTTGGCCTGTTTATTTATTTATAGTTTTTATGTAATATTGGGGTTACCCAAACATCCTGTAAAATCTACACTTCACTGAATCTTGCTCGACATGTAGCAGCTAATATAGCACATTACCTGCACAATTATCTATACATAGCTGATATTCTGCATAGCTTACACTTCCCACACTTTATATTTTGATCGTTTTATTGTATTTTTGCATGCTTCTTTTGGTTTAATTTTTATTTGTATATACTTAAATGTATACTTTTTTGCATCTAGTGCAGCAAAGTAAGAATTTTATTACAGGAAACACATTTCCTTACGGTTTGTTTGACAACAAAACTTTGAGTTGAACTGGGTTGATGAATTAATTTTAATGTCAAATTAGTGCAAATGTGTCTAAAGCCAGAACAAGGCTCCTAGGTGTTTAGGATCCCCCACTATTTAAATAATTCAAACTACTTTTTAAAAGAGGCCAGTGAGGAGTTATGATGTAATAGATATATTCCTCAAAGCAACACCTGCAACTGAATTAATTACTTTTTATTAGCATTTACATTTCCAGAAAACTAGTAGGCTTTTTAAGTTTGAGCTATTCTGTTCCTTGCAACATAAATAATAAACAATACAAATTGCACAAGATTTTTTTTATTTACCTAGTTGACAGTTAAGGGAGCTTTAGTGGAAATTAAAAGTTTTCATTAAGGCTAAATTCCTCTAAGTTTAATTGTAAACACATGTACTATCTGCATCCCATATTTCTACAAACAGTTGATTAAGTTTTCAACAAATCAAAGCTCACTTGATCAGTTATGTGTATGCATGTAGTGTAGTGTGTATGTGTTTATTTATTTATATATTACATTTATTTATTTGTTATTTTTATGTGAAAATATTTATATTCATGCATGGTCAGATAGAAGACTAAAACACAAAAACATCAGATGAAGACTGAAATTATGACATTTGATGCCTTTGAAGATATAGAGGTCTACTTGTTTGTTTTTATCTCCATTCTAATTCACGAGATTCTGCTATCCCCCCACCCCAACATTTGTTCTATATTTATTTGTGTTAATTGTAAAACAAAAAAAAACACAGAGCTAAGTGAAATAAATTATATATATATATATATATATATATAAAGTCCAATCTGTTTATTTCTTTAGATAAATAAGGTTAGTAGCATGTTTTACAAAACTTTGTGCACAAGACACAGATTTTAATCAAAGAAGATTGCAGAGGAAGATAGTTCTCTGTAGATCACATCCGGTTTTGCTTGACGTCTTTTTGGTGATGGATTTGTGTGTGTGTGTGTGTGTGTGTGTGTGTGTGTGTGTGTGTGTGTGTGTGTGTGTGCGCGCGCGCGTGTGTAGGGTGTAAATTTATTAATTGAGAATTCGCGTTAATTTTAATAGTAAGCGCATTAAACGCGCGTTTTGGCAGCTATCCTGGAACGGAGTGTTACATTGTTTCTGGTCCCTCAAAAAGGGATGAAAAAATCAAGAAAATACTAAATAAATGTGAAAAATCTGAATAACCACCCAAGATCCAACCTCTGTATTTTAAAACGTGCCGTTGTGCGGGACACAAAGTACACAAAGGCATGCTTGTTTATTTCCCGCCTGAGGAAAGCTGTGATTTGTAGTGAGAAAACAGGGAAACAACGGTTTTTTGTAATAACGCGAGATTTTGTGGAGCTCTCCGACGGAAGGGCCTGGCTGTTTGATAATTGACGTTCAGTCGTGGACATCTGGGATGTTTATAAAGAGATTAATTGAATACACTACTTTTTAAAAGCACGTAGCTAAACATCGACTATACAAATGTCGGGATAGGTGTTGTCGGTTAGAAGCAGACAGGTGAGTTTTATGTCGCTCCTTTTATTGGGTGTCAGTTAGGATCATCCCTGCTAGACAACGGTTGTCTCTGCATCGCTGTTTTTATCAGAAAATGCTACGGTGCGGTTAGTATCTGCTTTACTTACATGCCAAAGTTTAGCATCAAACAGCCTGGTAGGTTTTAGTAACACATCTGATTATATTTGGTATTTACTGTATCACCCATGATGCTTTGAGCTTTTTTTAGGCACATTTACCTTAATTGTGATTGGTGTTTTTTTTATTGTCCTAAAAAGTTGTAACAACAATAAAATGTGGAAAAATACTCCCAGTCAACAACTACCAAAGAAAATTAGGATAAATGTATGATCTCAGCTTTTTTTGGTGGTAATATGAAAAGTATAATCATATATTTTCCATAATTTCGTATTAAAAACCGAAAAAAAATCTATAACTATAAGTAGAAACTGGCAGTTTTTCTTTCATAAATTTTGTCAAAAATGGTGCAAGCATTTGGATAATTTATTTAAACTTTAAATGAGTTTAATGGTTCTTTTGAAACTCACAAGCAACTACTGAGGAGATGCACATTTATTAGTAGCTTGTGCTCGGTAGTAATCATGGAAAACTAACATTAGTTCTTGTTTTATTTTTGGATCCATTCACCATGAAGGAGGGACGTTTGTGACACCATGAGTCCTCCAGCTCAGCCCACGGTCTTCTGCATTTGTCACAGGAAAATCTGGTTGCACTCAGCAGTAGGAGCTGAACACGTCCATTTTTCCTCCTAATTCTTGTCTTGCCTTGAGGAAAAATATGAGAGGACATGCACAATGAATAGATACACCACCATCAGACAGCTCGGGGATGGCACCTATGGATCGGTCAGCCTCGGCCGCAGTCTGGAGTCAGGAGAGCTGGTTGCTATAAAGAAGTGAGTATTTGGCAACTTCCTCATTTTTTAAGAGCTTGTGATCTGTGCAGCATTGTGTGCTGACTTTCTATTTTACCAAATGACATGTAGAAGAGATGCTGTGCAGCAACATGAAGCAATGATTAGAGGTAATTCAATAGAAATCTGTATTTTCCAGAATGAAACGAAAGTTCTACTCTTGGGAAGAATGCATGAACCTTCGAGAAGTCAAGGTAAGTTTCACCAGTCATATGAGAAAATAAACCAGACAAAACAAAAATGTTACCCGTATCATTAACCTTGGTTTTACCATAAACGGTACAAATTTACCTGTCACAATCAGTGGTGCTCCCAGAGAAATTTCTAGGGGTGGCAATGCCCCCCAGCCACCGTTTGTGGGCACCACTAATCAAGAGTGTTGATGGGCATCGCTTTAGTCATTATTTTAATTTATGAACTTAATTCATCATGAAATATACAAATGCTGATTTGTGTGTGATGTTATTAGTTGACAAATAATTCAGTACATTTCCCCCATACCAGTTTAATATGTTACTGTTCAGATTTCCTCCCACCAGCACACAGAGCAGAAGGTGATTCTTGTTTTTATTTTAGCTCCTGGTCCACATGACCACCTGATCCTTTCTTTGTAGAGCTTGGTCTTATTGTAGCAAAACATAAACATGCTGAGGGTCCTGCTGAGTAGTTCACAATTACAGCATGTCACTGTTGGCTCTCAAAGCCTTTTTTCAGCTTCTCCCTTTTGACTAAAACTGTAGCATGGTTGAACATTCATCATCCCAGTGCATCCCGCTACCTTTTCAATTTTCAAGAGCAAATCCCTCTTTTGCAGCATTTTCCCCCCAATAAACTTCACTATTTTCTTGAATTTACCCAAGAAATAATGGTATGGATAGCTGTAGGTAGAGCGTGCCTTTGAATGTGACCTGTTTGCTCTCCCTCCAGCATGGTCAAGATTCAATTATTTACTCCCGCCTTTACTTCCTGTTTGTACATTTCTTACACAACCTGTTTCTTTATTCTTTCAGTCACTAAAGAAACTCAATCATGCAAATGTGATCAAACTAAAGGAGGTCATTCGAGAAAATGATCACTTGTACTTTATATTTGAGTACATGAAGGAGAACTTATACCAGCTAATGAAAGATAGGTGTGTACATTTTGGCGTTTTTGCACAATTTATGCACATTTGAGGAAAAAGCTCGATGTTTTCTAAATTGTTTTCTCTTTTCTTGCTCTAGAGCACGTTTGTTTCCTGAATCTGCCATCAGAAATATTATGTTTCAGATCCTGCAGGGACTCGCATTTATCCACAAACATGGTGCGGATGCTTCTCAGTCGTGGTACGACTAATGGGCTCGACACACGGGAGGCGACAAACGACCGCGATCAGCGAAATTTGTCGCTGTCGCTTTTATTACCTGTCACACGGGAGGCGATCCGCGGCAGCGGCCAGCGGCAAAGCCGTCTACGCGTTCTGTTCCATGGCGAAATCCAAACTTCCGTTGTTTTGTTTGGCTGTGTCAGGTTGGAGGGAATTAAGGTTATTTAAGCGGTTCAGAGTTAATAAAGTGGTAGATATGATGTTTCACAAGGTGCTGCTAGAGTTATGTGAAATCTTACTTCTGATTTTACTATAAAACATAATAATAATCAACTTCTCCTCCATGTTTGCTCGGAGAAGTGCGGAGCATCCTGTCCGCTCATTGGTCAGTGAATGAAACCTCCGTTGATTGGTCCTCGCCCAAGCGACAGCGATGAAAAGTTGAAAATGTTTCAACTTTCTGGGATCGCGTTGCTGGGTCGCACGTGCACGACACGTGCACGAGTGCAAACTTTCACACGCACGTTTTTCGCGTTTCGCTTGGTGGGAGGGAGACCCGCGATTATCGCTTTGTCGCGCATGTCTCATTGAAAATGAATGGAGGAGAGGCGATGTCGCCTCCCGTGTGTCGAGCCCATAACGGTTAGTCCCATCGGAGTGAGGAGGATGATGATGTATTGTGTCTCCACCAGGGTTTTTCCACAGGGACATGAAACCGGAGAATCTTCTGTGCATGGGTCCAGAGCTGGTGAAGATAGCCGACTTTGGACTCGCCCGCGAGATCAGATCTCGACCACCGTACACAGACTACGTCTCAACTAGATGGTGAGTTGTAAAAGGCCTGTATTTGTATAGCGCCTTCTTAGGGGTCTACAACCCCCCAAGGCGCTTCACAACACAATCAGTCATCCACACACATTCACACGCTGGTGGGGATAAGCTACGATGTAGCCACAGCTCAGCTGACCTGGGGCGCACTTGAGAGAGTTGAGTCTGCCGTACGCAGGCACCACCGGTCCCTCCGACCACCTCCAGCAGGCAAGGCGGGTTAAGTGTCTTGCCCAAGGACACAACAGCATTCTATGGTGGGAGCCGAGATCAAACCTGCAACCTTCCTATTATTGGACAACCCTCTCTAGCTCCTGAGCTCCTGTTGTAAACATAACGCATACCTGTGGAGGACTTTCACTGCCAAAATAGACAATAAATAAATACATTAAGAAATAGTACAAATAAACACATGAAGAAATACCAATGGAAATAAGTAAATAAAAATTTTGGGGGGAATAAATCAATAAATGAGGAAATAAAATTGTGAATAAATGAATGTGGAAATAAAAATGGACAAATAATATATGAGGAAAGAGTTAAATTAAATATTAAACAAATTAATGTGGCAATAATTGAAAAGATTAAATATAAGAGGAAATAACAGTGAAAATAAATAAATGCATTTCTAAATAAAAATAAAAAAACTGAAAAATATTAATTTTAAGAAATAAATCTATCAATTAGGAAAGAAGGAAATAAAGTTGTATCCTAAATTAATGAAATAAATTTTGTTTTTAATAAATATATTTGGAAATAAATACACATTATTTACTGTTAGGGCAGGAAGAGTCCTTCATACGTACCTGCTTTAGCTCAAATGAAAGGATGTTTTGTTTCTGGACCAGGTACAGAGCTCCAGAGGTGCTGCTCAGATCCACATCCTACAACTCGCCCATAGACCAGTGGGCAGTCGGCTGCATCATGGCGGAGCTTTACACGCTCAGGCCTCTTTTCCCCGGATCAAGCGAAGTTGACACCATATTCAAGATTTGCCAAGTCCTGGGGACACCAAAGAAGGTGGTGATACGATCAATGAAATAAAATAAAAAACAAGAAAAGTGACAACATTCAAGCAAGTTTATAAGTTGAACTCTGTTAAAAGTGGAATAAAACGTTCTTCAAACGTTTTTCTCCTTTTAGAATGATTGGGCTGAGGGATACCAGCTGGCGAGTGCCATGAATTTTCGCTGGCCTCAGTGCGTTCCCAATAATCTGAAGACATTGATCCCAAATGCCAGTCCTGACGCCATCCATCTGATGATGAACCTGCTTCAGTGGGATCCCAAGAAGAGACCAGCCTCTGCTCAGGTAGCATCCATACTGCTCTCACGTCCAGGCAGACTCAATAAAAGCTAACTCTGCTTGCTCTAATCGTTTTTTAAAGGCTCTCAGGTACTCCTACTTCCACGTGGGCCAGGCTTTGGGAACTCCTCAGCAGATCCTGGATCAGGGCAGACCTCAGCTCGGCCTCGTGCATCTGCAGACGCCCTTACAGACGCAGCAGCAGCAGCCTCTGCTGTTGAAGCCAGTGCCCCCCTCCCAGCCTCCGCCTTCTAACCAGCACTGCTCTCCCTCCAGGCCGCTCCATCAGATCCAGACCTCCCCTGCACCAGCAGCTGCCCAGCCGGCAGCTTACCAGCGGCACACGGAGATGGTTCGGGAGCAGCAGCAGCCGAAGCACATCCTGAAACAGGAGCAGACGGAGGGAACCCCTCAGCGCCGTCTCCCTTACATCGTAGACAAGAGCCACCAGGAAAAGGTGTGGAAACCTTTCACGTTTTTATGGAAGGAAGCCTTTTGGGATATTCTGAGCTTGTCTAACACCCGTGGTTGATGTTTGTTTTGTAGCAAACGCAGCAGGATGTACACAATTTAAGCCTGCTTGGCTATCAGCTGAAGCCTAAAGGAGGGCGGCGTTGGGGACATGCAGCTGGACACGTTAAAGGAGAAGACTGGGACAACTACGAGGAGACTGATCCGTACTCCATCAGTATCCTTGGAAAACCTAACTTCTCATCAGAGAAGTCGAGACAAGGAGACGACTCTCTGAGCAGGTGATGCTACTGATCACTCGGGTTATGTACGAAGTGTTTAAAAAACATAAATCTACGACCGGTTTGCTTCTCTGCAGGTTTGGAACTGTTCTGGATTTCAGTCGACGCAGCGGAAAAGAAGATGCACCTTTAAACCTGAACAAGACCGCAGCCTATCAAGAGCCATCAAGAACGGCCTCTGCCAAGCAGCATTACCTGAGGCAGTCCAGATATCTACCTGGTATTATACGCTTCTTTTTTATTTGTGATTTTAATAAATATTGGTCAGTAATCTCTTCTTGTCTCCTTCAGGCATCAGTACTAAGAAGAACGTAGCCATGAATGCCAGTAAAGAATTCCCAGGAAGCCATTATTGTGGCAGCAGCAGTATTGCGTTTGGAGGGACCCTGCCAAGCAGAGGAGCTCATGGTAACATCGTTGTAACCATTACCTTGCTTTTCCACCGGGTGCGTAATGTGGCGCATAGTGTAAGCAGAGCGTGATGATGTCTTCCCCACAAACTCAGCAGCACGCACCTTCCCACCGGGAGCATTTCAGGTATGAAACTGCAGCGAATGCTTTCCACGCTGTTGGTCCTGCAAGGTCACAAAATCACCAGAGAATTGCAAGACCGTTCAGGATTTTGGCAGTTCACACTATAACGAGCAAAGAGAAGGACGGCGCAATGTATCAATGTGATTTATTATCTATTCTGTTTACAGGTAATGATGTAGTTTTTTTTTTTCATTATTCAGAGACTGGAAATCTCCACACTTTTATTTAGAAATTTTAAGGATGTTTTACACTGCTTCTGTGTTTGACTTCCTGTCTCTTCCGAACTGGAAGCGCAGCACCTTACTCTGAGTGAATTTAGCGAAGCTGAACGTCACACTTCTGGGATGCATCCAAAACACGACGTGACGCTTCGCAGGCGGGGGAAACGGACCCATTAACTCTAACGGTGGCTAATTGCTGCGCACTACCTTTCGAGAACGTTAAGCAACATTAACACATCCGTGGAAAGGCCCGGTTACGACATATCACGGTCAGCAAGATTCAACCCAACATTTTAATTTTATTTTATTTTATTTTTGCTCATCAGGCACAAATACGATCCCAGGTGATTACATGCCATCATTTTACAAGAAAGACAATGGCTCAGTTGGTCACAGCAGAGGCCGTCAGGGTGTTTCCATGGAAACAAGTGAGCTCTAATATCTGTTTTTGCTTCTGTCTGATGACCCTTCACAAACTGTTTCCCTACACTTATTTATTTATTTTTTTAGATTATGCAACTTGGCGGTCTGGCCGGAGCCACATGAACCCATCGGCCGGCGTGCCGACAGCCAACAAGAGCAGCTCCAGTCTGCTGCCTCGCCCGCCGCTACAGACCATTCATGGACGAACAGACTGGTCAGCCAAATACGGACACCGCTAGCGGCCATTTGTATTCTTACAAACTCTCTCACTTCCAAAGAGTAGTTGTTTTTAAATTCTGATCTGTACATAAATGCTCTACAGCAATACGTTTGGTTTATTGTGTGTATTATGGATGCTGTGTGATGTAAAATATTGGATTGTGAATGCAGCCCCTCAGTGTTTCTGTATTATACATATATATATATGGAGAGGTTTCACCTCACTTTTGTATTGTTTACCCACTTATATGCATAAACGATATAAAACCTCACTGATTTATTTTTGACAGATTATTTGTACACCTCTATCTGTCACTGCCCTTATTTCTCACTTGTTTGTGTAGCGAAATGTAACCAAGTGTTTTTATATCTGAGAACTTGGTTAAATCCAAGTGGTTGCCACATTGTTCATTATTTTACGTTGCAGATTTAGCAGTAAAACGATGCATCTGAACACCTCGAGGCTGAACTGAGGGGGATTATTGTGTTACTGGTTGTCATAATTAAACATTTTACCTGATAACGATGCAATTAAATGTTCAATTGCAAAATAGTTTTAAACCATCAAAGTTAGATCTTTTAGTCAAATCATTTGCTGTTTAACCAGTAACAATCAGATAGAGCTCTTTAGAGCTTATCATGCATCATAAAACTCAATCAAATGCACCAAGGTTACACATAAAACAAGTGCATTGTTTATTAATTTTTTTAACACGCCAAGGTAATGGCCAGTGGGACTGATCAGAAAAATGTCTGGTGATAATAATTACATCATCTTTCTGGAGTCCTGGGTCTATTTGGTGACATGACAGTGATTTTGTTCTAAAAGTAAAACATGAAAAATTTTTGGTTGGTTGGCTAGCAAAAAGATATTGACCTTTATGGAAGTTTTTGGACAAAACAACATTACAGTAAAGCTATGCTTCCCAAACGGGGCAAAAGACATGCTGAGAAGTCCGCTGTGTCCCTTAAACAAAGACAGACATGAGCTGTGTTGCTTTTGGAGACTGACTGTGATATTGCATCCTGCTCTGCTGTATCTGTTCTGGTGCAGCTCAAGCCCGGCAGCGCTGTGTGTGTGTGTGTGAGCTCCTCAGAGAGAGACTTTAGATGGCTCCCTCTAATGGTAGGCATGAATTTGAGCTGGCCAATCAGTCAGCAGTGGGCGCCTTGGACGACTTCAGTCCGAAGCAGACCGCCTTGGGAAGAGGGCTGAAAAAATGACCGGTTGAGCAAGGAATAAATCCAGGCTATGCAGGTGTGAACACTTCCTAGCCCATCTAGGTGGAGAAGAGCCGTTGCTAGTGTGGAAGCCCTATACGTCTGCTGTGGTCTCTAGTATAAGTGAATGCCTTGTTAGCCGTTCTCAGTAGAGAAAAAGCTCTGGCGCTCCTGTTTCAGGAAGTAGAAGTTAGCCGGGTAAGTGGGGTGCAGAAAACGGCAGGATTTGAATTGTTACTCATTAATATTCATGATATTGAGACATCTTGCTTCTGATTGGCTAACAGCAATGCAACTCTTCCACTGCCTCAGGTTGCTCAGTGAACTTGGTCTTTAAAGAAGTTTAAGTACAGCTTATTTTTTTAACATCTTTTTAAATCCAATACTTAATTTCATGTATTATGTGTCAGGTTTTTTGTCCTTGGCAGACATTCACACTGCAAATGAAAACTTAATCATTAGCTCACCATTGCACTGGCTGCATGTGGTGCAGAAATGGCCGAAAGCCACAAATGCATTCAAAAATCACCGTCCCAAAGCTCCAGTAGTCCATAGTTGCAGTGTAGGGTTTACTCTCAAACAGCTCCGGAGCCTGCCACACACACAAAAAAGGTTTTCAATAAGAAATCATGACACTTGATAAACTGTAAAATAAAAAATAGTAATCCACATTTACTTACCAAATACTGAAGAGTTCCAACAAAAGACGAACAAAGGCTGCCCTGATCCAGATCCTTTGCATATCCTAAGTCGATGATTTTATGAACAAGCTGGAGAGATAATATTTTTAACCAATGACCAGAAAAACTGAAAATAAAGACGTGCAGATTACATAAGTAACACGTATTCCTGCATGGATTTGAATTCACCTTCCCATCAACCTCTTGCAGGACAATGTTCTCAGGCTTTAGGTCTCTGTGGATTATTTTATTTTCATGGAGATACTGGACACCAGAACCTTTTCAAAATAAAAATAAAACATCAATCGTGCCTAAAGTTTTGATTTTAAAAGCTTTAATCAGGCTAAAAGCTGGTGAGAAGATTACCAATGTCGCTGAGCAGGGAGAGGACTTCACTCTCCTTCAGTCCACAACAATTCTCAGGTTTATTTGCTGGGCTGGTGAAGGTGCAGAGTGCAGGTGGAGGCCCCATGGAGGCAGGCAGGTGAACTCAAAAAGGCTTTAATAATGAAAACCAGGATAAAACAGTAAAGTGGGACTACACAGGAAAAACAGATTAACAAATGTTTCATGAATCTGGGGAACTATGCAATCTTATTTAAATTTTCCAATTGCTTTTGGTTCCTTTTTTTTTAGCTTTGCTTTCATTTAAAAGTTCTTTCTGAGTAAATGAAAAGAGAAGCAGGTTTTATGAGACTGAATAAAAAAGATGGAGGCATATGGTTTGACAGTTTCTCTCATCATTGTGGTTACTGACTCTTTTTTACCACGGCTATAGCTTACATGTTTCAAATAGTTAAAAAAATGGAAACACGACGCTTAAAAAATGTAAAAGTCAACAAATGAACTAACTCTGGGTAATGATAAATGGCTTGTATTTGATATAGGGCCTTCTAGTACCCCCCCCCCCCCCCCACACACACACACACAAGACACTTTACAACACAATCACTCATTCACCCATGCACACACACACATTCTCACTCTGTGTCAATTTTCTATTTCAAAGTATGCTTTCATCAAGATAAAGAAGTGTTTTGGGGATGTTTTCTTTCACATTCACACCTTTCTGTCAAACTACATTATTTTCATCCACCTTATCGTCAGCCCTCTCACGTTTCCTGTTTCTTTACCCTGTTTGTGGTTGCTAGAAGTAAAAATAGAGCAGCTGCAAAATGCTGGCCAGCTTATATATATACATATATATATATATATATATATATATATATATATATATATATATATATATATATATATATATCCTTTGTAGGTTTAACTTTAGGTTTTATTCTACCTGTTTGACCATTTTTGTGCTTAAAACCACAAACATCATTTGTTCCAGGAACATGCCACCACTCACTGCCTCAGAGCAACTTAACATGACGAAGTTACAAATCTGGAGGTAGCGCCAGGTGACCAAGAGAGCATTTTTAATTGTTTATTCATGAAATGATGAATTGGTGGTTTGCGTTTGGGGGAATCCAGAGTCTTTCATCAAAATGACCAAATTAAACACTTCAAATTACAGCTGCGTTTTCACGACTTGTGAAACTAAACAGCTGAATGGCCCACAGTTTATCTAGAAGCTGGAATCATGTCTTTACTGATCCCAAAAAGCTCAAGTCCAAACAAAAAAACAGATAAAGAATAGGAAATATGAATAATCCTTATTTACTTACTTTATTTAAAGAGAGGACAATGCATATTTATGAACAGCAATACAACTGTAAATGTGCCAGATTATAGCCTTAGGCTAATTTCCATCTGCAGTCCTCTGGCAGGTTAATGTTAAAAGAGATAAGACAGACAACAATATACATTTAGAAAAAAAAACAGGAACATATTTTACGAAACAGACAAGAGTAAAAACAAATAAAAGTGTCATCTATGATTGCATCTTTGAGTTTCCTGTAGACACAGTTTCAATTGTCTTTTGAAACTAACAAGACTTGAGCTTTCTCTCACTTGAGTAGGAATGCTGTTCCAAAAAGTCGAGCCCTGGAATGACAGAAAATTTTGAGAAAATGTTGTTTGCCTATAAGAGGGAGCTCACAGTCACCTCTGACTGTAGCTCGAGTTACTCTGGAAGAGTTCATGTGTGATTTTTGAATAATAAAATCATGCAGTGGTGGATGGGCTAGACCATGAATAACTTTATAGACCAGGCAAGCAGATTTGAAATGTTTAAAATCTTGAAAACTCTGTAGAGAATATTTATCCAGAATCGGACAGTGATGATACAACATTGGCTTTTTGTCCAGGATTTTCATTACCCTTTTGTAGCTATTGAATAATGCAGGCGTTAATACTGGAACTACACTGCAAAAAGTGATTTCTAACACAGTGAAAAAAATCCTCATTTTTAGACATTTTATTTTATTTTTAGTCTAAAAAGAAAATAAATTCTTAGAAAACTAGCAGTACTTAAAATAAGGTCAATTTAAAACCCAGCCAATGGGGTGGGCAAAAAGTTGCTTAGCTAGAAATCATAAAACTAGCAAAATAATCTAATTTTACATTTATTATCTAGTTTTAGGAATTCTAACAATGCAAATTTTGTTCATCCCATTTGCCAATTTTTTTATTTACCTTAATTAATGTTATTTTCTAGAAAATAATTTTTTTTTCTTTTTAGACTAAAAATGTGATAAAATGTAAAAAAATGGCTTTTTTTTACTTTCTTATAAATCATTAAAAATGTTAAACATTACAGATGAGGTAATGTTTGGGGTGATTTTATGTAAAAAGAAAGTTCCCAGTCCAGCATGTTAATGACTGTCGACGGTTTATGAGCTAAACCTCGACACACGAGAGGCGACATCGCCTCTCCCCCATTCATTTCAATGAGACATGCACGACAAAGCGATAATCGCTGGTCTCCCTCGTGGTAAGCCAGACACGAACAATTTGTATGTGAAATTTTGCGCTCGTGCATGTGTCGTGCACAGACGAGCCAGCGACGTGATCCCAGACAGTTGAAAAGTTTCTACTTTTCCTCGCTGTCGCTCGAACAAGGATCAACCAGCGGAGGTTTTATTAAAAAGAAATAAAATGGCCTGTATTTGATATAGCGCCTTCTAGAGTCCTGGAACCCCCCAAGGTGCTTTACAACACAATCAGTCATTTCATTCACCCATTCACACACACATTCACACGGTGGTGGTGATGAGCTAAAATGTAACTACAGCTGCCCTGGGGCTCACTGATGGAGGCGAGGCTGCTGAGCACAGGCGCCATCGGTCCCTCTGACCACCACCAGCAGGCAAGAAGGGTTAAGTGTCTTGCCCAAGGACACAACGTCAGTGAAAAACTGAGTGGGGCTCGAACCTGCAACTTTCCGATCATGGGGTGAGCACTTAACTCCTGTGCCACCGTCGCCCACCGACTGACCATTATTGACTGACCAATGAGCGGACAGGATGCTTCTCAGGGCTAACATGAAAGAAAAAATAATACTTGCCATGTAGGATTTCCCAAAGCTTTACAGCATGTTTACAAAAGAATATAAAGATCTTCACCAAAAGGCAGTGGCATGAGAAATTGTTGGTGAATTGGTTGTTGGTTTGGTCTCAGAGTCACCATTTATTTTTTTCATTTGGGATGAGCCCATTCATGTATCTTAACATTTTTTATAGTAAAATCAGAAGTAACACTTCACTCTAGCAAAACCTTGTGAGACTTCACATCTACTGCTTTTTCAGCCCAACATTGCCTCCAATCTGACGGCCAATCAAAACAACAGAAGACTTGCTATTGGCCCTGGAACAGAGCTCGTCGCTGGCTTTTGCTGCTGGCCGCTGCTGCATGCCACCTCCCGTTTGTCAAGTTTTCAAAGCAACAGCGAAAAGTTTAGTTGATCGCAGTCGTTTGTCGCCTCTCATGTGTCGAACCCTTTAATGGGTTCGACACATGTTTAACAGTGTTTAATAAGATCTCCAGGGACTATTGTTGGAAGCTGAGATCATTCCTTGTTAGCTGAAGCAACATTTAGTGGACATGTTGCTTATTCATCTATTGCTTTTAAACAATCAGATACCAAGTAGGAATGCAGCTCTGCATCAAAACCCACACACACACAAATGTATGGATGGAATCTGAAAAGTTTGGGAATGACCGGTCATGGGTAATTCCTGGACAGTTGTGTTCATACACATACACCTCTTTCCTGAAATGGGAAGTGTTGGTCATTATTCTCTTGATCGATTTTTGATTTCTGCTCTATTTGCAAAAACTGAACTTATTCGATTTGGCCATTATTTATTTACTAATAAAAAAAGTATGAAAAGAAAGGCAGACTGCCACGTGCAGCGCCGCAATTGGATGTGTCTGAAGCTTGGAGCTTGACTTCCCTACGTTTCTCCTTTTGGCCTTGAGCTTGTTTGGAGTTTCTAGCAGGGGAGCGCAGCTACTGGTACACCGAAGGATGGTCGTCCAGGGGGTCGTCCGCTGCCACCGAGCGCTGAGCTTCGGGAGGGACTCATGTGGAGTGGTGAGGGAGGAAGGGGACACCCGCCTAGCCAGCCAGATCAGCCGAATCAACCCTAGCGATCAATGGGGTGACAGATGTCGCAGCCAGATCGCCCTCACATCCGAGAAAACCCAAGATGGCCGAGCGGCATATATAGACACCCAAACTAACAGCGCTCTTTGTTACGGTTTCTTCTTATATTATGTTCATTAGAACGGATAGAATTCTTGTAGATAATTCAACATAAACGTGTGTTGTTGGAAATCGTCGCTAAAGAAATCATAAATAAAAGCTAAAACAAGCCTAGAAACATTTTTACCCATGAGTCTTAGCAAAATACACGAGAATAAGTCGTGTTCCTATTGGTCCAAACCCACCAATCACAGACTTTGGATGTTTCCACTCCCTTTAACCCGTCCCAGGTGACCTCGGTACGCCCCTGACTTTAGTTTATAGCAGAAATCGGGAAGCAGAGAGCTCCTTTCTGTGTACAGGTACAAACCCTGTGCTTATTTTCATGTCCTCATCCAAAAGTGATGTTTTTCACACATTATAACCTTTTCTCTTTTTAAAAAAGTTTGACAGATTTGTCCGAAAACCCAACAGCCATGTCTGGAAAAGTAAGTCTGCACTATTTCAACGGGAGAGGGAAAATGGAGTCAATCCGTTGGCTTCTGACAGTTGCAGAAGTGGAGGTGGGTGAAGCTGTTCTGGAGCTTTGCATACTTTTCTTACCCCGTCACGTGCAATAAATGCATTTCATTTGTATTTATGACCACAGTTTGATGAGTTTCACCTGACAACCAGAGATCAGTACCAGAAGCTTCTGGATGGTGAGTTGGTTTTCAGAGACATTCTCGTGGAGGGCATGCTCCTCATTTTCCTGTGTCCAGTTCAGTTTCAGGTTCAACCTGAAAGGGTTGCAAGATAGGACTTCTGCTGAAAGGTTTAGCTCAGGTCATGTGAGTCTACAGCAATGGGAGTAACTGTGCGCTCTTATCTTGGGAGTGGCTCTCTGCATGACCTAGTGCTGTGAATGCTCTGCAGATGGGTCGCTCATGTTCCAGCAGGTCCCCTTGGTGGAGATCGATGGCATGAAACTTGTGCAGACAAAGGCGATCCTACATTACATTGCTGAGAAGTACAACCTCTATGGAAAAGACATCAAAGAGCGCGTCATGTGTGTTCCAGATCTGCTTTTTGCAATAATGGCAGTTTCTGTTCTCATGGTTGTTCATTAAATAAAAAAAAAATCATCTCCTTTAGGATCAATATGTACTCAGAGGGGCTGATGGACCTCATGGAAATGATGATGATTCTGCCCTTCGTCTCAGACACCAAACCTAAACTTGACAACATCCTAACTAAAGCAAATGAGCGTTACCTGCCAGTGTTTGAAAAGGTAAAGTGGAACAACTCATGAAATTAGCCTAAAATATTACTAATTTCATCTAAAGCAGTTCTATGTGTTTGGAAAACGAATCAGGCGCTGAGTGGGTCTGTTTACCTGGTGGGAGGTAAGCTAAGCCTTGCAGATGTGCTGCTGCTCGAATGCACTCTGATGCTTGAGGAGAAGTTCCCTGCAATCCTCGCAGAATTTCCCAACACCAAGGTAAATCTGACATGTGCCCGTTTTAAAATTCCCCCTCAAACTGTGCTCAGTTCTCTCTGGGTTTGTGTCCAGGCTTTCCAGGGGAGGATGAGCCGTATTCCTGCCATCAGCAGGTTCCTGCAGCCAGGCAGCAAGAGGAAGCCGCAGCCAGATGAACATTACAAGAAGACGGTCATGGAAGTGTTCAACCTCACAACACTAAATCTGTAAATTCTCCAAAAAGATCTAATACATTCCTCACATTTAAAGTGATTCATAAAACTGGTGAAAGCACCTATGGCTGCATTATATTAAAATTAACATTGATCTAATGCAAAAATACTAATCATGCTGTTTTCTAGCGTCACTACTGAGGAAACGTCTGAAAATGAAGTTTTTGTTCCGTTTCAGAGGACATTTCGCTTAATAAACATGTGTTGTATGAATCAAATCTTTATTTTAACTGTCATCCATTACAAAATGTTCACCAATTGTACAATCTATCTCAGACATATCAAATAAAACAAAAAAAATTCAACTTGCTCTGTTGTTCTGTTTGTTTTTTTCTAGCTTAATAGCTGATTTAGCAGAATCTGTGGGAAATACTGTCAAACATTTACTCTCATTTCACAACTGTAGGAAAATAGAATCTTGTCTGATTATCTCTGATTGTGCAATCACACAAAAAACCCACAGAACTGCAGACTTGGTCGTAAAGATCCCTTTAGAAGACTTGTCAGTGCTGATCGCTCGGTCACACCATGAGGAGAAGTAGGCGAAACACCATCAATAAGCTGCGAGAAGGAGAAGTAAAAAATAAAATCACTCATTCCGCAAATGTGTCTCAACGTCTCTTGATTTCTTAATCGATTTGGCCCAGTCATGTTTTGCAATGACTCTGACCTTAGCCCAGAAATGATCCCTGCAGGCATTAATTTTCCAGATTTCTTGTATCTCATTCCCATGATGACTGAGAGGACTCCAGAGGCAACTGAAACATCACCACAGGAATGACGTTAAATAAAGTCTGATCAGTCAAATCTAAATGAGATGCACTCACTCAGGGACACCAGGATATTCTTTGGGTCGTTGGAAATGTTGTAGGCGCCGAGAGCTGATAATCCACCAAAAACAAAACCAGCAATCAGTGACATCACACTTCCTGTAATAAAACAAACACATCCACATCATTAAAAGGAGTTCAAATGAGACTTCTGTTAAAATGTAATCGAACAACAATCTTTGACCTCTTCTCTTGTAACCAAGAAAGCCTCCAAAGAAAATGGCTGCAGCATAGCCAAACCCAATCCAGTCCATTTTCCAAAAGAAAGCTGTAAGCAAAAGAAAAATCTACATTTATAGACATTATACAGACATTTATTTACACAATAACTTAACTAAATCCAGTCAGATTAACAAGCAATTTAGATCAGTTCAGGAGACCTTGGTCTCAAGTTTAAAGAAATGTTTTACAAACCTAGGTTCAACCACAAATTAACCTTTTAAAACATTTTTTAATCGCCGACCAATATTATTTTAGTGCGTTCAATCAACATATCTGTAGAGAACCTTATTGACCACTAGGTGTCGCTGTTAAACATGAGTAGCTGTCGTAAACGGCAGAAGAAAACGGTCTAAAACGCATATAAACGTGCCTTCTACCAATAAATGTTTTAATCATAAGTTTAATACTTTATGCCTCGTTTGCCATGATATAGTTTACATACCTTTAGTCCAAACTACAGATCAGCAGCAGCAGATTTCAATTTTGTGCCTGCACTTCCTTTTTCCTGCCCGCCACTAACTAAACTGCGCATGTGTGAATTTCGGTTCATGTGACGTTCACCGACCTTGAGTGAAAGAAGAAATTACAATTAAAATCAACCTTTTTTGACATAACATCTTTTATGACAAGATCCATTGAAAATAAACCTTGAACCGCACACACCTCGTAACTTATTTACAAATATTTAATGACTTATGCTGTCGAAAATATTGCTTTCATTATTATTGTTAAAAATAGATATCCTCATGTGCATTAAGCCGTTGCGTTTATTTGAAAAGTATTTTTTGTATAAACATAACATTTTGCTGTAACCGTAGCATTTAAGGAAAAAAAGGAAACAGCAGTTACTAAACAACCGAAAATTCCGATGCTGCAATAAGACAACAGAGGGCGCTATCGTGTGCAATCTGTAAAAAATCTAAACTCCAAATAGATTTTTTACATTATTTAGAATTTTTTTGCCTAAGAAAGTTCTTAATAATTCAAAAGTAAAAAACGAACTCTTCCCCCAAAAGAAAACCTTTTTATTTATCTCTGACCCCAAAGATCCTTCACATCTTACAAAGGATTTTCTCATTGAACAATAATTTTCCAAAAGTGTAAATAACCTTTTCAGAGGCAAAATAAGCCACTATGAGCTGTAGACAACATGACCACATGCTGCTGGGAGCCTCAGCTCCAGCAGGAGCGCAGTCACCTGATGAAGAGCCACTGTGGCCCCCAAAGAGAAGGCACGCATTTCCAAAAACACTTGGCAATTAAATAATCTAGTTTCCTGATGAGTTACCGTCTTTTCTGAATAAAAATGACTAGAAAATGGCTGACAAGGATTTTTTTTTAAGAATCGGGAAGGATTGTTCCAGTGAGGAATCAAAGGGACATAAAACAAAGATTATTGTACCACTAACATAAAGGAAACACGCACCAGACTAACAAAAGAGGACACAGCTTATAAAGTGACAAATTGAAAACAGAGCAGTTAACCGGTAAACAACACTGGACAAACAGTGCAATTCACATTTAAGTGATGATGTAATACAAATGGCTTTGCGTGCAGAAACCTGCAATATACTGATCCATGGCTTTGTCAGCTTTGTTGTCAGGTAGATGTTATCATGTGACTGTAGCATAGTTAAACACATTTATACATTAACGTCAGGAAACAAGATCATCAAAGACATAATTGCAGAAAAACAAAGACTTTTTTTTCTGAGAACTGAGAAAAGAAAAACAGCACGCCACATAACAGATACACTCTTAATACATAATGAACATACACACCAGCTTTTGGCAATAATTGACATTTTAAAGTTCAAACAAAATTTTACCTTGATAGAACACATTAGCGCATTCATCATTCGTCCACATGAGTTTAATCGGAGTTCACTGAAAAGAAACACTGCTCAAAAACCTCCAGTCCAGGTTTGCATGTTAATTTTCTCATTTGCATGAATGAACGTTTTTTTACGACTACATTCACTGTCTGAAAATTAAAAAAATTAATATTTATGGTAAACAATGCAGCTGGTGTCGTGCTTACAAACCCCCTCAGAGGACTGCATGCCGATCGTTTTGTTCCACCAGTGTAAAAATGTCACTTTGGGTAAGAAAAGTGCAGACTCCTCCTGGTATGGGACTTGGCATAAAAACATTACAACCGGTAGAAATTAGTCAGCGCACTTATTACACAACAGACAATGAGGACTAGTGATTTATTAATACTTGGCTTTTGAATATGAGGTCTTTAAAACTAGCCAATGATTGATGGATAAACTGCTTGCAGGCGTAAATATGAACTCTTTCATTTATATTAGAGGAATATTTTTAATATATTTGACGAATCTGTTTATATTTTGCAGGACTTCAGGATGCAAGTAAGAACAACACAAAGTTTCAAGTAGAATAAATGTTTTTATATTTCTCAGCGTGTGCGGTCAACAGCTGGACAGTCAGAACGCTGTCAGCTGGAAGTTACTGCCCTGCACCTGAAACACATCTTAGGTTGTTGGGATAAAGGAACGTTGCATCTCAAAGTTTTCTTTGTGTCTCATGGTGACAGCCCCCTCCCCCAGGGGTCTGGTGATTAAGGGGAAATGTTCACCCACAGCCAGCCCAGCAGAGTCCCGTAAACCCAGGTTCTCACGTAAAGTTTCCTGCCGCTCTCCGTCAGCAGCATCGGCAGAGTAAGTCCCCCCAAGATCACCAACGAAGGGAGGGTCTTGTAGAGCTTCAGCTGAGAGGGTCGGCCCTCTCCAGGGAACCGGAACCTCTTTTCTGGATCTTCAGACTCGTAGAAATCTGTCAGCAGCCTTTAGAAAACACACAAGTCTTTTAAAAATCTGATAAATGTACAAGGAACTGAAACTAAAAACTGCAAAGTGGAAAAAAAAAAGTGGAAAAATATCCAGTCACATCAGGGTTTTTAGAACTGCTAAAGCACAAACGCTGGACCAAATAACATCAGGGCTTTCATTGCCAAGTTAGCAATAAAATCAAAATGTTATTTACTCAACTAAGAAATAAAATTGCTGTGATAAGTCTTTGAGAACGGAGGCTGACATTCTCAAACCATTTATTTTATAAACATCTTCAGACTTGGAGCAGGATAGCAGTATGGCTAGATAAATCTGATTTACTCTACTAAAATAAAAAGATAACCAGACTTTTTATTAAGTAATTGGAAATACAAAAACAACCAACAACAACAAAAGCGGGATTTCTGCTTTATTGTGATTTCTGTTAACATTTAAAGTGTAAATTTGCTCTCCCCAATGAGTTGCTTTTTGTGCATCATCCCTGTAAAATGATGCCTGTGTGCAGGAATTTGTCTGTGACTTATAAGTTAGGAAACTAGTTTACAGCAAGGGTAACAATTCTGGGTCTGGAGGGCCGGTATCCAGCGTGTTTTAGTTTTAGCCCTGCACTAAAACACCTGATTTCAATCAGCAGGAAAATAACAGTCTTCTGCAGAGCCTGACGAGCTGCTGCACAGATACTTTAAAGAGCAAGTCACCCCCTACCAGAGTATTACTCCACTCCCACTTCCTGTTTGAAAAATGCAACAAATGCTGTTGCCTAGCAGACCGAGAGGGCGGAGCCGCTAACAAATGCACACACACACACAGGCACATTGTGACATCATATGGTACCAGCTAACGTTCTAGGGTACCACTTAGCCAATAGTGATGGCAGATTTAAATTCAACTGCAGTGCAGTTTGTACCTGACAACGACACAACACTGACAGTTTTAGGCAGAAAATTTAAATTTTAACTAAAATGCACTAAAGTGTAAAACTATTGACTACATGTGTCTGCAGCACGATTAGACACGCATTTATATAGTTTATCAGAAAAATAAGTTGATTTGGGGGTGACTTGCTCTTTAATCAATGAATCAAGTGCGTTGGAGCAGAGACACCACTGAAGCGAGCCCCGGAACGTAATACCCCTGCTTTACAGCCTGATTTCTTAGGTGGTAATAGCTCACTTTTAGTTAGAAAAGCACATAAAACAAATATAAATTCAGTTAGAATAGTTCTATGGTTGATTAAAAAACATGCTTCTAAAGTTCTTTGCACCAAATCCCTCTCATATGAAGCAATCTGAACCATTTTCAGAAGAATTTTCACTACAGAGCCGTTTCAGTGCATGTGAAACAGCCGCGAAACATACGATGTGGGAATCAGTCACCGTTATAGAAGATGGGTTCCTTTCCACCAGGAGCAGCAAAGTAACGTTTTGGATGCAATCATTATGATTAAAGTCTTTTCTTTAAATTAATTAATTTATTTATTTTACACGCTATGCTTCCAAAGCACTCCACTGTTAAGATCATGTCAGAAGCAGTGTAAAACATCTGGAAACTTTCAAAATAAAAGTCACGTGCAGTATGTCATTGCCTGTGAAAAACCTCTGTAAGCGATGTAAACCGAATAGAAAAAAAACCACAGCCCTATTTGGAGACATGCAATCATCCTACTCCTCAATTTTGTGGACTTCTGAAATCATGGATGGTGTTGCAATTCTCCCGCGATTTTGTGATCTCATAGGATCAGCTGTGTGGAACGCTTTCACTGCCGTTTCATGTCAAAATCTCTTCTGGGTGGGAATTAGCTTACGGGTAAAACGCTATTTCGTAACCCGACCACTTTCATGGCCGGTGAAAAGAAGGGGCAAGAAGACAAGCTGGAGGTGGCCACGTCCACCCGACTGGCCGCAATAAGCTGAGAAGCTCTGATATCTGGGAGGAGTTCTGAGTAGAGCAGCTGCTCCTCCAGCAGCGGATCGCTCTTACACATGAAAGTTGGATCTACTCTATGTTCCCCATTTGTGACATCACAAACGGAGCATTTTTGAAATGGCTTGTTTTAGACACACAATTCCTAAAACCAAACATGACAGAAAAAGTCTGCATAGCTTTTTCTTAACGTTTGGAACATTTATAAAGGCAGTAGAGACCCACAGGGCAACACAAAAGGATGCAAAAGTTAAATTTTGCATGACATCTTCTCGAACTATTTTTGTAGGAAAACTAAAGAAGACTGTTAGAAATGACTACTGTATAAGTGTTTATTCAAAAAATAAAGACACAGGTCACAAAAGACACGACAAATAACACCTACACCCACTCACCGATCCTTCTTCTCGAACTGATCGTTCATCCACCTGCGGAAGTACACATACTCAGACGGGATGTCCCTTAATTTCACACGTTCAAAGTGTACGTGGACACGAGGACATTCTTTACAGAGGAATTCTGTAAAAAAGAGAAAAAACAGAAGTATAAACAGAAACAGGAACATTTTTTCAGCAAAGAAGCTAAAACCACACGAAGAGGCAGTGATGGAGGGGAGCTGATGTGGCGCCGAGCTGAAGAAAAATGACATCCAATTACATCGATCGGAGGACAAGAAGAGAGAAAATATTAGAATCGGATCAAGACCAGTTAGGTTGTGACGTGGAAAACATGTCTCGAGATATTTATTCAGTCAGATCAGCAACCTGCATCTTGTAATTTTAACTAATCTATTTTTAATAAAGCCTTGAGCCCAAAAACAAGTGAAGAAACAAAACCAAAGAGCTGAGAAGGTCAGACATAAAAATGTAAGCAAGTGCGAAAGCTCAAGGCTACACACGAATCCCCCCGTGAGATCCTTCACTTCCTGTTTCCACAACATGCAGCATTATCAGGAAGTGTAGCACCGAGGCCAAAAGAGGAAACCTGATCGAAGACAGCGGAGAAAGATCATTTTGGTGCCGCAGAATCGGCTCAATCAGCTGCTGTGAACATTTTAACTGGTATTCACCCGTAACTCAGGTGTGCTTATTTAAAAACACCTGAAAACCATCCGCAGTAGTGGCTCGCTTCCTTATTTATGCAGAAATAAAAAAATGTCTTCCGATAAAAAACAAACAAACATTGCTTTATTAAGAAAGTGTTTTGCACCAAGACCACGTTGACCCTACTAAAGAAAGTAAACCTTCCACAGAGGGTCAGGAGGGTTTGAGCAGAAACAATGCAACAGTTTAAAAACAACCCGGACCGGTCGGCCAAGATAACAACCTGGGACAGAAGAAGGAAATAAACCCTTTACTCCGGAACGCCAAACATCACGGTAGGATCTAAAAACCCTTAAAAAAAAAAAGACTAAAGCACCCGGATGAAAACGTGTCATTTTGTTGTGTCTTCACAAATAAAATCCGACAGGACCAAGACCACAGCCTTGACTAGAGACTAAACCAAAACATTTCCTAATTTAGAACCAGCAGACACAACAAGAGCAGATGGCTCGGGTAAAGCCAAAATTCGATACATGATGCGTTTTTTTAGAACCAGGTACATAAAGTCTTGTGACTTCTTAGTCATATTTCCATCCTGAACCATCACAATGCATTCTGGCAGCAGCAGGTCACTTCCACCTCCCTGTGAAGTCACTCAAGTCACCTTCACCGCATAAAACCAGGAAACACATGATAAGAGGAATGCTTTTCCATTCTCTTCCTGTTTGTTGTTGTTGTTTTTATTTGAATTTTCAGACAGTCCAGGAACACACAATAATCAGACTCCAATAACAGTCACGCAGTTAACAGGAAGGCTTGGCTTTTAAAAGGTGATGTTGTCCTGTGATCAATTACCAGGAAGACCTGCCCAGAAATGCTGCAGGTTTCATAGATCAGAGTTTGTGTTTATTAAAAACAGTGAAAGAAGAACTAAATCTGCTGTTTGATGTTTGATTTTTAAGCTTTTTGTTGGAAACAACCTGCCACAAAGATAAGTTTAAATAATTAAACATTTCAGCATCAACAAGGTAATTTCCAAAAAGCTATTACCGGTAGTTGTTAAAATAATTAACTTAAGCGTTATCAATTTCTCAGGTCATATTTCAACTACTTCATTGCTTTGTTTCTAATTTTTTTTACCAGACCTTTCCAGCAGACGTGTAACGCCCGCAAAGCGTAGTTACCTAGCAGTTATCTGCCATTATGATGGATGGGTGCGTTTTCACAAGCCGCAAAACACAACGTTTTGGAAGCGTTCCAGAATCCTAGGGACGCATTGCTTACGATTAGAGTTTTATTTTTACGCGCAATACTTCCAGAATGTGTTCAGGTCAGGCCAGACAAGAAGTCAAACACAAGAGCAGTGTGAAGCATCTGAAAACTTTCTGAAAAGAAGTCACGTGCACACTTCCAGTCATTTAAAGGGGAACTAAGCAGTTTTGGCTTGCTTTAAGCACCACCCTAGTATCTGGAAATTATCGTTATTGAAATTTCTGACTCTTATTGGGATATTTTTCCCTATGTCAATAAATTTTATTTAAAAAAATGAAAAGATGTGTGTAGGTTGGCAACGTTCATGTCCCTTTAAGAAGCTGTAGCACCTTGAGTCGCGTAAAAATGTGACTCAATGTAATATACACAACAGCCCCATCTAGTGGACAGCTTTTGTTTACGCACATACCTGTAGATATCGTCCATTTATCGTTATTGAGGTGAAATCTTCAAGATATCCTCAAGATATCGTGATATTGATGTTAGACCACATCGCCCAACCCTACTTCCAAGTCCAATTTTTAATGTGCTACACTTCCAGAAAGCACCAAGCTCAGCAGTTCAGATCGGGCCAGACAGGACATAAAACACAAAAGCAGTGTATAATAGAAAACTTTAAAAAGTGCATATTTTCCGTTGCTAAACTAGAAAAAAAAATGTATATAATACATCACTGCCTTTGAAGCCTCTGGCCGAGGTAAACACAACAGAAAATAAACCACAGACCTTTTGGATACATGTTGCCATCTTTCTCCTTGCTTGTTATCGTATGAAATGCTGAAATCACGTGTGATCTTACAGTGCTTCAGAGATTTCATGACATCACGGATGCAGCTGCATGAAATGTTTCGCTTCCATTTTGTGTCTGAACGGTATGAGGGGAGGTGCCGCTGAGCTCGTAGGAAAAACGTGTTCATTACGTTATGCAATGTTTATGCTTCCAGTGGAAAACCTGGTTAGACTTTTCTTTGGTGCTCTTCTAGCAAAGCTTTCATATAATTATAATCTGGTTCAGTTTACATCCCAACCAATTTCACATAATTAGATTGGGATTGAACCTTTTCTGAAAAGTGCCCTTAATTGACTTTAGTTGTAAATTGTTGCTATCAGATGTCACCCTGCAACCTCTAACTTGTGCTTCCAGAAGCTTCATGGTGTATCAGAAGTACCTGCCATTGATGGTGCAGCTTTTCTTCGTCCACAGCTATCCAACGTTCCCTCATAAGCCACTGTGACATCATACACAGCATCCAGATTGTCCTTCGTGATCTCTACAGCTATATGGGATGCCTTGAACCTGGGTGTGAGAGTGTGCTTCAGAACAGCCAGTCCTATAAAAAGCAAAAACAAGATTGCTTGTACGATGGCAGTTATTGGAAGACTTCTAAGCAACATGGCCCAAAACATTCAGTAATCTCCCATAAAATACTTCAGATAACATTAAAATAGATTAAAAAAAACTATGTGAAAGCTTGTGTTACAGTGCCTCTCAACAGTCTGTGGTATTTTCCTAATACCTCCCTCACAGACGATAATGCCAGGAGCACATGTGACCAGACTTAAGTGATTTAAATTGAAATGTGGATCAAAATTGTGATTTGGATTAAAAAGGAGAAGGTCATAATCAGAACTGCGGGTCAGAGATATCCGCAAAAGCCCCAAATATAACACCAGAGTGTGCATTAGCAACACAATTGGACAGACTCAACAAAGAAAATTAGCAGCAAACCCAAACCCTAAAATAAAAATAGCTAAAGACATCTCTTCTCTCAGCTTGTTGAGTAAGCATTACACTGAATTCCTCCAGAGACTGAGTGACAGATTGATTGATCATTTGTTTTTTTTTTTTGCTACTGACCAATCCGACCAGTCTGCTGAGAAACAAAACCCTCAGCTGCAAAGGCTGTGATGTTTAAAAAGCAGCTTGGGTGGAAGATAAAAGTACTTTAGCACCATAACATTAATCAAAATAGATAAGACTATTATTCATGTTTAAATGCTCTATTTGTGTTAAAAAATTATTAAAATCTGTAATTAAAAAAGAAAAATATATTTTATTTTATATAAATGGCTTGGCTCAGATTTTTTTCATTAATAAAATGTTCAGCGTTTTTATTTAAAGGTAGTTTTGGCTTGCTCACCCCCTCCAGGAAACCTGCTGGAAGCAGACTGCAGCGCCAGGTATGTTAGCTCATTTTTTTTTCCAAGTTCAACAGACCAAACTGGCCCTCTGAATAGGGCTGTCGCGGTTGAGGAATTCCCCCTGCGGTGATTCAGGGTGGCTTAATATTGCGGTGTGCGATATTATTGCAGCCCTTTTTTTTATTGCAGTACTATCTAAACATAATGTTTACACATTTAAAAAAGGTTAAAAATTGCCGTGCCTTCTTTTATAACACTTTACTGAATGCAGATCAAAGGGCAGTAACGTTTGTTTGTCCACAGTCAGAGTCCGACTGAACTTAAAAACAACAAAATTCAGGAGAAGGTTAAACTTTTAAATGCAAATTTGGCTGCAGCATCTAACAAATAAGAAACAAGTCCCCATTTTGTTTAGTTGTTTAAAATCAAGCATAAAAAATTACATGTACCGGGCGCACTCATTCAATCATTTCACTTTCACACACACGAATGACGGTGATTTATAGCTCGGTCACGTCCTTGTTAACCACAAGGAAAACCAGCATGTTAACATATACGGTTTGAGAGAGGATCTGAGAGGGGTGGCAACATTTCCAGCAACACTGAAAACCCTCTCAGATGGAGCGCTCGTTGCACTAACGCACACGTACTTGCGTAAGACTCTGGCGAGCAAAGGGAATCTCTCCCAGTTGTTGCTCCACCGTGTCAGGGGGGTTTCTTTAGGGTGGATGCATTCCTCCTGCAGGTAGCGAGTGAGCTCCAGCTCGGCTCAAACTCTCTTCAGGACGGTTGCAGAAGCAGTGCTTGTCCGGGACTTCAGCAGGTCTCCGAGCGTTTATTATTATTTTTTTGCCGCTGGTGGCAGCTCTGTCTCGGCCAAGGACTCTGGCTGCGCAGCAGCTGACGTACTGAAAACCAAAGTGCTCCCAAAGGAGCGAAGTAACGTTTCGTTTTGATACCAGTGCAGCCATCCTTCTCAACATGCATCATTGAGTTGAACCAAGTTCAGTAATCGCGGTGGCGCATGATGCAGCGCGGTGGGCTTCTTCATATTGCGATATTTCATTTTTGCGGTTACCGTGACAGCCCTACCTCTGAAGTTGCAAATGTGGTATTCTGGCCACAGGGGGTGATTGGCCTTTCATTAACCTGGAGAAAGGGTCATTTTAGCACATACTGGCTAAAGAAAATGATTTAAAATTATGAAAAAGTTGCAAAGTAACCTTTTAATTAGAAGACATCACAGAAACAAGACAAGCTTTTCATGTGCATGCAAGTGATGATCATAGGTGGAGCCGTATGAGCATCACAACAGAACTTAGTCAGCTGTTTCACAGGTGTGTGTGTGTGTGTGTGTTCTGTAATAAATTAGTATGCAGCAGCAGAGCAGAGAATAGCTGCTATCCTGCTTCTACCTTCTTTTGCAGCAAAAGCCTGACTGTCAGCGATAACATTCTTCAGCTCTGGATTATACCGAGTTCCTTCTGGGAAGATGACGAGGTACATCTGCGTAGAAGACAAAAGAAAAACAGTTGAAGTGAAACCACAGGGGTTGGATCTTCCTACGGGGAAAAGTTCTCCATTTACTAAATTTGTTGGAAAAGAAACTGTCCTGAACTGAAAACGTGTTTAAAACGGATTTACATGACATCTTTTATACTTACGGGCGCTCCACATCGAGCCTGATAGAGGAGCTTCCTCCTCATAGCTTTCTCATTAAATTTTGCGCTTCTCTTCACAAAAACGCCCCCATGCTACAAGAGAGAGAGAAGAAAAAACAATAAATGATAACAGCTAGTGGTGACTTGGACACATTTTTTTTTTTATTTGAAAGTTTTATTACCTGGGAGAAATACCATCCATACATCGGGAGCCACTTGAGTCCATCTTTAAGAACATATCTGACGTGACCAAGAGCGCTCTGTCTGATGGCAAGCATGTCAGCGATGATCCAGTCAGCTACACGGAGAGCAAAAGTTTGACTAAATTAAACGTCAGACTTTGTGTTGCTTTGTTTTAAAGGCAACAAGCTTTAAAAAAAGTAATACTTGTACACTGATGATTCGACAGGTAGATAACGTTTTCTTTTGTCTTTGGTATATCTCCGTATACGACAATCTGCAGAGAAACAGCAGGTGGAAATATTATACACCACTTACAGGGGATAGATCAGTATTAAACACTTATTTATATCAGCCGATATACCCCTTTAGGACAGCCGATTTAAAGTCAGGCACATCTGCGGACAGCCCAGTGCTGCTGCTGAATATGCTTCAATGTACGTTTACTTTTCTGAAAAACAACTGCTTAATAAATGCTCTAAAACTTTGTCAGCTTACATTTCTTTTTATTTACCAATTTTAAATTCAATGCTTGCTCAGTTTGTTGATTTGTTTGATTAACTTTAGTTAAATGTTGGGTTTTAATGCACACATTTCAAGAGTCGGTTGGTTAAATTCAGTGTTCAAAAAACAACTAGGTTCAGAAAAGTTGTGCAACAACTTTGACCAGTGACATTGTAGCATAGATATGGTGGAAAATGTCCAAGTATCGGCCATGAAATTCGCCCCCCCCCCCCCAAAAAAAAATCGGCAGCACAATATGGGCATCGGTAATAGAAAAAACCATATCACTCTGTAGTAACAGACTAAATCCAGGTAAAAACCATTTGATAAACCAAATAAATTCATGAAAACAACTTTTTTAAGGTATCAATGATTCTTCAATCCTCTGCAGATTTTAGATTGCATCACTATGATGACAGGTGACTGCACCCTTAACGTACAACCGAGAAAATCCAGATTTTCCAGAATGAGTTGAACAACCTGGCTGACTGGCTTTTCTTTAACAAAATGTCGCACCAAAGGTTTAGAAATCATCACAAATACGCTTTTCTGCATAAATGTTCCCCCCAGGAACATTTAGAAACATGCCTGCTGCAGACAGTGGCATGTTTATTAAACTCACCTCAACTCCTGTGTAGTGCTCAAAGAAGAACAGGACCATGCTCTGGTACATGCAGTACAATCGGTCGTCCAACTTGTGGTAAAGTCTTGCTGGTAATACTGATGAAAGTAGTTTCCAAGCCAGCCATGTTAAAACATAAGCTGGAGCAGTTCCCAGCATGATAGTAGCTGGAAACCAATACCGCAGCGAGTATGTGTGCACAACCAAAGAGAGCAGCATGTTTCCACCTCTAAGGAGTCCCTGAAGTTTTTCTCTTGAACGTGACAAAGTTACACAAAACCCTATCTACATCACAGCACACCTGGCCCGAGAGGTCAGCATAAGAAAAGGAAGAAGCTGCAGCAGTAAAGCAAAAATTTAACCTTGTGTGCAAATCGCAGTTTGACGAAAAGAGCTCAAGATGCCACACATGGATAAAAAAACTGACTTAAAGTCTTCCGGTTAGAAACGACATTTTAAAAAGAAAACGGAAAACGACCTCAACGCGAACTCCGTCCGTTTCCTGCTGAAGTTGAGAAAAAGCGTTAGCCGAAATTTAACATGCTTAGCTAGGCTAAAAGTTTTGTCCTTCTAAATTCAACTCACGTTTCTGATACGAGAACAATAACGACGTTTAATAAACAAGTTAACTGAGTTGCTTAAAATAAAACTATAATTTATTTCGTGTCTCGGCTCATTTTCATCCGGCTCCTAGCGGTGTCTAGCTTCCAGCAGCGAATGTCACACACGCCACCTACGTAACAGCACGTTGAAGCATCGAAAAAGCTGATTGGCCGAGTGACGTAAAACGAGTTAGCCAATTGGCGGGTGCGCACATTTAAAGCAGCACGTGGGTTTTATTCTACAACTTTCACTCTTACAAAACCTACGTAAGACTTTTATATTTTAGACTAATTTTTTAACATTCCAAACGTTACTCAAGATTTAAGCATCCTCTGAGGACTTTGGTCTCATGCCGTCTTCTAAAAGGTTAATTTGAAACGTTTAATTGCAAAATCTAAACTAATTGTAAATACTCACATTTTATTTAATTTAAATGTAAGCTATAGATATATGAATTTATCACGTACCAAAACTGCTTTCTTTTGGTGTACAGATGAGATTATGAAGCCAGATAAAATAAAAAATATAGGGCATGTTTTTTTATACATTTGATTATTATAAGAATAGGACTGGGCAGATAAAAGTTTCTGATATTTAGCAAAATATTTTTGTTTTATTTGCATTTGTCCATAAGTTACAATCTTCAGTATTATTCATTTCTAGTGCGTTTAAAGCGAAAGCAGGTAAATCAGTTCCTTTTTGCCCATTGTTTGCAGACCTTGGTTAGTAAACTAAAGGCTGATTTATACTTTTGATTTGCGTCAAAGTTAATTTTCTGTAAAATGAGTTTAAACTGACCCTTTTTGAAGTCAGTCTTTCCTAGAGATCCTTCAGAAAAGTTTTGTCTAGTAATAAAGACAAAACACTGTGGGTATTAACAAAATGCAGCAAATGCTTCAGACAGCAAATCGTAATCTAATGTGCTTTAATTCACTTGATAATTATTTGTTTTTGTTATTAAAGCATACTGTGATAGTCCATAAATGTGGGGAAAAATGACAAAGTGTCTACACCATATAATCTGTTTACTGTTAGAATGAAAGATAAGACAGACAATTTCTCTTGAATTAGTATTTATTTAAATCACATCATATAAAATTTTTACTTAGATACAGATTACTGGCTCAGCAAATAATACTAAGATCACATAAAAAATTTAAAACAATCACAGCAGTGGTTGATACTTTATGTAAACACGCATAAAGAGTAAGACATAAAGCATGTCACACCGAGTTAAAAACATAAAACAAACCCTCTGGACATTTCATAAATCAATACAAAAACATAAGTTGTGATTACAGAACCATTAATACTGAACTTCACTGGCAAAACAATAAGGTTGTAACCAGGCGCTATGCCATGTAGTAGGTATCATAGGACTGTATCTTTAGATGTGTGATGCAATCTGAAAATGAATAAATAAAAAAACACACAAACAGTTAGCAGGATGATTACAAAAGCTAGCTAGAGATTAGATTTGCAGGACCTAGGTCTTACCCAGAATCCATTGCTCCGACAGCATCCTGCATCCCTCTGGTCTCCGGCCGCTGTGCCTTCCAATGCAGATGCCTGCCCGCCGAACAGTTTTGCAGGTTTGTCCTCCACACAGCTCGATCAGCTCCACCAGGGTCTGACTGGGTGGCTGCGAGTGCTGCGATACAAACATGGCTGGCAGGTTTTGGAACAGGTCCTGCTGGTGCTCCCCTGCAGACAGGTGTCTCTGGAGACGACAGATCTGAAGGAAATGGGCGGTTTAAAAAAAGTGTAGTAATGTATGTAGATGAAAATATAAAAATCAGTGAAAGGCTATGTGAAAAAGTTCTACAGCAGCTTAGAAAATTGACTTGTAAGCATAAAAATATGCATCTTTTTACTATTACCATCATATTTACATCACAGGTGTATCTGATGTTTGTAAGAAAAGAAAGCTTGAGTGAGATTCCGGTGCTCCAGTAAATCATGACCATGACTCAGCACACACAATCCCATGAGTGTAAAAGAGAGCTAAACAACCATTTCATAATCAAATGGTACATTCAGTAAGGTGTTTGCATAGAACATGAGAGCATGTGTTTTTAACCAGTGTTTAAAATTATGGAAAATTAAATTAAACTCTTAATTATTCATTAATGTATAGAATAAAAATGGTTAAAAGCTTTTAAAGACAAACAGCAAAAATGTTGTTTTTCTTATGTTGAGCTTTTCTCCATATAATAAAAAACATAAAACATTCATATTGAACATTAACATAACCTTTTGTTTAAATCTAGCACATTGCATTAATGTTAATTAGGAAAACAATAAAGAATTGGTTCATTAATCAAGTTCAACTCCAATATATTCCAGAGCAGTAATTAACAAGAATTAAGTTTTGAATGAAAGATCCTCATTTGTAAGAGCTCTTGAGCAATTTCAAGCCTGAAATACTGCAGCGAACCTGAAGGTGGCTGCGGAGCTTCAGCTCAGCTTTGAGACTTTTTACAATGAAAAACAACAAAAATGCCTTAGCAACACCTGTAAAATAAAATGGTTTCATAGTGCTGAATTAGTAAAACAAACTTTATTTCAATATTTGTTTGATTTCTTTTTATTGAAATCAAGTCGAGCCTAGAATTACTGTGTTAAGTGTTATTTGATTTTATCTTATTGTTCTAGTAGTTTTGGCTCCTGTCTAACAACAAAAAATGCCTCTGTGGGTTTGTTTGGTTTCTGGGGTTTGGTGGGTGACAGTTTAAGCTCCCTGAGGCGTCCTCCATATTCAGCAAGGGAAATTCAACAAGAGGATATTTCCTATTTGTTTTTTTTAGAAAACGCTTAAGGTTTTTGTAAGTGCCAACAATTTAGGGACCAGTCAGAATGTTGCAAAAGGTGAAATTAACCTGTTTTCATGGGAATAAAGATTTAGTAGAAAAAATAATTAAATAATTCTTCGATAACAAAATCAAAGGGACATTAAAAGAGGCTTAACATTAATTTTAAAAAGTGACCCGTCTTTGTGTAAATGAGTGATCCAATGACGGGAGACCCCAATTAGGCTGATAAAAAAATCACAGCAAATACTTTGACATTTACAAACTGTGCTGTTTAGATTTACATGAAATTAATTTCCTTCTAGCTTTCTGTTGAGTTTAAAATTCATTTCCCACAACTAAACACCCTACCACAACCTTCTTGCCAACAGTAAATAAAAAACTGTATACAAATATTTGCAATAAAAGTTCATTTGGAAAAAGATCACAGCAAATGCCAACTTATATGACTAACACTGATGTTGGATTTTAGTGACCAATCTTGGGTCTTAGTTTTTCTAGTAGGTGTTCCTTTGACCCCCCCCCGCCAACACACACACAAACACCCACATGGCAACAGAACTCCCAGACAACAGCAGGACAATGAGCCTCATTTGGATACAAAAAAGTGCTTAGAAGCTGTTACAGAAAAGCGATTGAAACCCAAGGCCTAATAACCCCAAAAACTCCCAGTTTGATCGAGCGATCAAACAGCCCCCCCCCCCCCCCCCGAACAAAATCACCTGCTAGGAGCATTTTTATTCGTCACTGCCCTCCCACTGTCTTTATGGGTGACCCCGCAAGGAAAGTTGACCATAGAGCAGGATTGATGGCTTATCCCTTGAGGTCCACGTCGCAGGGGTGAGGTGGTGCTCACTCCTCATCCCTGCCACATGGACCCATTAGTGGGAGGGTTAAAATACAGCAAACTTGTTCAGAATTAAAGATTGAAGGTTGAATATGGAACAATTCAATAAAAAGCTATATTATTTAAAACTGATATCTCCACAGAGCGTTTAGGGGTGTGCAGGATGAAGGTACAGTATTTCCTTTAAAAGCTATATTTTAATTAAAATAAAGAAGTCAAATTTTTATTTTGACGAGCAAGATGCAAAGGGTGTTTCTCTATGTCAAGGTGCCTGGCCTCGCAAGGTGATGTCTTGCTAGGCCAGGCTCCAAAGTAGCTGCCAGCTTCTTATCCGCCATTCTTTTGAAAACACTGCGCTGTACTCTGGGAAATTTTTGACCAAGGCCAGGCTACAAGGCACCTCCCGTGTATCCTTGCTCAGCTAGCTAAATGACTAACAAACGGAGAAAAAAACGCCTTGGTAGAACATGAACATTGGAACACGCATTGGTGGTTCCTGATGACGTATCTCCTAGGCAATCAGGGTGGGACCAAGACACAAAGGCGAGGTTCCTTGGCATTGAGAAACATCCAGGATTTATGTTTACATCTACCAGCCAATAGAGGGCACCAGTGAGGGTTGGCAAACAGTCCACTCGGCACAGCGAGGCTGGCACTGTGGAAAATGGTGGACTCGGCAAGTCAAGCAGCTGCTTCTGTGCCCAGAAGATGTTGTGATCCTTCCCAGAGAGTAAGCAATCCTCGTTATCCTTGTGCATGCTCTGTTTACAAGTAGCCGCTGGCTTCGCAGCTAACTTCTTCTAGCAGTCATCTGACATTAATTTCTCAAAATAGCATGCCGAACTTTATCTTACCAGTCGAGCAAAAACTGGCACCAGCAGCATCTGTGGGGAGCCCAACCTTCGCTTTGTGCATGTGCAGGAAGTGAAAACTACCCAGCAATGAGCATGTAAGACGACAGCCTAGCATGAATGGTTCACTTGAATGATTGACAGTCATGAAGACCAATGGTTCCGATGATCCACCCGGAAGAAAAGATCCTCTGCTATACCTTTAAGCCTAGTTTATACTTCACTGGCTGCGGAGGTGCGGAGACATTTAACGCCATTATCTGTGGTCACAAGGACGAATGGAGTAGAGTCCAAATTTCTAAATATCCATTGAAAGCGATGCTGACCTCAAGCCTGTGATTGGTCAGTAAACCACAATGCAGATTGAAGAAAATTTTGCGGAAAACGTCAGACACCATAAACGTTAATGCAACAGTGACTGAAGGATTACAAAGATGCACAGCAGACTTTGTTTTTGTGTCAGGAAATTAGCACAGTAAAAAATAACCAGCAATTCGGCAATTGTTTGCACAGTTGTGTACCAAACACTCAAAGTCATACTGCGCACTTCCTCCAAGTGCACTTCACAGAAGACTGTAGGACGCAGAGCGTGTTTTGGGACTGGACCAAACTGTGCATCAGTGTGTCCCCTTGCAGTGCACGCTGGGGACTGGGGCACATTATTGTTGATTGACAGCTCCCTCTTGTGGATATTACTTTATTGATAAATGCTCTAGGTTCACATAAATAATTCATTTTGCTATTGGGACCAGGGAAGGGATTTAAAAGGAAGTATAAATTATGAAAGATTACAGAACAGGATCAGATAGACACATTTAAACATTTTTGAAATTACTTTTAAAAACTTACAATAGGTACACCCAGCTAAATTCCAATTAAGAGGAAAATAAATAAATATTACACAATAATAATAATGTTTACTTGCCATCTTTTAGACTCTGGCAGACCAAGGCCGATAATATTCTCTACTTCTCACTTACCGCTGTGTTCTCCTCCTACTTGGGCTCCTCATCTACTCAATGAGCTATTAAATTCTCCAAGTCGCTGCTGCTTGTGTGTCTTTCTTGTTAGCTGATAAGGTGCTACAGCAGTAAACAGCTGCTGGTTGCACCCAATAACGCCACAGTAACAACAGAGTGAGCAACTAAAACCTTAGTATTGATGCTATGAGCTGAAACTCTCAGCTACTTACCGTAAATCCTCTAATACAGGCCTGTATTCAATTAACGGCCGGGTCTCACATTTTGGCCGGTGTCGGAGCCGGCGGAGGTGAATAATGGCCGGTCTCTTATTGTGGCCAGGTGGAATGTGGTAACAAGCAAGTACGGGGGGCGGTTGTGTCATCGTCTCACTTTTGATTTGCCAGTGACAGACCGCGAGAGTAACTTTAACCGCGGAGACGAAGAGGAGGCGAAAATTTGATATCAATTTCAAAGAGAACGTGCGCTGCAGAACACTGGGGAGCAGTGGGGGTTGTATGAACTAGTCGACTTCACTATAGTGACTTTTTATGCCTGTCATCGACTAGTCGCTGTCACGTGATAATGACCGGCAAGATGCAGCCCTCGGAAAAGACAGCAGCCTGCTGTCAGCAGGTGACAAGCTCATGCGCTTGGGGGGTGGGGGGCAACGCGCTGTGCCAGAGCGTCGGTACTGACACACGATCGTTCATGTCGGTTCATTTCCTTTAATGTTTTCTGTCTTTTATTTGCGCCTGATGCGTTTCGCTGTGGAGCGAGGCGCATCACCTTGTCATCCGGTGACGCAACGATCACTGATGCGGCCGCCAAGCAGTGAGCACTCTGCTGTTTTTGCGGTCGGTAGATCTTTTAGAACTGCAGTTCAAAGGTAACTCATGAGGTGAATATATATGAACCCAGGTAGCAGTTTTTCTTTAGGATTGAGAGGAGATGCAGGAAGATAATAAACAGGCAGGACAGAAAAATAGTCAAATAAAAACAAGTTAGTTTTTGTACCTGGTGGTTGCAACAAACAGACACCATTGAAGGTAATCAGAAGTGAGGAACAGAAAATGAAATAATTATTTTAATGTTTAGAGCAGCAGGAACTCCGAGAGGCTGCTGGCGCATCAGTGAGTTTGCGGCCGCTGAGCAGGGGGAGGGGGGAGAGGGCTGAAGCAGAAACTACCGTTGTTAAAAGAAATGTGTTTAACTTTGAAAATGTGGGCGCAATTTTAATTGTCAAAAACTCCAGCGAACCATTAGTTCATTTTGCTCAAATAGAAATAGAGGCCTGCCTCTAATTCTGGTCCTCCTTCCAACAAAGGCCTGGAGCTTGATGAGCTTGAGTCAAATACAGGCCCCGGCCTGTATTAGAGGATTTACGATATCTGTTTATCAGCTTTCTTTCTAGATGTAAATACCTTTCAATTAAAAATGAACTTAAATACATCTTGAATGAACTAATTTGAGCCCAATGAATATCTCTGCTGCCAAGTAATACAGGAACATTAATCCTGCTGGGGAGCTGCGAGTCAGCAAAAAGCCGGAGGATGCATTCAAGTGATTTGTGCAGACTTGTAACCACAAACATGAAAATAAATTTAACCTGACATCCCCATATAGTGGAAGGCATTATGAGCTTGACAGTCCAGCAGATGTTACGCGTGCTCTGAGCATGAGGAAACTGTCTGGTGTGTGGTATGCACAGGACGTAGCTCAGTGATAAATTAGATGAACGGATGGCCCCTTGAGGAGATGTCTGTTTAAATGAAGAGTCGTTGCTCCTCCTCATATCCCATGTGCTTTCAATAACCATAACATGGTGGGTGAGTGAGTCAGCCTCTACACCTGAAAATAATGTTTTTCAAATGACGTTAAGTCCTTCCTCTTTGGTAATGCACCTTAAATATGCTTCATTTCCTTTATAAGGCCAGTATTACATCAGCTTACTTCCTACAAATCTGCAGAGAGCCCAGCTGAAGCTTTCCTGTCAGAGAATGACTTATGCTGTAGTTGACAACGAAAGGTGGCAAAATTGAGATAATATGGTCAAAAACAACATTAAGCTCGTTCTGCAGAAGGCTAACTGCTGTTGGTTCTCTGATGTTACAGAAACAGGGAGCCTAAGTTATGCCCATCTACTTCCGGACCATGGGTCCCCGGAAATAAGATAAAAAAAACAACAACACATCATTGTGGCTATAAAAGCTATTTTCTAATCTCGTTGAATATGTGTCATGGATTTCACATATGATGTCCGTGAATTTTAAAGACACATTTCGAAGCCAAGAAAGCGCTTATTTTCACATGGGAGGAAGTTATTTTAGGTCTGGTCTGAAAAGACGTGTAGTACTACAAATGCGTCTCGGTCTCACCATATTGACGTCATCAAACCAGACACAGGAAAAAAATGGCTGTGAGTTTAGCGAGCTTTGAATCTTTCTTCCAGGACGACAGAAGGAGCATTAAGCAACCAATCTGACCATGTGGTAAGTAAATGAGATTCTGTGGTGACGTCTGATTTGTAGTCATATTATTTATGAATTTTTACAAGCTAACAAATCTGAAAGTACTTGACAGAGTCGAAACACATAATTTATTTTCATTTAAACTGAAGTACACCATATGTGTGATTCAGGGCATTAAGGCAAAGCAGATTAGAAAATATTTTTTACAGCTCTGTTCACTTCCATTCATTTTTCTGTTGTTCCGGGGACCCATGAGCCGACCGGAATGGGAGGAGACTTGTGCTTCCTATAGGCTTTCCAGACTAGAAAATAACCATCTAGACTGGGATAATGCTGTAATTAGATACTCGTGTTTTGTTTGACAACAGGTCTACTGAAGAGTAGCAAGATCTTGATTTCTGCCATTAAACCTCTTATTTAATTATTGGTAAATACTTCACAAACACTTTAGAGTGCATTGTTCACTGAGGAAAATGGGAGAAAATCTGATTATGCCTAAAACTCAAAATATCCTCGTATGTTTATTAAAATCTAAATATTGACAACTGTAATTCACATTTCAGATTAACTGTGACAAAATGGATGTGATTTGCTATTTTCTTAGGTTTTTTAGGTGTGTAACAAAACTGGGAAAAGGAAAGACCAGACAAGCCGATTAATAAACACGTTAGGATGGATTCATTTGAAATATAAGATATTTTCAGCTGAAACTAAATTTGATGAATGAGGAACAAAAAATAGGATATACTTGTGACATTTTAATATTAAAAAACATTAAAGTCTGATGCAAGAAATGATGTAATTTCCAACAAGGACAAAGCAGGAAGAGTGAGGAAAGAGATACTCCTTATTCTTTGAATCTCCCATTCAAGCCCCGTGTGTTATATGTAGTCTGGGAAGATGAATTTAAATGAATGGGAGAGACACGGCTACCATCAAAGAGTGTGCTGAACGTGGACAGCGACATCCTGAGTAGCTGTTCCACCGGAGCAGACAACAACACGTGGGTGTTGTAGAGGATATAGCAGAGGATGTGTAATTTGTGCATCAGCTTCTGTGTGTTGTTTGGTGTGAACTGAAAGGAATCTCCACTTCACATCTCTTCACAGTGACTGGCCATGCTGACGGGTGGGTGGGTGGCTGGGGGAGTGGTTTAACCTCAGAGTTAGCGAGTTTAAACCACTTTAGCAAGTGGCTGGGAGGACTGATGAAAGGCGAGCACATGCAAGCCTGGCACCACTACTGAGGACGCGCTAATTCCTGATGGCTTTTTACTCCACCTACTAATGAGAGGTATTAAAAAGGAATCTGCACTGAGATATTTACACTTGAATGCCGTTGAGGAGAGATATCAACCACTAAGACAGATTTCAATCCATCCCATCTCTATTAACTCTAGTGTAAAAAGCTATGAGGATGCTAAACGTGGACTTAATCATTTTAAGTTTCTGCCTCGGTCTGGGAACAACAGCTATTGCTGCTGAGAAGAGACAATATCAGATCCAAAACGGCCCATGCAGCTACACCTTTCTCCTGCCAGAGCAGGAAAACTGCCAAAGCCAGAACTACTTCAACTATCCAGATCAGAAAGATGGACCCACAGACAATGAGTCAATCCAGAGGCTGGAGCAACTGGAGATCAGCATGGAGAACAACACACAGTGGCTGCTGAAGGTAAACCTGAGTTCCACCTCACCGTAGTCCTCCGCTAATGACTGTTTTATTAGTGATGTCAGTGTTACTAAGGGAAAATGTAATAGCCAACACCAGCCACGTTTTTTTTTATTCAAACCTTTGATCATCTGAACTGACAGATGGATGGAGATGGTGGACTCTAACTGTAAATAAGCTGAGCATCGGTGAGGAACCTGTTAATCAGATTAAACTATCAAGGGTTTTATTGCTGATTAGAGACATAGCAGGCGTCCACATGTGGGTTGATGCTGAACCATTGCTCATCCAAACCAGAGGACTGGTACTTCACACTGATGAGTCAAAAACGATTTACAGCTTCACTCAGACTCAAACAAGTTGTGATGGAGACATGCAACTGCTCAAAACCAAAATCAAGCCTTTTTTATTGCACTAACAGGCTCCATATATCTCATATTTCATATAAAACCAATTCTGACTCCTATGAAGATTGTTTTTGGTGAGGGAGGAGAAAAACGTGTCTGATTATTTAAATTCATATCTTTTATTTTAAAAAGTAATGCTCATATTCTACAAAAACTAATAAAAATGGCAGAGAGAGATGCTGCATTTCCACATCCTTACGTTTCAGAACATATGCTTTTCTCATTTGCTACATATTGCTACATAACATTACCTTACTGTGTTTTGTTATGACAGTAATGGTTTTTTTTCAACTAAATTAACATAACTTTGCCATAAGGCACAGTCAACGTGACTGATGGCAGCCGAGTATGAAACAGACTGTCACTCCTCATTATGTCTGGCATCAAGCTTCAGCGAGGCCCAAAAAAAAAAAAAATTGAGAAGCATCAGTTGTTTTAATGTGATTCAGGAAAGTGGGTGAGCAAGTGACCTTCAATAAGAAAGCCACATTTCTAAATACAGGTGTGATAATTCCAGTTTAGCATGAATCTCATTATCATTTGATTTTTAACATAATATATGATTTATTAATGAAATGGTCCAGAAAGTGAAATGTACCATCTGCAAACTGTCAAGTGATTCAGCACATGAGACCCTGGGGAGCATTAAGGTGGTAAAAAGTACCAACTGATGAATGAATGGATACATTAGGCCTGGCTTAATCAATGAAGTGGCTCACAGAGGTTATTAACCTCCTTTCTACAGGAGTGGACCGCTGGATGAGAATCAATGGATGGATGAAAGAGTTGCACACCGCTGTCACACACACACACAAAAACAAACCCTCCCACTGATTCACAGGGAAACATTTTCTGAGCACTGATGCACCTCATTTCAGATAATCAACAACAAAAACCCAACTAATTTCTAAAATTACACTTCAACAGTTCCTGATAGCAAAATAAATAAATAAATCTGTCATGAACAAGGAACTCCGTCATTCCTCACCGATGCTTTTCAGGCACTCAGAGTAAACAACTGATTAAATCACTGACTGTCAATCAGACATCCTGCCAACATTTCAGATAATGCTCCACACATCTGTGTGTACACAAAGTATAAACAACACACACGTGAAGAAAAGGATACTCGACTACATTTATGAACGCACCAATAAAAAATATTGTAATTGTCATGGTACAGCAACAAAAAATGATCTGACACATGCCTTCTAGGAGACTCAACGACATAAATAAAAAAGGACCAAGTAGTTAGAATTGTTACATATTAATAATGTTTGAGGCTGAAAAACAAAACCCAGTAATTTAGTAACATGGATGTCGGTGAAATGGACACAAAAGGACACTGGGTTCCAGTTGCTCAGCAGTAAGGCTGAAATGAAGGATGTAACTCCTCACTCAACACTTCCATCCTGTTTACAAGTCGTGTGACCTGATTGCCACTCAGGAACACCATGCAGGAAATAACTTAATGATTAGTTTCAGTCTAAATCTGGCTGTTCTGTAAGGTAGACGAGAACAATAATTGCACTTTATTATTTTACACTTTTTAACATTGTTTAAACACGATTTATCAATGTTTCATATTAAATATTTGAGAAAAAAGGTAATTGACTACCCAACGTGTAAACATTCCATTAAATGTCATGACCTTGTAAATGAGGCATTTCAGCTCCTTTTTTTATTTGGATAAAGTGCTTCACTTTGGAATAGTATCCTATTTTTACCAACTAAAAGACTAGCTTTTGTGTTGCCAAGGCTAGCTTCTCATTGACCACTCGGAAAACCTCTCAGTTACTTACAAATTCTTCTTAGAATAAATGTCTTTTAAATGAGTGGTTGACTGAAAAAACACATTTCTTAAATATTTTTTTGATTATAATCTTCTACTCCAAGTTTTTCATGCAGGCTGAACATGAGAATAGCCTCCTACACTTATCTCCGGCATTAGCTTCTAATAGAAAATACACGGTGAGACACAAGGATTTGAAAAGCCTGACAGATCTACATCACACTGTGAATTAGCATTCATGGACTCACTGATCTTGACTCACGTCGGGAAAGGTTGTTGTTTTAACGTCCAGGAAATCAACAGCAAACAGCTCGGCTAGTTTAAGCTAACTGTTAGCATTAGCAACTTCACTTCACAGCAGAACTCCTTCAGGCTTGTGTTATTTGTGGAGATAAAACATCAGCGTTGCAAGTCACTGGTAGAGTTGCGTTGCTGTTATCCAATACAGAGCAAGATGTCCAAATATCAGGAAATAAAACTCCTTTGTGGGCTTTTTTGTGCCTTGATGCCTTCTAGAGACTACTGCAAATGTATTGATTAAACGAGTAATCCACTACTTTAAGCTTTAAAATGTACTTTTGTTTTGCTAAAGCCAGTTTTAGCATTATACCTTAAATACAATTAAGCTGAAAAGACATTTATTTTAAGTATAATTTGTCAGGAACTGAGTAGACCTCAGGGCAATCAATAAGAGAGAGTTTGAACAGATGAAAGCATGGACCTCACACTGTCTGAATAGTGAATAAGGACTTCACCTTAATCAATAAAGGAGTTTGGTGAGGCCATGGAGAAAGACGATCGATCGGCTCCAAAGAGGTGCTGGCAAACCGTCCGGCGCCTCAGGAGAGGAAGGCAGCAACTCGCTCACACTGTTTACAGTGGGGATGGGGAGCTGCTGACGTCAACTGAGGCTATAGTCGGACGGTGGAAGGAATACTTTGAGGAGCTCCTCAATCCCACCAATGCGCATTCTGAGGAGGAACCAGAGCTGGGAGGCCTGGGGATGGACTGTCCGATCTCGGGGGCAGAAGTTGCTGAGGTAGTCAAACAACTACACAGCGGCGGAGCCCCGGGGGCGGATGAGGTTCGTCCTGGGTATCTCAAGGCTATGGATGTTGTAGGGCTGTCATGGTTGACACGTCTCTACAACATTGCGTGGTCATCGGGGGCAGTTCCTAGGGAGTGGCAGACCGGGGTGGTGGTCCCCATCTTTAAGAAGGGTGACCTGAGGGTGTGTTCCAACTATAGGGGGAACACACTCCTCAGCCTCCCTGGAAAGGTCTACTCCAAGGTACTGAACAGGAGGGTCCGATCGATAGTTGAATCTCAGATAGAGGAGGAGCAATGTGGTTTTCGTCCTGGCCGTGGAACTGTGGACCAGCTCTATACCCTTGCAAGGGTGATGGAGGGGGCATGGGAGTTTGCCCAACCAATCCACATGTGCTTTGTGGATTTGGAGAAGGCTTATGACCGTGTCCCCAGGGGCACCCTGTGGGGGACGCTCCAGGAGTATGGGGTGGGTGGCTTTCTGTTAAGGGCCATTCAGTCCCTTTACCAGAGGAGCGTGAGTTTGGTCCGCATAGCCGGTAGTAAGTCGGACCTGTTCCCAGTGAGGGTTGGACTCCGCCAGGGCTGCCCTTTGTCACCGGTTCTGTTCATCACTTTTATGGACAGAATTTCTAGACGCAGCCGTGGTGTGGAGTGTGTCGAGTTTGGTGGCAGGAGAATCTCGTCTCTGCTTTTTGCGGATGATGTGGTCCTCCTAGCTTCATCCAGCTCTGACCTTCAGCTCTTGCTGGGTAGGTTCGCGGCCGAATGTGAAGCGGCTGGGATGAGGATCAGCACCTCCAAATCTGAGACCATGGTTCTCGACCGGAAAAGGGTGGCTTGCCACCTCCGGGTCGGGGGAGAGGTCCTACCTCAAGTGGAGGAGTTTAAGTATCTCGGGGTCTTGTTCACGAGTGAGGGTAGGAGGGATCGGGAGATCGACAGGCGGATTGGTTCGGCGTCTGCAGTGATGCGGACGCTGAGCCGATCTGTCGTGGGGAAGAGGGAGCTGAGCCAGAAAGCCAGGCTCTCGATTTACCGGTCGATCTACGTCCCAATCCTCACCTATGGTCATGAGCTTTGGGTAATGACCGAAAGAACGAGATCGCGGATACAAGCGGCCGAAATGAGTTTCCTCCGTAGGGTGGCCGGGCTCAGCCTTAGAGATAGGGTGAGGAGCTCGGACATTCGGGAGGGACTCGGAGTAGAACCGCTGCTCCTCCGGATCGAAAGGAGCCAGTTGAGGTGGTTTGGGCATCTGGTCAGGATGCCTCCTGGACGCCTCCCCGGGGAGGTGTTTCGGGCATGTCCTGCCGGCAGAAGGCCCCCGGGTCGACCCAGGACACGTTGGAGAGGTTACATCTCCAATCTGGTCCGGGAACGCCTTGGGGTCCTGCCGGAGGAGCTGGTGGACAAGGCCGGGGAGAGGACGGCCTGGAGCTCCCTAGTTGGGATGCTGCCCCCGCGACCCGGACCCGGATAAGCGGAGGAAGACGACGACGACGACGACGACAATAAATCTTCACAGCTGTCTCAGGCTAACACGTTTTTTTATGTTTTTGTGTTTTGCAGTTAGAAAACTACATCCAGGACAGCATGAAGCAGGACATTGTTCAGTTCCAGCAGGCTGCAGTCCACAACCACACAGCTACTATGATTGAAATTGGTGCAAACTTGCTGAGTCAAACTGCAGAGCAAACAAGAAAACTCACTAATGTGGAGACACAGGTGAGGCTAGACGTTATGCCTTTTAGGTTTTTCTTTGGTATAACATCAGAAAAGCAAACACACGAGTAAATCTTAAGGTGTTTTGTTCCATGTACGCTAAATTGTGGTACTCCAGGAAGAATAATGCAGCGTCAAAATATTGAAAAAATAATCAGCGGGGAAAAAAGCCATAATAGCTTCAGTTTATTATTGAGGCTACACGTCAATGACCCTATGTGAGCCAACTGTACAGCATTTCCTGTTATTAGCACACTCGTATTCCCAGAGAAACGGTCTATCAGTTTGTCACAATCACACATCCGTCTGTTCAAAGACATCAACAGCTCCATTGGAGACACACAGCTAGGATCCATGTAAACAACCTGCGTTTTGCTGAGTTCAGTTCCTCCGAACAGGAAAAACAGCGGAAAGGTCAACAACCCCAGAGTTTAGTTCAATACATTGGTGCTTTAAAATATGTGTGTTTTAGTGATTTTCCCCTGTCCAGGTATGTCTGGGGTATTATAATGGGGTTGTTCTTTCCTGTGCTTTTTTCCATTTTGCAAATTTGTTATCTTATCCTGCAAACCGTGCTTATATATTCAGCTTGACCATTAAATGCAAGACAAGAACAAAATGTGCTAAATCATTTAGGATGTAGTTTTTAAAATGTTATAGCACTTTAGATTTTTTATGTTGTGTCCACAGTGGATCAGATCTCTGTTAGCACAGAATGCATCCTGTTATCAGCTAAAAGTAAAACGTGTGTGCAGAAACAGATCCTATTGAGGTCTTCTTTTACAATTTCATGCTAATTTCCGCTAAAAGGATTTGATTTTTAGGTAATCCATCAAACAACTCGACTTGAGCGTCAACTCCTAGAAAATTCCTTGTCAACCAACAATTTGGAAAAACAACTCATTGTCCAAACAAATCAAATCAACAAACTGAATGATAAAAACAGGTGAGAATGTCATATCAGTCTTTACTTTTTTTGTGATCACTAACAGTAAAAAGCATTGAGTTAGACTCTGCTTCTCTTTAGTCTCCTGGAAAAAAAAGTGCAGGAGATGGAGGACCAGAGAGTAGTGGAGCTAAAGGCACTCCAAGAAGAAAAGGAGCAGCTTCAGACTTTAATCCTGAGGCAGACTGCCATCATAGGAGAGATGGAGCAGCAGCTGCTGAAAGTCTCCACCAACAACTCTGTTCTACACAACCAGCAACAGGAGCTGATGGAAACAGTGAATAACCTCATTTACACGTTATCTGCTGGATCTGCTGAAGGTGAGGTAAAACCATCCCTAACAGTCTTATCAAACTAAAATCTAACATGGAAGCTAAAACCCAAACTCACTTAGAAAAAAAGGTATGACCATTTTTAGATAGTCTATGTTTAAAATAAGTTGTCATAGAAGTGTCTAATTTATAGACAGCTGCTAAAAAAAACTTTTAAGTAGGGATACATGACATATCAGCATCAATATGGGTTAATGTCAATGTTTTCTTAACACATCATATTGTTTCGATAACTAAAAGTTAGCCGACATAACACACTGATGTTTGTTTTCATCTCGTTGCCTTTTGCGTATGTGTTCCAAGAGGATGAAAGGAGGAAGTTCAAACACAATATTTGTTTGGGTATGTGACAATGATAACACGGTGCAGGATAGTGGGGTTGAGAAGCAATGTAGCTGGTGTTGTCTAAGGTTGGGCGATTGGACGAATTTATCCACCATCATGAGCAATAGTCCGACTCTTTCGCCAATCTTTTTTATGAGCAATATTTTTTATGCCTATAAAATTAGTCACTTCAATGGGAGAATACAAACTTTTATGTCAAATCGGTGTTTATTTTGCCACTTTTTCTATGTAAAAATCACAGAAAAACCAGGATTGTTATTACAATGATATATGCTAATCAAAGATACAACCACTGATAAACACTTTTTACATCCACAAGGGTTCTACCAGTGTCCTCCAATAAATTAGTTACTCTACAAGTGTTTTTGTCCACAATCCTACGTATTTCACTGTTGAAATTTTTCTAAATTTCCTGTTAGCATTCTCATATTAGGTTAATCATCTTACTGATCCAACAAGTGAAGAGTCACTTCTTCTGCTGAGGCTAAATTGTAATATATTACCATATAGGTCATGAGTACTGTCTTGGATTCTCACGTGTGCTAGCTCAAACCAGTTGCGGCCCAGTGTTTAGTTAACTGAAGCATCAGCCAACAGCGTTCAAAAAACTACAAAGTCTCACACGAACACCTCGTGGTCTGCTTCCACAAACTGAGTAAGAGCAATTGTAATTGGTGGATTGCTCCACGTAGTGCACGTCTGTCCCACAAAAGTCTTAATGTCACTTGTGTGAATATATTACCCCTCAACATTTTTTGGTCTGATCAAAACTAACCACACCAACCAGAAAAACTTTATTTATCTCCGAGGGGCAATTAAAATAACAGCGGAGCAGCATGACGTTGGAGTTAAGAACTGTGAATAAACAGGCAATAAGAAGAAGTAAAAAGGCAGTAAAATATGGATAAAATATACAGTATGCACAGTTTAAAATGTAGAAATCACTGAGTATGTGAATAAAAGTGACTAAAGTGTCGGCAGTATAAAAAATAACCAGGGTTACATATTCAAAATTCCAAGCTATTTACTTTAGAGTAGACTGATGACACTGACACTGCTAAATGCATGTTTACTTAAAATAACATAAATCAACAAAGGAAAGTAATAAGCTCTATTAGATATTTATAAAGATTTAAATGAAAAAATACTAAGTGCCTGAGAAACATAGGATGTTAAAAAAAAACGTCTATTTCTTATGCAGAAACTAATACCGTCATGATGCAGGACACGCCAACCCTGTTTTTGGACTGTGCTGCCGTCTACAAGTCAGGGAACACCCACAGTGGAGTCTACACCCTCACAGTGCCCAACACCACCCTGGAGGTTAAGGTAAAGTAGGGTAGTTCAATGGAGCAACAAGGACAAAATAAATAAAAATGTTTTGGTGTCAACAGGAACTTAACAGCTTCAAATTTCCTTTCCAATTCTGTTCCCAAAAAGTATTCAGCAACTCCCATTTCTTTCTTCCTTTCTGTCTGAAGGCTTTCTGTGACATGGAGACAGAAGGAGGTGGCTGGACCGTACTACAAAAACGCTTTGAGGGCCGTGTTGACTTTCACCGTACGTGGCAAGAGTACAAAAAGGTTGGGGCAATCAAGTTGAAAGAAATTTTTCCCTTAGAATAAAATAACCTAGGCTACGGTTGTCACTACAAATGCATAAACCAGGGAGCAGATTTACATCAGGACCATGTTTTCCAGGCCTGGTAATTCTACTCAATCAACGTGGTCGTTTTCAAACACAATCCAAAATCGAAGCAAAATGTTGATGAAAATATCAGCGCAGGCTTCCTGCAGGTTGAAGCCTCAATGATTTCAGCTATTTTCAATCATTCAGGAGGATGAATCAATCACAGCATATTTATTCTTTCAGTCAGCGCATCTAAAACTCTGCCTTTAATGTGGCATCATAAAAGGATGGAGATGAATCCAAAAAGTAAGCACAGCCAATGCCAAATGGGTCAATACCATGCTGGAAAGACAGATTTCTGGTCCATTAAAGTGAAAATGTTGATTTTGATTGTAGGTTTCACTACACATCTCCTTTGTGTCTTTTCAGGGGTTTGGAGAACCTTCGGGTGAATTCTGGCTGGGAAATGAATTTGTCTCCAAACTGACTAACCAAAAGCCTCACAAGCTGAGGATCCAGCTGAGTGACTGGGAGGGAAACTCGGCCTTCTCCCAATACGATGAGTTCTTTCTCGACAACGAAGAACAAAATTACAAGTACGCACTTTTGGCAGCATCAAAGAAAAACTCCTAGTAATAACCGTGTCAATTGCAAAGTAATAAGCATTTTGTTTAATCGTAGCTTCAAGTAAAGCTCATGGAACGCAAATTAGTACAACTAAGATGCTGCTGTGTAGATGATACCTTCCTCACTACAGAGCTTTGAAGTATCCACATATTAAATATTGTTGACAATTTCAACCAAGCATTATTGGTAAGGCAAATTGTAAAAAGTCACTATTTTCAATCATTCTAAAGAATTCATGTAATTGTTTTAAGGTTCAGAAAGAATTCTTAAGTTAGGGGAAATAAAAACATCCTTGGATGAACTACATTTTATCACCATAACAGGCCCTGTTTCACAAAATTGGAAAAATATTATTTATATAAAAACCCAATAATTTTCAATAAATTAAAGACCAAATGCTTTAGACTACACCAGCTACCAGTAGGGGTTGCACGACTTAATTTTTTTTAAAGTCGACTGTCAAGTAATGAAAATCGAGTCGACTTTGACTAGTCGTTGATGACATCATACACCTGAAGTGGCGCCGGGGGGGAGGTTCGCTGGAGTTTTTGACAATTAAAATTGCGCCCACATTTTCAAAGTTAAACACATCTCTTTTAACAGCGGTAGTTTCTGCATCTATACTGCTCCACTTCAGCTCTCTCCCCCCTCCCCATGCGCAGTGCACCTGCAGCCTCTCAGAGTTCCTGCTGCTCTAAACATTAAAATAATTATTTCATTTTCTGTTCCTCACTTCTGATTACCTTCAATGGTGTCTGTTTGTTGCAACCACCAGGTACAAAAACTAACTTGTTTTATTTGACTATTTTTCTGTCCTGTCTGCTTATTATCTTCCTGCATCTCCTCTCAATCCTAAAGAAAAACTGCTGCCTGCCTTCATATATATTCACCTTATGAGTTACCTTTGAACTGCCGTTCTAAAAGATCTACCGACCACAAAAACAGCGGGGTGCGCGCTGCTCGCCGGCCGCATCGGTGAGGTGAGTCACCGGAGGACAAAACAGGTGATGCGCCCCGCTCCACAGCAGCGAAACGCATCAGGCACAAATAAAAGACAGAAAACATAAAAGGAAATGAGTCGACATGAACGGTCGCGTGTTAGAAATTTGTTTTTGAGGTGGCGACACCTAATTTGATAATGTTACTGTGGCCGTGCTCAGGACGCAGATGTCTGGAGCGCGTCAACGATCAGAGCTTAGCATGCGCACGCTGGTTAAGATTAGGATGGGGGTGAGGGGTAGGTTAAATTGCAAGAGGGTAAACGTCACAATTTGGTTAAATGTCCGTTTTACCACGGGTGTCAGTAGTGACGCTCTGGCACAGCGCGTTGCCTCCCGATGCGCAGGAGCTCGTCACCTGCTGTCTTTTCCGAGGACTGCATCTTGTCGCTCATTATCACGTGACAGCGACTAGTCGCTGAAAGGCATAAAAAGGCACTACAGAGCAGTGAAGTCGACTAGTCGACTAGTTCATACAACCCCTAGCTACCAGCAAACATGCTGTGGAATTTCTCGGAATAGTATGTTTTGGGAAAACATGACTATGCAGAATCTGGGAACAATGTTCTGGCACTGGCCCAAAGAAAATCCAAAAGAACTAGTCAGTGATTGAAAAATAGGAAATGGACAAAATGTCTCACATTCAGCTTGAGTATCTTTGAAACAATAAGACCTGCATGTCCAAACATTGAAATAGGACAAACTTGATCTTGAGGGAGTTGGTTCAAAAATAAATACGTCGTCAGAAACTAACTCACTAAAACACAATATTCATAAATGGTTGTTAAACAGAAAAAAATACAAAAAATATGAATAGAATTAGTAAAAAGTAATATGCATGATTCAAATACATGTTTTATTCAATATAGTGAATTGGGTCTCTCCTTTTGAGAAACAGCAATCAAGACTTCCTCCTCCTCTTCCTTCATTTTTTCTTTTCCATTCTACAGGATACACCTTAAAGGCTTCAGCGGAACGGCAGGCAAAATAAGCAGTATCGGGCAGCCAGGAAGTGGTTTCAGTACAAAGGATGCAGACAATGACAAATGTGTTTGCAAATGCTCACAGCTGACAACAGGAGGTAAGAAACACATTTTAATGTAAACAACCTTTTATTTTGAAAATCCTGCAAGTAAAAACCAGGCTTTTTTTTTGTCAATTAGTTTTCCAAATGCTGACAGGAAAAAAAAAACTATTGTAAAACCTGGCACTTGACTCTAAATTCTTCAAGGACATTTTAACGAGCACTGTGCTTTTGTAGCTAAGTCAAAAGAGCACAATTAGCTCCGACTTAATCACTGATCAGCTCATTGGGGAATTCAGAACTGACAATAGCTGACATTAATAGCCTGGGAACAGAGTTTTTTTTCCCCTGTCCTCTTGAAGCTAAAAAGCCCTGCACCATTCCCTTGAAAGTGACTCTACTGCCAGACGTTCGTTACTCTCAGTAATGGGGTCTGCCAAGTCAGCCTCAGATGATGAAAAGGCGTAACTCCATCTTTTTTTTTCCCATGGGGGTTCAGAAAAACCACGGACAAATCAAACACAGTCGGGACTTTAGTGGCACCGACCCAGTGAAGAAAGCACAATGGCATCTGGTTTGACGGGATAGGAAACTGAAATTTTAAAATAAAAAATGAGCATGTGAAGGTGAATAATTCCTTTGCGGTGTAGCAAAATGTTTTAGGAGGAAAACCACACAAATCAACTTCTAGTTGGCAAAACAAAATGCTTTGCAAATTTGTGACAAAAACTACATTTTGATGTTCCAGGCTGGTGGTTCGACGCCTGTGGTCCGTCCAATCTAAATGGGATTTATTACCAAAATGGCCAGAACTCCAATCGCTTCAATGGAATCAAATGGTACTACTGGAAAGGCTCGGGCTACTCTCTGAAGTCAACTGCAATGATGATCAGACCGACAAACTTCTCCGGCTCTCTCTGACACAGCGCCAGGGAACAAACTCTGCTCAACGAACAACTTCACCAAAAAAAGGAAATACTTCTTGATGCGACCAAAGCGCTTCAAAAAATGCTTTTTTTACACCTCTATTTAAGCAAAAATAACAGCTGAGGATCATGGAGAATGGTACAACTTAATAAACTAGTCAGAAGTTATTGTTATGAGCCATGGAAAAATTTCCTGTTAAATATTTTAAATGTAAATGCCACAGAAAAAGGTTTCACCTAAGATTCAAAGTTTTATTCCACAGATGGTATGAACATTTGATGTTTAATTTATATGTACATTAGGGTTGATTATTTAATATTATAATATAGGAAGGAGATCTGTTTCTGAGCTACTGAGGTCATTGCACTAATAATTTGGAGATTTAAACTAATATATTCTGCTTTACCTACTCATTCATTCAGTCAGAAATGGTGTAAAAATTTGGCTTTGAGATCGTTAGACTGTAAATCTTTAGCAGCCTTTTCTGTTTCTGATGTTGGAAATCAATAATCACTACACAAAGAGCTTATGTTTATTAAAATGTTTGTGATTAATGCACTCAGTCTATTTTTATCTCTTTAGACCAATTCATGCATTTTGATACTTTTCTTCCAGTGAACGCAATAAAATTTAAGTGGTCTAAATCTGTGTTTCTTTTCAATTTGTCAGTTATTATCTATTTTAAGTTAATATTTCATTATGATTACATTTTGTGTTGCTAATTTCATCATTTAATAATATAGGAAAAACACTTACGAAATATATATATATATGTCAAAGACAGTAGCTATATGAACATACTAGTTAATAAGGGTGTGTTTTGGCAATAATCTGGCCATATAATTTAGGTAAAACAATAACCTTGTAGAAACAAGCCTGACAAGTTGGAGTTTGCAGTGGTCTTCAATTACTTCAGATGCTGTGGTTGATCTTGAACTTTTGTTCCACAGGCTAAAGCATTTGGCAAATGTGGACCTTGACACTTGCTAGTACAATGGGTTGACCTCTGCTTTTGAAGCCTCTACTGTGGACACTAAAGCTGTTTTTACAGGACCATAGCATTTTCAAAACGGGATTTGCCGCAGCTCCCTGGGGAGGATTTTGGCATTTATAGTAGCAAAGCTGAAGCTAGAATATACTGCCATCAGGCACCTCCCCAACCAAGACGGGATATAGGGAGGTCGCTGCCCCACCCCCCGAATGTGACGTACAGGGAACCGCATTCAGCGTCAGATGGAAGACACGTCAGACTGATGAAATTTATTTTTCAGGACCTTTAGCTTTGATGTGACCTGCTTTTTATCTCGCTTGACGCCCCCACTCAGCCAGTGTTTACCACTCTGTCGAACAGCTGGCTGTCTCTCACCATCCCCGTAAAAAGGCGACTAATCTGTTCGTCCGCTCGCACGGCCAAAAGCTCCACGGTCTCCGCATCCATCCAGCCGGCTTTCCTTCTGTCCGGCACTCAGCGCGCAGTACACATGACTAACGCGACCACCCTCTTTTGCAGTTGCTCCAAAGGGATTAACGAGCCTGATACACGTTTAGCCGTAAGAGGCGAGGGGCTGATGTGGCAATATTACTACCAAGCGAGGCAGAACGAATGCCGCAATATTTGCGCAACGCCATGCCGGCATGGCGCGTTTATAGACATACCATTGCGGTAATATTACGCTGATATGCCGGCATGGTGTGTCCTATAAAAGCACCTTAAGTTGAGGAGGTGGCAGGCGCAGCGATGGTGTTTGGGTAGCAGGTATTCCATGCAGTCATCTTCATCCAACAGGGCTCCAGCATCAACAAATTCAACACTCTCAATGCTTTCCTCCTCCTCTTCATCATCATCTTTTTGGCCACCATCATCTTCTTCTTCTTCATTACTCTCCCCTTCAGATTCAGGATGGCTGTCGTTGTCAGTCTGCCCATAAACTCTGAAGGCTTTCAGGAAGTTTGAGCCGTTGTCAGTTGTGGTGAGAACGATCTTCTCTCTGATGTTGAATTCTGTGTGGATATCATTTAGGGCACCAGCCAGGGCAGAAAAGGTATGTGGCCCTTTAAGTTGCTTGCATGTCAGGGCAGCTAGTTATTTTTTAAAAGTAAGGAGTAGAAAGTACCGATAATTGTGTGAAAATGTAAGGGAGTAGAAGTATAAAGTAGGCTAAAAAAATAATTACTCCAGTAAAGTATAAATAACCAAAATATCTACTTAAGTAAGGTAACGAAGTATTTGTACTTCGTTATTTGACACCTCTGATCAGGAAGCAGAAAATTCATGTGTTAGGAGATCATTTTGGGCCGCTGCTGTAAAAAAAAGTGAGGCGCGAACCGGAAAAGCTTCTGCCGATCACAATTCGACAACGGATTACGAAAGAAAGGATCACGCTCGAAGCGTGCAGATTCTTCATGATGTAAGAGGTGAGTCTACTTTTTGTTTAGGTTGTTTTGGCATTGACATCATCCTAGTGCGCAACGTTCTGCGACGCTTAAAAGAACAGTAAAAACACTGAAAAACACTGGCAGTGATGGGCTTTACTGATCAGGAAACGGCTGGCAGTAAAATGAGTTAATGCAATGACAGCAAGATCAAGAACATAATCCTGTAGTTTTTGCTTGAAATTTAAATTTCACGTCATTGTTCAGCGCCATGTTCAGCGCCTTGGGCTTCCCGACAGGGTCGCTCGCGGAAGGCGCTTTATAAATAAAGCTTTGATTGATTGATTGTTAACCTTGTTAATAAAGTAATGAAATCAAAATATATGTGTGCATTATTTGATAGCGCATATTAAAATGACTATTATGATGACGTTTGATCTATGTAATGTTCCTGGATGCTCACTACTTAATTAAATTATGAATGACCATTACCTGTGCAGCAGGGAATTGTTCTGAAAGTTCATACGGCTCCTCTGGAATCCAGTGGCTTTGCTCCAAACACCAGAGGATCTGACCAAGAAAACAAAATCAAAATAACGCATTATTAATTTTATTATGTTCAAAACATCTTTTTCTTGTGGAAGTGTCTAAACATTTACAACCACCCCATACCCATTCAAAAGAGAGGATCCAGCAGCCACGCGCTATGCCCAACAGGATGTTGAGCGTCCGCCTGTGTCCCCCAGACACCACGTGAGTTGTGCTCTCACACACTCGGTCGACAATTGAAAAACCACCCAGTGCTTTCACCACCTGAACCACAGTGTTCTGCTTCCTATGAGAGGTGGAAAAGGTACAAAAACATCCAATAATGTGGTAAAACTGTGAGGTATGAAATTAATAAACATCTAGCAGACGTTTACAAACTTACTCTGAGGGCATGCTCGTCATAACCAGTGTCCTCATAGCCTGCAACAAAGAACACGACGCAGAGCTTGTATCAAATATACAAAATGTATTTATAAAAAACAAAATGTGGTAGAACAAACTAATTAATACACCACACCCTTTGTTTATTTGCACATTTGTATCTTGGTTGGAGCTTCACCAGTGCAGAATTTCTAAGAGAATAAAACAAATTCAAACATCTAAACCATTAAAACCGTGAATGTGCGACATACTTTGGCCCACATACAGAAACCTATCATCAACCCAAACACCTCAGCGACAGTTGCAAACAGGACCACAAGGTCTTTTCCTGCCACACTTTGATATCTGCTCTACCAGCTGGAAGTCAGGGGTTAAGGCCTGCTGAGCACAAAGGTGCCAAAACAGTCCACGAGCCACACCTACGCCCGTTAAATATCACATTATTCCTGACGAGGCAAGTTCAAACGTCACTGACCAAATGACACTGATAACATCAGCGCTAAGCTGTTGCTCCTTCTTTGTTGTACAGGCACACTCTTTTCTCCAAAGGATGGTTTGGTGTTTTAGTTTTTTATTATTGTTTTAAAGGCAAAAAATAAATAAACAAACATTCCTCTTGGTTGTAAATACGTGATGACAGATGCAGCTTGTTTTGAAATCAAACCTAGAGGGGACCTTGGACTGGAGTGTCCCACGCTCTGGACATGTTCTGGCAGCGGCACGGCAATCAGGCACAAGAGAACAAGCTGCACAAAACCAGCCTGCGACCAGAAGCTGGTGTGAAATGCGGCACGGCCTTTGAACATAAACACCCTCAGCACAAATGAAGGAAATTCTTCTCTGTATGACTGGCTCTCCTTTATGACTGCAAGTACGTGCACACTGAACAGACACGCTTTAGACAATAATGGAGAAAAAAGTCATTCTTTAATCTCTGCTAATCACGAGGCGTGATGTCATTGCCAGATTTAGTGCACTGGCTCCTTACTGCTTAAACACCCTTACATTTCCAAATGATATACCTGAATCACACAGCCTCAGTGACAAAATGAATTAGGAGATTTCGGTTGCCCTCATTTCTCTTAAAAATCCTGACCTTCATGTTTGTTGCCAAGAATTATGATTAAAAAATTTATCTCCGGGAGGTTTTGGAGCTATAGATCATTACTGAGCAAAGAAAAAACATAGGTTGGACTCAACCAAACAAACAAACAGTGTGTAATCGGAAGAAATCGAAGACCTCTTCAGAAGTAGCTGACCTACATTTCTCCAGCAGCGGGATGTGTAATGGCCTGTTGGGTTACAAAATAACTAGACGTAACTCTCCAGGACCTGTAAATTTCTTTTACTTATCCCTGATCACAAAGCGGTTACCATGACAACAATAAAAAAGAGGGGTGCAAATGAACTCCATCGAGATAAGAACACTTTCTACTCAATCTTTTATTGAAATTCTGTTTGTTTTCTAGTTTCATTGTTTTTGTGCATTTTTACTGCTTTAGTTTTGTCACCTTACACATTTAATCAATGTTTTCCTTGGTTAGCCTTCTTACCCACTCAAAGTACTACCACTAGTCACCAGACCTTTTACGTAATGTCTTATTGAAGTTCTGCTTTCTAGTTTTAGTCTTCAAAGTTTAACCTTCATCTCCTCACGCTTAGACTACTGCAACTTGCTTTTCACTTTTCTGAGCAAAACATCCCTGAACTGTCTGCAGGTGGTTCAGAATGCCTGTTCTCGGCTTCTGACCTAATTGTCAAAATTCACCCACTTCACTGGCTGCTCTCTCCCCTGAGCCTGAGATCAGTGGACTCAGTGGTCTCCTTTAAGAGCAGCTGAAAACTCACCTGTTCAGGCTGGCTTTTGCATGATCAACTCCACCTTTACTGGGATCCACTGATTTCCCTCTTTCTTATTCATTTTCTCTTTCCTTAAATTTTTAGTCACATATTTTTCTCATTTTAACCATAATTTTTAATCATTAAAAAAATACCTTTTATATTTTAAATTTGTTGTTCCTATGAAGTGCCTTGTAATTTTTATCTTAGGGGGGTCTTTTCATTTTTATTTTAATACGTAAAGAATGAGATTGCGGATAAAGGCGGCCGAAATGAGTTTTCTCTGCAGGGTGTCTGGGCTCTCCTTTAGAGATAGGGTGAGAAGCTCGGTCATCCGGGAGAGGCTCAGAGCAGATCCGCTGCTCCTCCACATCAAGAGGAGCCATTTGAGGTGGCTCTGGCATTTGGTTAGGATGCCCCTGGACGCCTACCTGGCGAAGTTTCCCGGGCAGACCCAGGACAACGCTGGAGGGACTACAACCCTTTTTAGAAGACACACCTTGCCAGCAAATCTTTGTAATACTGTCGCCACGGCGCGTTCATTAGACACACCGTGGCGGCATGTTGATGCAGGAATTATGCTGCATTCATGCTGCCAAGCTTTTACTGACGCAACGGTGGACTTGTGAATGCATTTTACACCTTGGCGGAGGGTGGTGTCATGATCATGTGTTGAATTACTTGTGTGGGAAATGTGCTATAAATATGGTAAATGGCTGTATTTGTATAGCGCCTTCTTAGGGTTCTTCAAGCTATATTGTCTCTTCTAAAAAAAGACTCAATTTACACCCTGCTGGAACCAAACTAATCTTATTCAGATTGTGTTCAACATGTGTAATCTGAGAACATTTTTTGCCACAAGTTTTGTTTAACAGTGTCAAGTCTGATGTAAATACATAATAAGATACAAAAAACACGTTATTTATGACAAAAAAAAAAGGTTAACAAGTACGTTTCCCTGAGGGATGTCACATGGTGTTTGGCTTGTTGAGGTTACCAGTAACGAAAACAGAGATGCAGGTGCGTTTCACAAGCAAGGAAGCTACGCTACTATCGCACAGCCATAACACAGGAAACCCTCAGGAGCAGGCAGCAACCCGTGTCTGCATTCATCAAACGCTTTCAGCCAGTGAAGCATGTGTGACCTGAAGAAGGAAATCCTTACAAAGGCTTAAAAAAACACAGGTGATGCCTCGTTTACTACTTTAACTGCTTATGTCACAGAAACAATCTTTTTTTTTTTTAACTACACTCCAAATCAACTGGTTCCACTAAACTTATTTGCTTTAATGCAAAGAATAATGTACATTGCTATATGTTGTTATGGTAAAAGTAAATGTATATTACTAGGTTAGTAGAACCAGTTGATATAACTGTGTGTAACATTTAATCCCTTACTGTGTACGTTTCCTCTACATCTCTAAAGTGAGTTGCGTAAAACTTTTGGGAATAAATAAATAAAGAGTGCTGAATATGCTGGGAGTAAAATAAATCAAATTCATCTACTATCACACACAATTTAAACCAAACATGTCGATGCAATCCCATCAATGTTTCTGTAACTTTATCAATAGCCAAATATTAACGTAAAATGCATCGAATTAGCGTATGAGAGAGGGGGGAAATCTATTTACCTTTGTTTTGGTAACCATCTTCTGACGCCTCAAGCTGACTTGCTTATTATGATTCTCTCCAAATTCGGAGGGGATCTCTGTGAAACCAGCTGCAACCAAACATTCATTTCCTCCACCTACATATGAAAACAAGACAAACAATTTAAAATAGAGTAGAGCTGTGGGAGTGTCACTCCAGATATCACGCAGCTGTGACTGTTTTTATTTGCTTGTTTTAGCTGTTCTTGCATGACTAAACAAGTAAAACTCGAAAAATTAAGAGTATCATGCAAAAGTAATATAGTTCAACTTGGAAGGTAAAACTAATATATGAGATACAAATTGCATGCTGTCAGATATTTCATGTTATAATTGTCAAGATTATGGGTTAGAGTTCATGTAAACCCATAATTCAAAATATCATGAAATCAGTAAAACAAGGATTTTAAAACATCAGACATCTGAACAAATATAATCATGCATTTGTACCCAGTATGTTACTGAAATAAGTGAAGTTTTGCACATATACTACTTTTTCGAGTTTTACCACCACATTACGACACAGCCAGACTCACACAGGTGTGACTTTAAATTAAATAAAATTATTTCCATAATTCAGAATGACAGAAAAAAAACATGATTGCTAATGCTTCAAAAACAATACTCGATATTAATAATAAAAATCTTAAAACACTACACTTCCTCACACTCAGGTAAGTCAACAAGCTTCCCTCGAAATGTGAAAAATAATCCAGGTAACAATACAAAATTCTTAAAAATAAAATTCTGGAGGAGAAAAAAAAAACACAACTCTGAGAAGGACCTGAATGTTTCAGCCTTTGAGTGACAGGATCTTGTGACTCTTTAAGCTGTGGAAGGTTTAACTTCCTTAGTTTGTGGAAAAATCTATTAAAAATGCACGTTATTATTATTTATTGTTCAAAGGAACTAATACGGCTGAATATTTTGGGTGGGCACAATGAGAACCCCAAACTCAACACTAAATGATAAATAATCATTGCTAAAATTGTAGGTAAATTAAACAACAAAAATCTATTTTTAGATGAAAATTTAAAATCAAAGACTTAATTTTTATTAGAAACCTTTATTGGAACATCTAAAATTTTAAATTCACCTTTGAAATTAACTGGAAGGCTCAAGAACCATTAACAGGTTAAGAGAATATTCACTGTTCTCATATATTTACTTTTACAATTAATACATTTCAAAGGCATTTTTTTGCTTTTTACAGTTCATAATAATAAAAATGTTCTTTGTGACTACTACAGCATCTGGTTTCTGGTTTTCTTACTCACTTCCTGCAGTATGAGAAAAAATGGGAAAATCAGAATTTTTCTGCGGCTCCAGTTCTGAGATATCCTCCGTTTGTGATGGTGGTTGTCCTGATGATGATGATGATGATGGTCTGTGTTTTCCTGCATCACGTTTACTGGTGCTTTGTCTTTGCCTTTCGTTCACACTTTGACTATCGAGTGCTGGAAGAGAATCTGGAACATCGTGTTGTGAAAGATTCTTTCTGCTCGTCTGAGACGGATGATTAATGCTTGGACTACTTATTTCTAATTTCAGTTTTTTAGTGCTGGAACTGCAGCTTTCACGTCGCTTTTCTTTTCTTTTCTTTGTGGCAGAGTCCAACTCAAAGGGTATCTGAATGCTGCTCTCAGGTAGATTAGGTAGAAGAAGCCTCTTGTTATTGGCTGGACAGAAATAATCTTCAAACACATCGGCAGCATCGTCACCAGTGGAGCCCATGGCAACCGATTTCTGCTCACGGCACAGAGAGCCGGACCGCACCAAGGCAGAAAGTGACATTCTGCGAGTTTTGGGTGTTCTCAACAAAGTGTTCTTTAAAAGAAAACTTTGTTTTGAGATTTCAGTGGTTGCATCAACTAACGTGGCTGCTGATGATGGACACGCAGCACCGGGTGATACAGGACCTTTCGTATCGGTACATGACTTTTCTGCAGTCATTATCTGCTTATTTTCACATTTATAAGGTAATTTTTTAGCTGATTTTATCAGTGACTGACTTTTTGCTTTTGTAGAAACCCTCCTCCCATCAGCTTTATCCAGGATAGGGCTACTTAAAGAGTCTCCAGGTTTGAATTTTGCTTGTTTTCTGACTGAAGTCCTTGACTTTAAATTATTTTTTTCTTTTTTGTTCTCTTGGTTTTCAAACTTAGGAGAGTGTTGAGCTTTTATCCTGATGGAAGTTCTTCTTGACTTTGATAGTTTTTCTTCTTTGTCACCTTGGTTTTCAAACTCTGGACAGTCCTGAAAACTTGAAAACCGTTCAGGTAAATCGCGACAAGGTGACAGCCAGGGTTTTGAAGATTCATGTTCAAGATGATCAGGGTCTTCTTCTTTATCAGGTGAGCAACCAAGTTCTGCGGGAGAGGCATCAGGATCATCTGATTGGTCATTGACTGTATATCAGAAAACAAAAAAAGCCAAATTAGAAAACATCTGCAACACCAATCCCTCTGACCACCACTACCTTCACACGCTTGTAGATACCACTAATTTACCTCATATTTTTTATCGATTAAGCATACCTGACTTCTGCAGAAGGAAAACTTTCCAACAAAGCTCTAAAAGAGGTGCTTCACTCATATTCTACATACATTTGCACTGGTCTCTAGTAGGAATGAATACCTTGTAACCCCTACTTCACACTGGAAGCATCAGCGGTGCGGAACGACAGCGGAACGGTTTACGCCCGAGCTTCGCTGCACACCAGGACACACCAGAAGAGTCTCAGCAGCGGAGCAGCTTCTCCGATGTGCTCCTCGCTGGACTCGCAAGATCACTTCAGACTTCAAAGGTCACGGTTTGTTTATATATATAATATTGTTCCTCTCTACTGAAAAGATTAAACCCATGAAAAACTGTTCACTTCTGGAACGATGCTGGGAGTACATAAGCTGTGAGGTCACACAAATAGATGTAATCTACATAGATATATAATCAAATATCTGCAATACTTTTATTTTGAAAATCACCAGACATTTTACACTGAAAGCATGTGTAATTTCAGAAGCAGCTAACTATCCTATCTTTTGCGGAGCAGCATGCTACTTCTGGGACACGCCAGAAATTTCCACATTGCAGCAGGTTTGAATCAACCCCATGTATTATAATCAGAGGTGGAAAGAGTACTAAAATGTCCTACTTAAGTACGAGTACCAATACTTTGATCATTTTTTACTCAAGTACAAGTAAAAGTACTTGCCTAAAAGTTTAGTCAAGTAAAAGTAAAAAGTATCATAAATAAAATGTACTCAAAGTAAAAGTTACATTTTTGTCAGCGTAAGGATGGCTACATCTAAGTAGTGAAAATCACAATGCCAGTTCACAATTCGCTCGTGTGTGCACGCACGTACACACACGCATGCATGCACACACACGCGCACACACACACAGTTTGATGGAGGGATTTCTATCCAGTCAGTGGGAACAGGACGTGCACAATGATCGGACAAGTTTTTCCAGGGTTGTAGGTTTCAATTGTGATTAAAATTATTCTGTATGTTGAGAAAAATATATACTTTTTTAGATGTCATCAGTGTGTGAGGTATCTCAATGTTTTCATGACAAAACTCTAACATGAGACTGTGCTCTAACCTGTCACATAACATAACAAGCCAAATGAAATTCAAACATTTCAGATGGACCGTATGACAGCTGCTAACGTTGGCCGTGCCCTACTTTACCTCTACATTACAGTTCCTTTATCCATGTCCATCCTAGAGCTCCTCTCTGACTTTTAAAGTTAGCAGAGTTCATCCTTGGTAGTGGGTTCACTCACTCATTTAACCCTTCACCACTGAAACCAGTTTGTTCATTCCAATCCTAAATAATCCTCCAATCATCCAACTGGAATCCGTCCCGTAACGTCAATCCTGCCAGAACAGGCCTTGGGAGCCCAGGTGTTACTAGAACTGGTAACGGTGTCTCCTCACCAGCGTGAGCCTCCAAACTGTGAAGGTTGGTCTCCAAACATGAACTTTAAATGTATGCATTTATCTCCTCTTGTAAAACTTTAACGTGTTTTAAAAGGCTTGCATCATGATATGTTACACCTCCCAGACCAAAGATAAGATAAAACATTATCATAAACACTGCAGAGACATCATTGTTTATTAAATACAAGTTATTTTCCTGAGCCGTTACTTCAACCAAGAAATAAGATGCATGGATTTGATGAAACCACGTTGTCTCATGCAGTCCTATATGTGTAACACACACACACACACACACACACACACACACACACACACACACACACACACACACACACACACACACACACACACACACACACACACACACACACACACACACACACACACACACACACACACACTGCAACATGTTAGAATCTTTAATGACTAATTTAACTACATTGAACTACTTTTGTAATAATTTAATCTCTTATTCTGGAGTAAAATAAAGAAACAAGCTAAATCATCACATGTCTGTGGCATCAAGAAGCAACTTCTGAGTTCAAACTCAGGGATGGAGCACAATGTTTACACCTGAACAGTATCAGGAAGTTTTAACTCACAGAGGCCTGCAGGTCTTCTGTTTTATGAGCAAAGCGCTGAGAATCCACTTGTTATGAGCGCTAAACGTTATTTTGGCGCTGCCGTGCGGAGTGGTAGGGAAACACATTTCAAACACGGAACCGAGTCCGGCTACCGAACCGAGCTGAATTCTGATGACGTCACACCGGTGCTGGTTCCAACCCACAGGAGAGGAGGGAGAGAGGAGGTAAACAGCGAGTGGATCACAAGGACAGAACTGATGTTTTTGAGCAAAACTGCGGTAAAAATGGCTGTTTGTCCTCATTATCAAGTGTACCCAACCCCCCACCCCCACGGTTTAGACGTGGCGCTCGTGCAGGTTTCTCTTTCTGTTCAGATGCTGCGACACGCAATGTTTTAAATTTATTAAGTCTACAATTTATTTTTACTCAGTAACGGATAAGATTTAAAATGTAGTGAATTACAATTATTTTTTATAAAATACTCAAGTAAAAGTACAGATTTTCAAAACGACTACAAAAGTATAAAAACACAAAAAAGCTACTCAATTACAGTAATGTGAGTAAATGTAATTCGTTACTTTCCACCTAATGGATTCTATTCGAAGCAGTAACGTTCTGCTGCCGTTCCACGCCACTGATGCTTCCAGTGTGAAGGGTTACTTGTTATCAAAGTAGAAGTGGAGGGCTCCGGTGCACCAGTTTCAGCACGGAGAATTAAGCTGGAGGAGAAAGTAGCTTCAGACGACAGGAATTGGAGTCTTATTTCCTGATATTTGGACATCTTGCCTCAGATTGGAAAACAACAATGCAACTCTACCACTGACTCCATTGGCTTTGCAATGCTGATGTTTTATCTCCACAAATAATGCAAGCCTGAAAGAGTTGCTAATGCTAACAGTTAGCTTCTACCAGTAGAGATGTTCTCTGGTAGAACATCTGTGCTAAACCAAAAATGGCCTTCCCCGTCACGAGTCAAGAAGGGCTAGTCAAAGCGAAAGCTTCATGTAGATCTGTCAGGCTTTTCAAATACTAGATGTTCACCATTTATTTTCTATCTGAAGCTAATGCAGGAGATAAGTGTAGGACACAATTTTTATTTTCTGCCTGCACGTTAAACTCAAGAGTGACCGACCATTTTCAAAAATAATAAGTAAAAAATTGTTTCTCAGTGAAGGACCTCTTCAAAACATGCTACAAAGGGGAAATCTCTACGACAACTAGACCCCGCCATGATTTCTTACGTTGAAACTTGAAGACAGTGGGTGAGCTCCCAAGAGAAGGCGTCTGCTCAGTGGGTGAACAGCTTGCTGCCATTTGTGAGGCTGAAAGAAAGAAACATATGATTAAAATGTCATTTCAAATGCAATGAAAATAAATCTTCCCATTCATCACTTAACCAAGTGCTGCACTTGGACTTGCTCTTACATGTAGGTGAAATGTTTTCATGCTTGTCTTTCATGTCTCTCAAGCGCTGTGCCATGTAGTTGGACCTTTTCAAAGCAGGGCTGTAGATGATTCCATTCTCATGATCTATAATAACTGGCGACTTATCTGTAACTATAAACAAAAGCATCCATGAGACAGAATTATATACAGTCTGGTTTAAATGTTAAGTAAGTAAGTAACCTTTATTACAGGTCCGTGGTCCAAAAAGTACAAAGAAAAATATACAAAGGTGACATTAAAAAAAAACAAGAGAGAGGCAGTTATACCAGTGCGTCCATAGTTTAGAGGTGTAGCTGATACTATATCTAGTATCAGTCAGTGTTAAAACCTTACCGTCAGGTTCTATAGAAGGCAAATCTTTCAACATCTTGTCAAGTTTTTTCTTCAGCCGCCAGTTGCTGTTCGTCGTCTTTTCTGGAGAATCTTTAGGCAACATGCAGCGATGCTGCAGGAATAGTAACAGCCCAAAAATGCTACATCACATACTTTACACATTTAACAATACACCATTAATAGTTGTACAGTCAGGTCCATAAATATTGGGACATTGATACAATGCTAACATTTTTGGCTCTATACACCACCACAATGGATATCAAATGAAACGAACAAGATGTGCTTTAACTGCAGACTGTCGGCTTTTATTTGAGGGTATTTTCATCCAAATCAGGTGAACGGTGTAGGAATTACAACAGTTTGCATACGTGCCTCCCACTTGTTAAGGGACCAAAAGTAATGGGGCAGAATAAGAACCATACATCAAACTTATACTTTTCAATACTTGATAGCAAATCATTTGCAGTCAATTACAGCCTGAAGTCTGGAACACATAGACATCACCAGACGTTGGGTTTCATCCCTGGTGATGCTCTGCCAGGCCTCTACTGCAACAGTCTTCAGTTCCTGCTTGTTCCTGGGGCATTTTCCCTTCAGTTTTGTTTTCAGCAAGTGAAATGCATGCTCAATCGGATTCAGGTCAGGTGATTGACTTGGCCATTGCAAAACAGTCCACTTCTTTCCCTTCAAAAACTCTTTGGTTGCTTTTGCAGTATGCTTTAGGTCATTGTCCATCTGCACTGTGAAGCGCCGTCCAATGAGTTCTGAGGCACTTGGCTGAATATGAGCAGATAATATTTCCCGAAACACTTCAGATTTCATCGTGCTGCTTTTGTCAGCAGTCACATCATCAATAAATACAAGAGAACCAGTTCCACTGGCAGCCATACATGCCCACGCCATGACACTTCCAACACCATGCTTCACTGATGAGGTGGTATGCTTAGGATCATGAGCAGTTCTTTTCCGTCTCCATACTCTTCTCTTCCAGTCACTCTGGTACAAGTTGATCTTGGTCTCATCTGTCCATAGGACGTTGTTCCAGAACTGTGAAGGCTTTTTTAGATGTTGTTTGGCAAACTCTAATCTGGCCTTCCTGTTTTTGGGGCTCACCAATGGTTTATATCTTGTGGTGAACCCTCTGTATTCACACTGGTGGAGTCTTCTCTTGATTGTTGACTTTGACACAGACACACCTATCTCCTGGAGAGTGTTCTTGATCTGGCCAACTGTTGTGAAGGGTGTTTTCTTCACCAGGGAAAGGATTCTTCAGTCGTCCACCACAGTTGTTTTCCGTGGTCTTCCGGGTCTTTTGGTGTTGCTGAGCTCACCGGTGCGTTCCTTCTTTTGAGAATGTTCCAAACTGTTGTTTTGGCCACGCCTAATGTTTTTGCTGTCTCTCTGATAGGTTTCTTTTGTTTTTTCAGCCTGATGATGGCTTGCTTCACTAATAGTGACAGCTCTTTGGATCTCATCTTGACAGTTGACAGCAACAGATTCCAAATGCAAATAGCACACTTGAAATGAACTCTGGACCTTTTATCTGCTCATTGTAATTGGGATAATGAGGGAATAACACACACCTGGCCATGGAACAGCTGAGAAGCCAATTGTCTCATTACTTTTGGTCTCTTAACAAGTGGGAGGCACATATGCAAGCTGTTGTAATTCCTACACCGTTCATCTGATTAGGATGTAAATACCCTCAAATAAAAGCTGACAGTCTGCAGTTAAAGCACATTTTGTTGGTTTCATTTGATATCCATTGTGGTCGTGTATAGAGCCAAACATGTTAGCATTGTGTCGATGTCCCAATATTTATGGACCTGACTGTATATGCATACAAATCACAAGTCATTCTAAACTGACTCACTTTCCTGTTTTTCATCACTGGATTGCTTTCATCATTCACAGCTGGAAATAAATCCTCGTCCGCACGTTCACCGTCATCATAGCACCTGCACACATTTTTATTTCACTTTTCTTAATTTAAAATATGAGTTAGAAATATTAAATAAATCATGTTATTTTACAATTATAATTTGTAATAAATGTAAAATCAATCACAATTTAACAATGGATTTCAAATGATTAATCAAAATTAAGGTTTGTTTTTTGTTAATTTACAGTACACATTTTTTATATTGGATCATTTAAATTAAACAGAAGCAAATTCTAAATCTCTACTCACCTTCCTACCCACAAGGCAGACACAAGCCGTACATCTGTTTTCTTAGCTTTCCTCCATGTTGCTGGATGACCATTATTGAATATTACATGCGTGACTTGTTTATTGAATCTGTTTGATGCCTTTAATTAAAACCAGTTTTTCCAGTTAAAGCTCAGATAAAGTTTATAAATGTTGCCAAGATATTTGTGTGAAAAAGCTGTTGTACCTGAGCTCCCATTTTTTCCAGCTGTTGAATAAAGGATTTTGAATAGTTCGCCCTTTTATCAGATGACCACACATCAACATAGGCAACAACATCTGCAGACACATTGAGCAAAGGCATAAAATTCAGTTCTAGGCAGGTGTTTTTTGTCTTTTTGATAACAAGAAGTAAAAATATATGTTCACTATACCTTTAAGAAGTGAAGAGTTGTTGCTAGAGGTCATTCTTGATGTTTTATTTGATACTGTATAAATTCACAAAAAGAAAAACAAAAACAAATAAGTTATATGGTAGAAAATCAGTTACTTGCTGTGACCGCTTTCAAATAAAGATTAGCTATCTAGTCTAGTAATAAAAAGCAAAGAAATTATTAAAATTAAAAACTCAACATTTATTTTGAGGCAATCCATAAATTATATTTCTCGTAAGTAATCAGTTTTATCACATACGCTCTTTATGATGAGAATGATTATATATATATATATATATATATATATATATATATATATATATATATATATATATATATATATTAGCAAACATGCTCTTGCTTATGACGGGCTTAACCGCATTCTGCCAATACATTAACATCACAGCTTTAAAAAGAGAGAGTAAACGTGCCACACTGGCTCAAATCGTTAAAATCCTTCGTACTGTATTATGTAAATCACTTTATGGACTATGTGCACTTTTTAAAGTCAAACCAGCGACGAAAGCAGATTTTACACATTTTTAGTGCACAATCTAAACACTAGATTTCATAACTAACAACAAAACATATCAGAGCTAATGAAGAAATTCCCGTCTAATAAACGTATGTTATTTTGTTGCTAGTTTAGCTAGCTAACAGCGGCTTTGGCAGGAAGTTGTCACTTCCGTCATTTGATTATTTTTATACATTACTATACATTTCTGACAGCTAGTATTCTAAACTCGTGAAATGAGATACCAAACGGAATGTTTCCAGTACGGTGTCATGAACTTACACGGTGAAGTTTGAAGGGTTGTTAGCGCGTTAACTTTGTATTGCAATGCATCCTGGGCCAGACGAATTTGGTTGGCTGAGGTAATTTACGTCACATCCGTTTAAAGATACCCAAGAACAACCCTAAAATTTAATACAAAATACGAGACAACGCTTTAATTTCCCTCAGAAATCTTGTTTTTCATGTAAGTGTTAATGTTAAGAGCTGGTTTCATTGATTTCTTTTTTGTTGATTGTTTGGCCAGTATCAATGAATATATATATATATATATATATATATATATATATATATATATATATATATATATATATATATATATATATATATATATATATATATATGACATGCAAAGCTTACAAAACTAAAAGTGGTTTGAAACATTGACACAATAAATAGTTTGCCGATTTTATACTTTATTATGTATTTTGCTCTGTATCTACAGTATTACAAGATCACAAAGCACTTTTGTATTAAATAGGGAGAAGAATTATTAAACTTTTCACATATGTATGACTGCACTGCCATTATCAGTGCAACACAATCAAAGCAAGCTTCTGAATTTAATAGATGAACTATTAGATTTAATCTACACACAAACAAGCATATATTTACCGTCAAGAAATACTTGAAAACTTGGAACAGATCCATGGCCTAAATCACTTCTATCGAAAAGATGAATGTGTGTTTTCTTTTAGTTACAACCAAATTTAAAATATTTGTGATTAATGACAAAATTCAGATGAGTTTAGCAAAGCACTATTTTGAAACATATAAACTGCATTAACCACAAACACATGTCTTTCTTCACCACCTAAGCATTTCACTCATATTTCACAACACAAATAGCAAAAATTTTAAGTCATGTAATAAAAAATATTATTTTAAACAGTTTAACATAGACTAAAAGTTTGTACTACGACTGTACGTTTAGTGGGAATACTTCTTGGTTTAACGGGTAGATTTATGTTGCAGCATCATAATCAGACCGAGTTGCTCCTGCACTGGAGAGGCACAGAGGTGCGGGACATTTCCATGTGCACTGTCGACATGGGGAGACGATCACACTCCTCCTCTTGTGGGAGACAGCGGCAGTGGAGCAGTATCTCTCTCACCTCCTGCCGAAAGTTGGAGTTGAGGAAGCCGTAGATGATGGGGTTAATGCAGGTGGAGGACATGGCCAGCAGGTGGCAGAGGGAGAACAGGAGGTTATGGTGGCAGATGGGGAGAGCCTCCAGGTTCCAGTCTGACAACACATTGAAGATGGTGAGAGGGAGCCAGCAAAGAGCAAAGGCTGTTATTAAAGCAACCAGCATGATGTTGATGCGTCGGCTGTGGGTCATGCGCTGGCTTTCTGGGGTCCTGGCTCGATCCAGCATGTCTTTGCGGTGACGAAGTCGTACAAAAACTCTGACGTAGCAAAGCAACACCAACAAAAGTGGACCACAGTACTGGAACAGCAGGAGCCATGTGGTGTAAGCGACTCTGTGTTCTGGGGATGGCCAGTGCTCCACACAGGCCTCCATGTGAGGGGAGGTGGGGACAAAAGAAAAGAGGGAGCGGTACAAATTTAGAGGCACAGATGAGTTTTTGAATGGATAGGAGGAATACTGAGGCAAGGATGCGTTGAGATAGGCGTGAGGATACATTTGCTGATAGAGTGGCAGGACTACATTAGTGTAAGGCTCATCTGTGAGTATCTGAAAGGCTAAAAAGGGGGTAGAGGTGAAGCTGGCAAGAATCCAAATAAGAACGACTGCTGTGTGGGCCTGTGGAACGCTGGGTTTCCACCCAGAGGGATTAATGATTAGCTGATGCCTTTCTAGAGCGATGAACACCAACGACAGCACTGATACGGTAACAGACATGCACTGGATGAACGGCACCAGTCGACACAGCAGCGAGCCAAACACCCAATGGTCCATGAGTGTGTAAATGACAGTGAAGGGGAGGCAGAACACACACATCAGAATGTCAGAGAATGACAGATTACAAATAAAAATGCTTGTGACGTTGATCTTTTCCCTGCGATGGGTGATGATGCAAATGAGGCCGATGTTCCCCACTAGCCCAAGCACCAGCGTAACGCTGTACCACACCACGAGACACGTCGTGAGAACAGGAGACATGTGGCACTGCTCCTCGTGCTCAAGAACGGAAAGGTCTGAAATGAGCTGGGTCCTGTTCCCGGGCCACTCCTGCACCGACTCACGACTGACACTTTCTCTCTGCCGTTGTAGGGGAAGCGGAGGGGTGGAGATGTTGAATAGAAGAGGCGATGCTGATGAGAAGGCCTGGCTTGTGTTGCCACCAAAGGACATCTCAGCAAGACATGAATGTCACTAGTTCCCTAGATCTATCTGTCCATCTCAGTCCTCTGAAAGCCTGCATCTGAGACAGGGAGAGGAGAAGCAGAATGGGAGACATTAAGGAAAACATGTTGAGCAAAACTCACTTTTTGCATTCTTTTTTGCTGCCAAGTGGGTTTCCACTGCCTCTATAAACACTACAAACATGAACAAAACATGTCCATCTACTTCCTGTCAGTGTTTGGTTTTAGGAATTACGTGCCTAAAACAAGCCATTTCAAAAAGTCCTCGTTTGTGACATCACAAACAGGGAAATTAGAATACAACCACCTCTCACATGAAAGAGAGAGCCAGCAACTCTACTCCAAGCTCCTCCTATTTATTGGAGCTTCTCAGCTTATAGGGAGGCTAAGTCACGCCCATCTACTTCCGGTCCCTGAGTCCGCCAAAAAACGAAGAAAAGATTGCAGATCAATGTGGCTATAAATGTTATTTTCTAATTCAGTTTCTTAGGCGCCATGGAATTCACATATAATGTCAGTGAATTTTAAAGACACATTTTGATACCCAAAAAAGTGCTAATTTTCGAACGGGGAAACAGTATTTTAGGTTTTGTGTGGAAATAAGTCCAGGACTACAAAAGCTCTTCTCCAAAGTGACATCATCGAACCAGACACAGAGTAAAACAGAGGGAAATGACTGTAAGTTCAGCGAACTTCAAATCCTTCATTCAGGAGGAAAGGACCACCATAAATCTGGCCAATTGGTAAGTAGCAACTAAGCTAGGGGAGAGGATATTCTGTGGTGACGTCATACATGCAATGTGCTGATGTCTGATTTGTAGTCATACTAATTACGAACTTTTACAACCTGATAAATCTCAAAGTACGTGACTGGCATGGTCGAAACGCACTCCATTACTTTTCATTTAAACAGAAGTATAACAAATGTGCGATTCAGGGCGTAAGGCAAAGCGGATTAGAAAATAGCATTTTTAGCCCTGTTGCCTTGCATTCATTTTTTTGTTCTTCCGGGGATCCATGAGCCGACCGGAAAGGGAGGAGACTTAAGGTTAGTTCATGCTTGACGTGTCCGCGAGGTTCGCATAGCTCCGCGCGGCAAAATTGTGTCATTTTAACAACCACGCCCCTCCACCGCGCCTCCACACGGACCAAAATTTCCGCACCGCGCATCTAGGAAATTTTCTAACCACGCGGACGGTCGGATGCAGAACTAGTAAGAACTAGTATGGCAGAGGTTTGTAAATACAGACATTTGTATGATTCAGCTCTCAGAGATCACCGTGATCAACATGTTGTTAAATTCTTGGAGAGAAATAGCTCGCACTGTCGGAAAAGACGAGGACGCTGTTAAAAATGCTGGAATGCCATGTTGTAAACAACAGTAATTTTTACTTCTACTATGGTGTAGTGTTGGATGCATGCTGTAGAGCTCCATGCTGCCCCGTTCAGTTTGGGAGAATATTGGCTCACCGCAGAGACAAGCTGCACGAACCATAAACGCTGCGAGTTGTGAAGTGCGTTCCATCCGCGAGCCGCATCACCAAGCGGAAAGTAAATGCGTCAAGCATAAACCAAGCTTTAGGCTCCCTATAGAGCTCCGGACCCCACCGTGACTCTCAGTTAGTGGACGCCATTTTGGCATGCAAAAAAGGTAAACAAACACGGATGTAACCATGAACATGAACGGGATCCGCTTGGATTTTACTTCGTCGGAGTTTACTTCACACTTTAAAACAGAAGAAATCGTTTTATATAGTCAGAAATTAAATAGACTAAACATCTCCGACCCTTACCGTGCCCCTGGGATACTTTTTAAAAACGCCAGAAGTCGTAGCGGACTTCTTACCGGCACAACACCGGACCTGGCCGGGGAAACCCCTTGGGATTCCCCCGGCCGGAGGAGCTGGGGAGAAGGTCTGGGACTCTCGACTCTACTACCCGCTCCGACGCCAGAAGCTGTCGGAGCGGACCGGCACAGCACCGGACCTGACCGGGGAACCCCTTGGGATTTACCCGGAGGAGCTGGCTCCGGCGGCTGGGGAGAGGGAAGTCACGCTACTGCCCCAGCAACCCGACTCCGGATACGCGGATGAAAATGGATGGATGGACGGACAAATAACAGATTTACATGTAAGTAGTCTCGGTGACACAGATAATAGCAATCCAAAGTGCTTTTTATGTGTGATCTGATCAACGATTGCTTAAAAATTAAATACGGCTTAGCCGGTTAATTGCTGTCATCATAAAACACGTAAACGGCAGCACGCAGAACTCACGAGGCAACGTTTTACGTGATGTTTACTTGTTGCTATGAGTAATAAGACAGAAAAAGCCACGCCAAAATAAGTTTAGGAAGCCCACTAAGAATCATAATAAAAGCATTTAAAATAAATACCATACACAGTTGAGGAAACGTTGGTTTAAGTACCTGATATGAAGTGGTCGCTGCATAAGCGAAAACCTTTACTCTCGGGATCCCACAGCTTCATTTTAGCCCAGTCACTAGCGTGTTTTATTACAATGATCCAACGTTTGCGGCGCTCCGGATCTTGGGGAATCCTGTAGATGTCTCATTCCTTATGTCGTCCACGTCTGTTCTGCATCCTGGGGCACAACAGGAATCTACCATATTTCCCGTTTGATTGAGTTTTCTGACAATAGTAAATAGTCCAGCTGCCGGCTTCTGCATGCCAATATGGCGCCGTTTCGATTTGAACTGTTGCATGCCGGGAGAAGTGACGTCAACTCCCGGAGCTCTATATCAAGCTGAACTGGGAGTAGGTGGGCGTGGCCAGCTCTAGGTTTTTTTCTTAAAGTGACAGAGCCCTGAAGCGACTCATTCTGGAAAGTAATGAAACTGTCAAGAATAAAACTGATGAAACCAACTTATGTGAGAGGGATTTAGTTCAAATAACTTCATGAAGATGTTTTGTGTCGACCACAGGACTATTATAACTTAAGTAAAAAGGTCATAATATGTCTTCTTTAACTCTTCAAATGATCAAATACCTGAGGAAAAACCTTCAAATACCTGTTAAACAAGTTGTATGACGCACGCCCACCAGCTGCATTAGAAATATTCTCCATACAAACTGATGTTATAATGTGCATCATCCAGTGACGCCACTTATGTATCATTCAGCATGACCTGACAGCGCTTTGCACTGATGATATCAGAACTGTAAGGTTGGCTGGTTCCTTCAAAAACAGTCATCATGTAGAAATGCTCAGCAGAAAAAAAAGAAAAGATTTCAATAACCCCCTCCCAAAAAAGGGTGACTGTTTTGAGTTTTCAAATGCTGTGGCTATGTCAATAAATCGTTACATATTGTCTTTCCTTTACCAAAGTCCTCATGAGAAACAACTCATCAATCCTCTGCCCACAAATCCTGCATACCAGCAGATGAAGATAATAGCCTATTGACAGTGAAATTACCGTGCATACACTGGAGCGCAGACTTGTCTTGTGCACAATAACTGACGCCTCATGTCAAAGCGAAAGGGCATGACATTGTCAAAATCCTAAAAATGGATTCAAGCTGTCTCCCCTGAAACCTCCGCCGTGTGCTGTGAAAGCCAACATCATAAACAAAATGGGACTGTCACTTTCCATTAGTGGCCCCTGCACTTAGCTATCAGTCACTTCACGCCACGTCTTTACTAACGCATGCTGTTGGCGTGTTGAGTAAGCTGCAGGCAGGGTGGCACAGCATTGATCATCCTTTGTTCAGAGGTGGAAAGGCATTTGTAATGTTGCTATTAGACGAGAAAGCAAATGAAACAGTGCAAAACTAAAAAGACCTGCAGATAAAAGCAAAGGGAAAATGCCCATTAATATGGGAGCACACTGTGCTACAGTCTTCCACAAATAGTTGTGTTAGTGTGATTGCATCTTCTTTTAGCTAAATCTCTTTAGGACAAGAAACACCGTGACCTGGTTCCGTCTGGGCTTTTCTTCCTTCAGCAACATGTCCTCCATCTCCCAGCAAATAGTCAACATAATGATCAAATGACCAAACATAATTTGCCCTCACCTTGGCTTTTCTCTTCTAGGATTTTGCTTTTAAACAATTTGTCTTCCTTTCAAAGCCCCTCACTGTCATTTTTCTTTGATTTTCCTGGAAGACGTGTTGTTGCAAGGCATGAAAGTTGTTCACATCATTACCAAATCTATGCTTTGATGATATTCAGAGTGGTGTCACAGCAGAAAGCAGTTTCTGCGCAAAAACTCACCAATATTTTAACATTTAACATTGCAGGTCTATTGATGATAAACCTGCAGCAGTGGATTAATTTGCTGCAATTAGTCACTTTGCAAATTAACGTGACTGAAAATGAAAAGGAGAAGCTTCACTAAGACACAAAAAGAACAACTAGGTGCAAAAATGAACTAATAAAAAATGTGGGTCTGAATTACGATGCTAGAAACTTCTTCTTCACCTTTTTGTGCATTCATCCTGCAGTACAGCGTTAAAGAACCCTTTGTGCACAGATCCAAATACTACTCCGAAATATTTTGCTTTCCTTTGCCTGTGGAGGATCTGGGTAAGGGCAGCAGGCTCTGTTCTGTGTGCTCAACCTGAGATAATGACCCAATCCTCATTGTTCCCTGCTTGGGGTGACAGAGACCATGCGTGAGTCCTCTCAGAAAACCACCTCAGGAATATTCTTATGAGATTTGTTATTTTCACACTTCCACACTGTCAAAAAAAACAAATAATCACAACATTTCATGCACACATTCACCTTCTGCTTTCTTATTCCCAGTTTTGCTGCTTGAAATGAATGCATTAATAACTATAATGTTATTGTTATATGCATGATGTGAGAAAAAAAGCCAAATGTGACAAAGCAGCAGCATATCCGGGTACCAAGATACAGGATTACTGCGCAGCATGCAATTTACATCTGGTTAAATGTTTGGAAACACTGACAACGCTCATTAGCTCAGTGAATACATGATTACGGCTAGAATAAATAAAGGTCTCACGTGGGGGGGTGGCTCAACGAAGAGTTTCTCTGAAGCCAGGATGACAGAAGACGACGCTCTGAACAGGTGTGAGTCCACAGGGATGGGAGTTAAGCAAAAGGAGCTGAACATGATGATAACCAGAGCGTTTCTGTCAGAAACAGCAGAGAGGGGGGAAACAGCTATGATTGGGCTGATGGAGACTTTTGGGTGCTTGAGACCCTCAGAGCTTCAAGCTCTGCTGTCACACAGTGGTGAAATGATTACATTACATCCTGAAAGTTACACCTGCTGCAAGAAGAGCTGACAAAACACAAAAAAGACAACGAAGCACAGAGTTTAACACATTGTACCCTATGATGGAAGCATGAAGAGTCATGATGATAGCTTGGTCATTTAATGTGAAGCACACATAAAAACTGCCTCCAGTGTTTCGGTGTGATCAAAGAGGTTTACACAGTTGTGTTTTGTCTGATTTCAGTACTATCTTGGCAGAGCAGTCTGCTTTATTTAGGACCAGCTCACACCCTCATCAAGGAGCCTCAAAACAGGAAAGATATATTTAATCCCAGATTTCCTTATTCTGAAAGATCACGCATCAAGTGGTTTGCCAAGTACAGATTTCTTAGTAAAACAAAAGGCATATTTGTCCTATTTTTCTTGTGTTTCAAAATCAAAACATTGTTCAAAAATATTTACTATTCACCCCTGTTCGTGTGAAGGACAAATTCTCTAATTCATCAATCTTGCATGTTTAAATAGCGTCCTGCTTCCTCACACTCAATTGTAAATGAGTTTATCACCTCTTTCCCTCGTTGAGTTATGCAAAAGTATTTTAGTTACTCGTTAATTTAAACCAGGTGTGCTGGAACCATCGACATTAATATAGGCTGGAAGATTCAAAAAGGCAGGTAGGATTTCTCTAAAGGACTCAAGTTGGTGATCTCTGTTCTAAATCTTCAAAACATGCCAAATGTTAGATGACACACACTCTCTCTCTCTCTCTCTCTCTCTCTCTCTCTCTCTCTCTCTCTCTCTCTCTCTCTCTCTCTCTCTCTCTCTCTCTCTCTCTCTCTCTCTCTCTCTCTCTCTCTCTCTCTCTCTCTCTCTCTCTCTCTCTCTCTCTCTCTCTCTCTCTCTCTCTCTCTAGTCGTGTGAGGACCATCATTGACTTCATGAGTGTAATTTTGGGGGTGGTCGCGGGGGACATGTCCCCCCCACTTTTTCCAAAGTCAATTTTTGTCCCTTGCACTTTTTACCATCCAAAAACAATATTACGCTATATTAAATAGACTGGTTGAGCACTAGGACCAAGAGTTCAGCTAGGATCTGATGTAAATGAGATCTAATGATCAGATATTTTTAAAAAAAAGTTAAATGGTGACAATGAGTAGGAACATTTTAATCAGTATTGTTGCTCGATGCTGGTGTTGCCTATCTCCAGCAGTCATCAGGCAAAAGGCTGGTAACACCCTGGACAGGTCTCCGTTCCATCACAGGGACATATAGCAACAAAAGAAATGGACAACACTGCAAAAAATATTTTCAAAAAGGTAATAAATAAATAAACAATAGCAACTTGTTTTTGGACATTTAATTTAATTTTTGTTTAAAAGACAAACATTCTTATCTTTAAAAACATCACTGCTCGAAGTAGCGTAAATATTCTTAAAAATTATACATTTGAGTAGAAAATAAATTGGCCAATAGGGTAAGCAAGGATTTGTTTGGCTAGGTTGACTCTTAATCAATACATCTGCAGTGGTCTCTAGAAGGAAAGAATGCCTTGCAAGCAGAGCCGGATTAAATAAATGGACTACACTAGGCGGGCTGCATTTTTTGGGCCCCCCCTCCATCGATGTTATTTTAGGAATTGAAATCTGAAACTTACCAAAGTTACTTATTAAAGTTCATTCACATTTTACTTCGCCTAGTCTTTGGTTACAAATTGGTTGTTTGTATGCCAAAATAAGTCATGTGTTGCATGTTAAACATTCTATCAGACAATTTTTTGATATTAATAATTCATACGTCATTACACAGCTGTATTAAATGCTAATAAATTATCCTCATCTTATCCATTGGGAGTGTCATTGTCAAGGCGGTACCAGTAAATAACCACTAGGTGTCATTAAACTATGTAAACAGAGCAAATATGTTTCTTTTATTTGCTCTGTTTATATTTAATCACTACATTTAATTTAAAAGATTTTCTGCAAAATACAATAGCTTACAACATTTATAAATGTTGACAAATTAATTACTTGATGGTGGAAAGACATTCAAGAATAAATAGATTAATTTGAATGGACTGAAGCATGTTTTAAAGGCGCAAAAACAAACTATAAACACGCAGCCTAAATTATTACAGTATAAATTGAATACAACCTATCATCTTAAAAGAAAGTATTTTAATAAAATGAAAACATTATCTTAAGTTTTGATCTTGCTTTATGCTCATTCAAGCTGTTTTTGCCTCTGCTGAATCAGAAATTCTGTGTGAATTTTCTGAATGTGAACTTATTGTTTGTTTTGCTATTTGAACATTAATAAAATTATTTGAAATATAATTAATAAAACCAGCAACACTTACCAAGGAAACCATTTCGCATGCTCCACTCCGGGATAATCTTCAGCCTTGCAGCATCACAGGCCTCAATCACAGCAGAAACTGTCACGTTGTGGGTGTGGAGATGATGGACCAAGTGTGGTGGAGCAGCTCAGGAGGCAAAGAAGCAGGCTCGGATAAAGTAAAAATGAATTTAATTACAGAACGGGAACGGCAGGAACAAACACAACGATGACTTGAAACAACAATGATCTGACAAAGGACATAACGAGACGGGAGGTATAAATACACTGGGGAAAATGAGGAACACATGGGCAGGCTAACAAGGGGCAGGTGAAACCAATAGGGACTAATCAGGCAGGAGATGGACACAGTCAGGAAGGCAGGGGCAGATCGTGACAGTACCCCCCCTTAAGGGGCGGATACCAGACGCCCACAAGGCCACACAACACAGGAGACTGGGAACACTTGACTTGACGCGGGACAGGGACTCGAAGACTTGACTGGAAACACTTGACTTGACGGGGGACAGGGACTCAAAGACTTGACTGGAAACACTTGACTTGACGCGGGACAGGGACTCGAAGACTTGACTGGAAACACTTGACTTGACGGGGGACAGGGACTCAAAGACTTGACTGGAAACACTTGACTTGACGCGGGACAGGGACTCGAAGACTTGACTGGAAACACTTGACTTGACGCGGGACAGGGACTCGAAGACTTGACTGGAAACACTTGACTTGACGGGGGACAGGGACTCAAAGACTTGACTGGAAACACTTGACTTGACGGGGGACAGGGACTCAAAGACTTGACTGGAAACACTTGACTTGACTCGGGACAGGGACTCAAAGACTTGACTGGAAACTCTTGACTTGACTCGGGACAGGGACTCAAAGACTTGACACAGGAACACTTGAACTTGACGCAGGAACACTTGAACTTGACGCAGGAACACTTGAACTTGACGCAGGAACACTTGAACTTGACGCAGGAACACTTGACTTGACGCGGGACAGGGACTCGAAGACTTGACTGGAAACACTTGACTTGGACTTGACACAGGAACACTTGGACTTGACGCAGGAACACTTGGACTTGACGCAGGAACACTTGGACTTGACGCAGGAACACTTGGACTTGACGCAGGAACACTTGGACTTGACGCAGGAACACTTGGACTTGACGCGGGACAGGGACTCGAAGACTTGACTGGAAACACTTGGACTTGACGCGGGACAGGGACTCGAAGACTTGACTGGAAACACTTGACTTGACGCGGGACAGGGACTCGAAGACTTGACTGGAAACACTTGACTTGACGCGGGACAGGGACTCGAAGACTTGACTGGAAACTCTTGACTTGGACTAGACTGGAAACACTTGGACTTGACGCAGGAACACTTGGACTTGACGCAGGAACACTTGACGCAGGAACACGACTTGACGCAGGAACACTTAACTTGACGCAGGAACACTTGACTTGACGCAGGAACACTTGACTTGACGCAGGAACACTTGACTTGACGCAGGAACACTTGACTTGACGCAGGAACACTTGACTTGACGCAGGAACACTTGACTTGACGCAGGAACACTTGACCTGACGCAGGAACACTTGATGCAGGAACACTTGACTTGACTTGACACAGGAAAAAAAACTGCAGCTGCGGGCGTGGGGCTCAGCCGGAAACTGCAGCAGCAGGCGTGGGACCCTGTAGAGGCTGCAGCAGCATGAGACCTGCAGGCATAGGCCCCACAGGCGTGGACCAGGAAGTGGATGATCTGTAGGAGCGACGTGAGGAAACCAGGATCGGTGGCAGGTACTCGACAACCGGTCTGAGCAGGTGCACAGCACGATTCGCTGGGTCTCAGGCAGAGGCTCGGGTGCAGGGAAGCAGGAGAAGAGCGGGGAGACCAGCCCTACCACCCCGGAGAATGGTGGCGTGCGTAGGGGGTGTAACTCCCTCAAAGCTCCAGGATCCGCGGCTTCCATGAGAAAAAACAGGACGGGGGCAGAAAGCAGGAGAGGAGAAGGGTTTGACCACCACGGGAACAAACTGGACGCGTCGAAACCCACTTAATGGTTCGACCACCCCGGAAAACAGGTAGGATGCGCCAAACACCTTGAGTCCGAATCTCCTTCCGCTAAAAGGAGAAAAAGTAAAAAATTAATCCTCCAGGGAAATGTATCAGTGCTCACCACAGGTCCAGGTTGGTCAGATCATTCTGTCACGTTGTGGGTGTGGAGATGATGGACCAAGTGTGGTGGAGCAGCTCAGGAGGCAAAGAAGCAGGCTCGGATAAAGTAAAAATGAATTTAATTACAGAACGGGAACGGCAGGAACAAACACAACGATGACTTGAAACAACAATGATCTGACAAAGGACATAACGAGACGGGAGGTATAAATACACTGGGGAAAATGAGGAACACATGGGCAGGCTAACAAGGGGCAGGTGAAACCAATAGGGACTAAATCAGGCAGGAGATGGACACAGTCAGGAAGGCAGGGGCAGATCGTGACAGAAACATGTCTAAAGAAAAGTTCCTTGGTTAAGCTTCGGTTTATGTCTCCAGATTTCCTCTTTGATACAGAAGAATAT